TAATTCCCACTTCCTGAATCACTTTCTGAAGGAAGGCGCACTATATACAGCGACCCTCAAATTTTCCGTTATATATGGAATTTTGTTTGTTATTGGATGAGAAACTTTTTTATAAGCGTTCGCTCCTGTTAATTTCGTTCCAGCTCTTATACGGCTCACATAAGGTGGTGGGGGAAAAAACCAAAAAAATATTTTTGAAATAAATTTTATCTCAGCTGAACTTTTTGCATGACATTTTACCAGAGCAAATTCAATATCATCCTTTTCACGAGTTTAATCACAGCTCGAAATTCAACACAATGTTAGAGTCTTTTGGGATGTGCAAAATGTCTGCCATATTGAAAAATATTTCAGAATATCCGGAATATTTTGTGTTGTTCAATCGAAATTCGATGTGGCTTAGAATTGTTGCCTAGTTTGGCAGAACGGCGAAAAACTAAAAAGCATCCACAAGCTACAATAAAGCCGTAAATAAAACTAACAAAAACAAACCAAAAGCTCATTGTATAGTCTCTCAAATTTTGTGTAAATGAAGCTCGAAAAAAAAATTCATTTCTCTTTTTCATTGTCTGTTATAAATTTGTTCGATTTGTTGCATTAGAAAACAAACTTGGCTCTTGATTTCTTTCAAACAATCTAAACTTTCCATTGATGGCCTCTCGAAATAAACTAATTTCTTTGTACAAATGTGAAAAATGTTATTATTGCTGGCCAGAGTTTCGTGTTATTTTGCTTATCCGGCCCGAAAATCAATTTTTTGTAATACATTCTCCTAACCTTGGCCGTATTTTGAAACATATGCGCAGAAACCATTCATTCGAATAAAAATGTCATTGATGCAATTGGCAGGTACGCTAGCCTTTGTTTCACGACACGATTGCAAATTAAAAAATCTTTCGGAATTTTCATTAAGGACGACCGACCGGACAACTACAGTGACTTACCGTTTCGACAAATGTCCGGTTTCGTCGCGAGAAAATTGTTTTTTATCGTCGCCAAATTCAAAACAAAAGAACAACCAAAAAGCGCAAGTATATATGGGGGAAGCAGCAAAACGCAATTGTGCATCCAGCGTCGACAGATGCGCCCGTCCCGAAACTCACAAACACATTCCCGATGGAAAAAAAATTAAACAAAAACAATCGAAAAATCGATTCGAAATTTACGCGCCGAAATTATTGACGGCTAACGACGTCGCATCAACACGCGATACGCCGGTGTTAACGACGATACTGGCACGAAAAGTGGCAAGGTGGTCCGGCGTCGCGACGCCGGCGACGCGTGGTTCGAATTTTGTTCTTCGCTTGTCGTCGTATGGTAACTCGCGACATCTCGCGTTAAGCGAGAGCCTAAATATTAACGGAATCTTTTCAAAATTTTCGTTTGGCTTTGAGTTTTATTATTCATTTTCATTGTTTCGACACATTTTATGGATACGCTTTGCTTAATTCTTGAGATTCGCATTTGTCATCTACAATTCAAATAAAAAAAAATCAATATATTTATCCTTGAGATCAACTTTCGAGAGAGAGTCTTGAGATTTGTCTTAGGGTGTCAACCCCCTGGCGGGGCATTGAACATTTTAAAATCACCGAAGGCAACACGGTCTACTTTTCAAGCACAGAAAACATGAGCATGAATAGTATTGCAATAATTGTACCGTGCGTTCGATTTATCTTTGATAACATTTTAATTGGCTGTAACTTTTCTGTTTTTAGAGATATTAAGGTAAACAAAAAAACAAACATCTTTTTTTTAATGGAACCCTGTATATTATTTATGTGTTTAATAGAATAACTTATTCCGATTACAATGATGACTTTATATTTTAGTCCATTAGTTTTTGACAAATCGGCAAAAGTAGGAAATTTTTATTTCATTTCAAGAAGCGCCCCGACTGACAAATAAAAATATGTTTATATTTGACATATTATTAAACAACGTTGATGGTTGTATTATTGTCCAAGTTATTATTGTTAAAATGGTTTTTCGCGAATTTAGCATTTAGCAGAAAGGAGTGTTATGCTTCAAACATACTTTCTAAATGATAAAAGTGCATCCTCAGCTCGTCGTCAGTATATTAGACTTTATCTAGAGCGCTGAGCTCCTTCAAAACAGATATTTCCAAGGCTGCCAAAGAAATTTGCAGACACTGATTCAGTAGAAATACTAAGAGGATGTCGAACTTCCATAATCTTTATTTTTAACCAACACAACGTTTTGGACCATTATATCACCCGTTATCAAGTGTAAACTAAACTTAATTCTAATGCTAAAAGGTTTATATACTAGGCGACGGCGCTCATCCATGACGGAGTCGGGTGTAGTCAAGCGTGGATTTGTTCAACTAGAACGCCAGCATTGGTGCGCCTTATTAGAGGTTGCCAAATTGTTGGTATATCCACGCTTGGATTGCTGAAGATGTTTTCCTTGTTTCTAATGAAAACTGCTTCTTTAAATTTGCACTTTCGCCAATGCTGCTCTCTGTGAACAACCCGCGGTCTGGACTATTTATTGTTGTGTTGTTTGGTCCACACATGTCCTGCGATAACTGATTTTTGAGTTTCACCCTTCATTTTTAGAGGACGTTTGGTTTCGCCAATATGTGACTCTTCGCATTCACAGGGTATCTGGTAGATACACTCTTTGTCTTGAGTCGACGTTTCAGGCTTTGTTTTTGTGAATACACTTCTCAATGTTGATCCAGATTTAAATACAGTTTTAACTCGATATTGTTTGGCTATTCGCCTAATCTTTTCTGATATTCCTTTCACGTATGGGATCGTCAAGAGAGAAAGATTATCTACCTCACATGGTTCCGGTGTTGTTTACAGTGATACAACTGTCCGAAAAGTTATTTAAGTTAAAAATAAAGACAATGGAAGTTCGACATGCTCTTAGTATTTCTACTGAAAGGGTGTCTTCCCGGAATCAGCGGATTTGGATTTGGAATTAAAAATTAAGGTGATTTTGTATAAGATTGTCTAATCCGGAAATTTGTAGTTGCCCAAATAGTTGACAATTTAACATTTACCTATTGTATTAATGCTATAAAACGGCTGTTAAATGTTGTTATTAGTTGGTCATGATACTAAAACTCTGAAAAATAGAATTAGGATCGAAATTCAATTAGAACTAATAAATACAACTAGTATCGCTGACGATGGTGTCAGGTGGAACACTTGCTTCAAGTTTTGAAATTTTATTTATTTATTTTTAAATTTGTAAAGTATAATAATTTATAATCTTGCTTGTGTCAGAGAAGCTTTAAAATCTCATCCCTCTGCTTATACCTTAAAACATTATGCTCCCTCGAATGACATTTAATTCTTCCAAAAAAATTTTTAGTGGGATTTCCTCTTTGCGAATATTTTTTCTGATATTCTCTTGTGGTTAAAGCGACACTTTTGTTCTGAATATATTCGGGTTGTAATAGAATAAATCAGATTAATTAAATCAAATAAGAGAACTCGTGTCAAATTAATAGATTGTGTTTTGTAAAGTGGGGTTTCTGTACTGCCTGATGGTCTACTTTTCTAATATCAACTAATAACTCAACTTAGCATTATTACAACAGGAAAATGCTAAATTGTCAATTATTTCGGATACTATAAACTTCCCGAATAGACAACGTTAGAACAAAATCCTTGTAATGCCAAATCTGATGAAATTATAACAAGAGAGGGTTTCCATTTGGAAAAAGGGATTTTCTATCCTGTACTAATTTACTAAGTTATACTTAAGCATAGGACATTATACATGAATAATAATAATAATAGACTTTAGACTTTAGAGTTTATTGACCATTAAATACATTACAAGAACAACAAATGGCAAGTTACGTCTGTGAATGAAAATGAATTAACACAATACCAAACACATTCTAATAACATTGATAGAGACGATCACAGTGCTTAGGCATATCGTTATTTAGCTCATGTATGCGAGTGACTGTATTGTAAATAAATAGTGATGGTAAGGTCAAAAAAGAGCGGGCGGCAGTGATCACGAGGTTTTGCATTCGCAATCATACGTATCGCTCTTTTTTGCATAAGAAAATCAATGCTTGCATGCACGGAACCACCCCACAAAACAATAGCGTACGCTAAGTCAGAATGGAACAATCCGAAATAAGCAAGTCTTGACATGATAGGAATGAGTGACTTGTTTAAGTTTCTAATTACAAACAGTTGACTTGACAGTTTGTGGCAGAGGTGTTCAATGTGATCTTTCCAAGAAAGAGAACGAAGAAGAGGAGAAGAGAAAATAAAATGGTTCGTTTTATTTTCGTTTAACTGTAAGCAATTCGACGGGAACCATCCACGCGCTCTAGTCTTGTTGGTCACACTCTCAGTGCTTCATATGGGTTCCTAGCTCGGGATATCATCCGCGTAGAGCGTAGTTTTACATGGTATGTGGGAAGGCAATTCGTTGATGTAAACTATGAACTGCAGGGGCCCGAGCACCGAGCCCTGCGGCACTCTAAACGATACCGGCAAGCTAGAACTACTGAATCTTCCATTCAATTCGACACATTGAAGTCTGCCGCTAAGGTAAGAGCGCAATAATCTGTGTGGCATGCCCCTGATGCCGTACCACTCGACCTTCTGCATCAGCACTGATAATATGATGATAATAATAATAATAATAATAATAATAATAATAATAATAATGACAATAATAATAATAATAATATACAGAGTGTCCTATTTAAAATTAGAAAATTGGTATTTACCCCATTTCAACGGAACATTGAAATTGAAATTTTTTTCTATCGTTAGTAGTTTCTGAGTTAAGGAACTGAGGAACCTTATTCCTTATTAATAAAGGAATTCTAATTCCAATTCTACTTAATTTGCGTGAGCCATTAAAATTTTAATTCGGATTTGATTGACCCGTTGTTGCTTGTTTGCTTGTGAGGGAATACATAAAAAATAATTCAGTTCGTTAAACTTGAGTGTGAAAGACGGCGGCGCCGCGGCGCTCATATACCTGCAGTGCGCACATCCAAACGGCATCACACCCTCGACGGACGTCATAGCGTCGCCGTCGGCAGCACCGCATAAATATGACCCCCATTATTTTAGCACCGATTCTGCCGATCATTTTTTATCATTTTCGTAGTTTGCTCTTCCGTTGGTGAGTAAATGTGCATCTTCCATAGTTGAAAAAATTGGTATTTTTACTTCTTTTAAATTTCCATTTATCTGCTTAGCGTGTCGTGAGAACGTTCGTTTTCAGCTATCTTATGGATACATCATCGTAAAATGCTGCTTGTTAAACGTCTGCCGGGCGTATTGTACACCTACAGGTACACAGTTTATTCGACGGGGATCGTTTTCTCCACTTTCGTCTATTTCTTATTCAAGTGGAATGTGCTTTGCGTCAATCTTCAAGCTTGGCAGCACGTAAAAAAGATGGTGAGTAAGTAGAGTCGACAATTTTGTGTTTCTTCAATCTGTTATCGCAAAACTTTTTATTATTATTATTTAGCACATCACGGATTCAAAAATTCCAAAAATATAGTTGAATTGACAAACTGGCATTACTGAATACAGCCATGATGAGTCCGAAGGGAAATAGAGTAGCAATCAAACAATTTTTTCGATAGTGTTCGATAGCTAAAAAATACTATCATTATACAGAGGGTGGAATAATGTTGTTCTGAAACAGTAACACTTTTCTGGAATAATTTAAATCCACAACTACAACTACATTAATATATTTCTTAAATTTTGCAATACGAGGTTCAGTATACCCTTTCATGGATCAAATGATGTATTTCCTTCATGTTTATCTTGTATTGACAATGTAAAATTCTGGGGCATCTATCAATGTTGTTTTATTCATCAATAAAATCAAAATTGAAAGTGCTATAAGTCATTCATATTATTAAGAGTTTTGGTTAGTTTAGTGTTTCCTTTCTATAACTTAATAGTAATTATCGTTTGCGCTTGGTATGGGTGGTTCCGTTGATAAACAAACTAACAAATATCAAAACGCAATCACGTGTGACAAAAACACACGAAATCAATTTTTGCGTAGCTAATGAATTTGAAAAATTCTAGTAACCGCGAACACCTATTGGATCACTTTTTTAATATTCATGCCTTTATAAATAATGCTTGAGAAGGATATGCTTTTAATTTTATGAAATATGTGCTGCGTTTTTATCACATTGATAACACCTTACAAAATATACGAATAAGGAATTTAATGAAGAAAATTTAACATTTCACAAAAAAGTCCTATACATACAGACCACAGATATATGAATTTAATGTTAATTAGGTCATATGAGTATTGATTTTTTAAATGTATGTCTGTGGTTCAAATTTCTACTCCATAATTGCTTTCTTACCATTTTTGTAAAACATTTTCAGATGGCACATTGCAACCAAAATGGGACACACTGTACATATAATAATAAATACAATACAATTAAAATCTAAATACGGGACGCCGATACCGCACAATTGATTACAAAGCGAAAGCACCGAAAATACCAAGTGAGATCTGGTAGAAACGTCTGGCAATCCTGAATTGAAAAAAAAAGATGATATTCCGGAATAACTGTTCATCACAAATTAATAGTATTTCCAATTGTTTATTTTGATTTTTCCAATAAGATAAAAAAATAAATAAATGATTTATTTGCACTGCATGTGCACAGAATGTCCGAAATAACGTTCCCTACCCCATTAACTCAGAAACTACGAAAGATCATAAATTTTATTGCAACAATGAAGTTTGCAGACCCTAAAATTAGTAACAATTTTTCCTATCAGGAAGCCTTAATTATTTAATTTGGGATGGATTCCTTGTGGAAGGGGTCTATCGTGATATATTGAGTGGATGTGTTAATTAATGAGTGAACAAAAATGAAGTACCAACCGATCTAGCATGCGGGAAGCATCGCTTTACCACGTCAGTTTCGTTTCCCACGAATCCACTTCGGACATTTCCGGGAGTTTACCGCACGGGTTTTGGGAGCAATCGGATGTTTTCGGAGATATTTCCCACGCCTTGAATTTTGAAATTTGTCGTAGAAAAAGTTGCAACACGTTCGGTAAACTTTTTAAGTCACTCGCTGCCGTTTTCCGCACTTGTTGCATAATATACTATTTTGACGAAATATGGGTGACATTTGTTAATAGTATATTATGCAACAAGTGCGGTAAACGGCATTTTACTCACGAGTTTATTTGGCACAAGCAGAAAGCAGCAGAGCGAGTTTTTAATAAACGAGTGAGTTAAAAAGTTTACCGAACGTGTTGCATACTATACTTTTTGTACGAGCGTTAGTTTTTGGGTACATCTTCGCAAAATTACACGAATACATTCACTGACAAACTTCAAAATTCAAGGTGTGGGAAATATTTCGAAAAACATCCTATGGCTCCCAAACCCGTGCGGTAAAATCCCGGAAATGTCCGAAGTGGCTCGGATCCGTGGGAAACTCAACTGACACGGTAAAGTGACGCTTCCCGCACTCTAGATCGGTGTGTAATCAGGTCTTTTACAAACTGGAGCAGAAAAAGACAATTTTGTAGCACAGATAAATCAAATGCAGATTTCACTGTTTTTCCACCGAATGTCCATTTATATTTTTTAATTTCTCAAAAAGAATATTATAATGGTATTATGTATAAAATATAGGCGCGCTTTTTGAACTATTTGGATTCTTCCTTTGTCTAAACAAATGATATCATCAGCAAATTCTTTTTTGCTTTATGCTTTGATAATCTTTTTCCGTTACAGTGCAAACTTTACGAAGATGGATTGGCCGTAGGATCGCTTTGTGCACCGCTCTGCGTCTCTAGAGACATCCACTCGCTTACATGTCATTCATTCCAAGCTGCGAAAGAGGCAGTTTTCAGTGCCGAATGGCACAACATACGCTTGGTGTTCAAATCTGTGCCCCGAAATATCCAAACCATTCACTGGTACGACAACGGAATCTTAAAATATCCGACAGAAAAGGAGTTCCTATCGACAATACGTGCTATAGTTAAAAGAAGGTTAAACCTAACGCTGGCATACGACACGGCGGTGCGATTATCGCGTCTGAAGCCTTCCTACGAAGAAAAGGATAAGGTTAAACGACAAAAGGAAATTGAAAACCTGTGGTATTTGCTACAAAACCACGAGTACCTTCTATCCACTCTCTTCACGGACAAGGACGTGTTTCCTCAACTGCTCGGCACGTGCGGCCCATATTTCGCAGTTGAATATCTGGAACCCATCTCGCTGGGTTCGTCTTTATTCTCGACGAGCGACTCGCGTGAGGAATGGGGTCGCAGACTAAAATACGCAGTGCAAATCTTAGATTTGCTCGAAGAGCTGGAGAACAACTTTCGCGAACCTTTCTATTTGTGCGACATGAGAGTGGGTCATTTCGGCTTCGCTAAAGACAAGAAAAAACTAAAGTTCATCGACTTGGACGAGGTATTTCCTCGAAGCGTGATCGACGGCCTCTTTCAACAAACGCGGGGGTGTAAAAAGGAAAACGATTGCGAATTCTTGGACTGTCGATCCGCTTGCAATCAAACGTCGAACCGCTGCCTGACGACGACCGTGAACAGTAACTTTCAGATAGTATGCGAGAAGATATTCTTGGGTTGGAGGATGTCCAATACCGTGATAGTTCCAGGGTTATTGATGTCGCAACACACACCATCCGATTTGGCGTCCATTCTGAGACAGTGTGCCAATCCGGACGGGATGACAAGGAAAGCTCCGGACGACGCCATTAGAAAACGCCTTTACAACATTCTGGCGGAAGTTGAGCAGTCAGTGAATAGCGATTCCTTTCTTTAGCGAATAAAGCTTTTGTTAATATTTGAAGTTTTTTTAGCCATCATACGCCCACGGTTCTTTTGTTAGACAACAGCGATTTTACCAAATGAGCAATACCAAAATTGAAATGAAATTAATTTTGCCTGCAAGCTCTAATGCATGGATAGGCAATGCAATCGATATTTAATACGCCCTCGCTGGACTAATTTTAAGCCTTAAGCGTATCTAATAACACCCGCGTATTTTTTGTTTTTTGTGTGTGATCGTATTTCGAATAGACCACGCGTAGACCGTGCATTTAAAACTACCAAGTAATCCGAAATGACTTTTTTCTTTCACAACCCTTCATGGATAAATGTAAAAGAAAAAGATCATATTATTTTAACGATGAATGGTGACGTCTATATTGTTTCGTTGATTGCAAAGGGAAGTGTGTTTGTTGTGTAATAATAGTGTTGCGATTCCCAATAAAAGAAAATATTGAACGACATTTTAAGACCGTTCGTACCAATTTTGATAGTGACTATTCAATAAACCCTGAAATTAGAAGAAAAAAAAATATTTCTTTAAAATCTTCAATAACTAACCAACAAAGTTTTTTATTAAACCACTATCGCGTCGTATAAAATATCGCATTTGCTAGCTAAGATTAAAAAACCATTTACAGACGGAGAATTTGTGAAAGAAGCCATGTTAGAAGCTGCTGATTCACTTTTTGAAGAATATAAAAATAAAAAGGAAATACTTTCAGCTATAAACACGTTGCAATTATCAGCATGAAAAATATTAATTTATACTTCTTGAATTTTTTTATTGAGTTGGTTACGCTGTCAAAAAGACAGTAACTGTCAAAAATACAGTAAAACTTCTTTTTTCTATTATACAATGAGCTCGCGTCTTTACTTACACGGCTGCCCAGGTTTTCTTATAAATCAACGAGTAAATTTGGCAATTTTTTGCCAATCGTTAAAATCGGACAAACACAAATACACCCAAGCAAGGAATCGAACCCACAACCTTCGGCAAGTTCGATTTGAAAAGTCAACGCTTTACCAACCGAGCTATCCTGGATCCCCCTACATTAAAACTAATGATCTGATGAATTTTGTAAATAAATAGATTCAATTTCTAAACAGTTTTTAACTCATATAGCTATTAGAGATATAGGGCCTTCCATATGCTGATAATACAGAGGCTTATGAAGCAACCATGAAAAAAAATGTTTAGAAGGTCCAGATCCAACGAGATTTAAAATTTCGTTGTTAACCAATGACCTTGCGGTTCTGCACAACCAACATGGCCGTTGAAAGATCGTCAATAAATTTGGATACGGCATTTTTACGGCAGTATTATCTCAAAATATTGCTAGATCTCGTTAAATGGTCTAAGAAAATCAGTAAGTGTGTAGAAATCGCTGTTTAAAAAGAAAATGCGACAATATCAATGCTGCCTGCAGCGCATCATTTTTTACCGTAGTAGCGCCAATATATTATCTAATATCTATATGCTTTAACTAAGTCCTGGTGAAAGCTTTGCCTATGCTAATAATATAGGATTTTTTGAAGCGAAGATGAAAAAAATATTGAAATGGGCAATTTAATAGGCGCAAGCGCGGTCATTTAAAATCTTGTTTCCGACCAATAAGATGTAGTGACGTTCGACAACCAAAATAGGCCACACTGTACATGGATCTCGCAGTTGGAGTATTTTAAAAGGAAAACACCACGTCATATCATGTCATGAGCATAATTTTTCACATCAGCCTAAAATCCGTGTGGCGATATCTTCACTTTAGATTCTTTTGAAATAAAAAAGTTATCTACAACTTTTTTATTTATAAAGAATTCTGGTTTGGATAAAAAAGTTATTAGGATACTTTATTTCACAGATTATTTCTACAATTCCCCGTTTTCCCGCAACTGAAATGGATTTGGTGACTGTAAACTAGTGGTTATTGTGAAGAAATAAAGCCAAATTAAAATATAACAATTTCCGACAAAATAATAGTATTTATTTTCCAAACATAGTACCAAAAAGTCAAAGTTGTTTAGCCCTATATAAATAGTGCACAAATTGCGAATTAATTTGTCAAAGAACATCAGTTTTGTCAATTTCTTAACTAAATTACTCTAAATAAATTTCACGACTCATTCTTCAATTTATAGGCACTCTCTAACTTATTCACCACCATACTTAGATCGGTGTCTTTAGTCAACTTCACGTACACCCCATTCCTAATACTATGGAAGACCAACCATTTTGGTGTCTCATGTGCTATCTTCCTCAAATGTTCTTCCATCTCCGTTCTGCTTAGGTTCCCCTTATAACATTTCTCTAACTTTTCGACAAGCCCTTCTAGAGGCAGGACAGATTTCTTCTCCGAAACGAAAACATTTCTGGTCAAACGAGCAAGTTCTGGTAAACGAGCATACAACTGAATCTCTTTTTCCTTATCGCTTGACCTGGTCATAGTTACTAATGCTTTTGCAGCTTGCCTTTCCCTTACTTTTTCCAACAGCGCTTTCGGTATTCCTTTTAAAACAGATTCAGGAATAAACTTTGGTTTTTCTTCTGTCAGAGTGGTATTAGTTTCTTTGGTCTCTTTTAGTTTGCGCAATGCTTGCTCCATACGAGCATTGCAACTAAAGAGTACCCTCGCTCTCTCTAGAACTTCTGCGCCAGTCGTCAATTTGTCCTCGGCGGGAGGTTGTGGGAGTACAGCTAACTCAATGTCAGGCACCTAAAAACAAATAGTTATTGAAATATTAATTTTATTGTACAATAGTACAATAGTACCTGCATTTTATGAAATATTGCAAGATCCTTATCTAAAATAACATCTAAACCGTGCTTTGCTCCACTTTAAATATTTATATTTTTAAAATTATGCAATAATAAATAATAATAATTTTGCAGATTACATCAGGTCAGCAAAATTAATTTTAAACAAAAACAACACCTTGAAGGATGAGTAAATGAAAACAAATTTTAAAAAATATCAAACAAAAAAAATTATGAGTTCCACAAGGTGGCCCAACTAATGTGGATGTGGACCAACACACTTTAAGCGACATTTCCGGTTAAAATTTTGGCAGAAGATATTTCAATCAATTTTATGGATAAATTTACAATAGCAAATGCAATCTACCAAATTTTATTATTATTGCTAAAGAAAAATAAAACTAATTCAGTAATTTTTAATAATATTACCGAGTAAAATTCAATTCAATTAACCAATCAAAAATTGAAATTCAGAGAAATAAAAATTGTTCTGGCAATTTTATTCCCTCATTTCACATGTCAAATATATTTATCAAACTGTTGTTTGTTGTGTGTTGTGTTGTTTTATGAAAAATATATTGAAAATCATTCAAAATCTGAAAGTTTCGGCCCTTAACACTATTTTGTATTTTCGGTTTGTTAGTCCTCATCTCATATTTATCTGAATACATTTTTGTAGGCAATTGAATTCTGTGTAAAAAAAAGCTCGGATTTTCATCAGACCAGCCCGTTTCCAAAAAATCAAGGCTTAATTAAATAGATTTTTTGAGTTACCTTTTTCATTTTGGAATTTTGTAACTAATAACTCAATATACAAAGAAGAAAGGAATAATAAGATCAGGGCAAAAAAAAATATACAAACAACACATCTTTTCTCATTAATATTAAGAGTCCAAACTTACAATACTATTTTTTCATTCTGATTGACTTTGCTAATATATTATTCATTTTTTTTTTTGGCCCAGTCTAATATTTGCACATAATTTGTAACTGACCTTTTCAATATCAAATTCGGGATGCCACCTTGTCACGTGATCTTTGGGAATATTAATTGGAGTATCTAGACTGATCAAAAATTCATTGTGGTAGCCTTTAACTTTGTCCAACAAAATATTATAAAGCTTCCTCCTCCTCTCCAAAAGCAACTCAGATGTCATATGATCATTCTCACTAAAATTTGGCTTTAACACCAACTCCCACTGTTCTGATTTTAAACCAGCCCCAAAAACCTTCAGTTTTTCTTGACTGAATGAGTATGCATCAGGATAGATGCTTTTAATTTGTGCCAAGTGCTTCTCCAATAGATTCCTCTTTAGCATTTCTTCAACAGCAGGTTTTAATTTCCGTAAGGTGATGGTTTCTTTACGATTAAATAATATTTGAGAAACTGTGTCCACAGCTCTGAACATTTCTGCCAAGAATCTGTATTTAAAAGGTAATGTCAGTGCTGGTTTAGAAGGCTCTTGTACTAACTCATTGGACTGACTATAAAGTGGTAAACACGATGTCTTCGTAGGACTCAGAAAATTCAACAAATTCTTGCGGACTCCTGTGGTGCTTTTTTTTGGGCTAAGATATGCCTTCTCAGGAGAAAATATCTTTTGGGGACTACAATAAAAAATACATAAAATTAACTCTTGCACTCTTGCCTTTAAAATCGATAATACTGACCTAGTGTGCACCTCTATCTCAATAGTTTTAAACTCCTTAAGTTTAGGTGATTCTCCAATTGTAGACGTTTTATCTTCAATCTCTGTTAGCTTTTTATCACTCTCTTGGAACTTGAGGAGTGAAGCTCTTAGCTCATTCAAACGGGTTGACCTCTTCATCCTATTCTTAATTTCCTTCAAGGATGGACCTTCAAGAAGTTTCATTCTATCCAAGGCATTAGTTTTTTGAGGTGTTGAAGGAGGGGTGATATAGCTACTATCTTCAGGTGACTCATTTGAACTAAGTGTCATATCTGTAGTTTGAGTATTCAAACTGATTGAATCCGACTTGTTTAGCTTGCTAAAAAGTTCTTGAATATCTCGGCTTTTGTGATCCCCCTTAATTTTGTTTTTCCGAGTGGCGTTCAAAACTTTTCTTGCTTGTTTCTCATTCTTTAAAACTGTATTTGTTACTACTTTATTGGTCAAAATTTTTGTCTCCTCTTGCGCATTTTTCACCTGTTTAAAAGAAACAAAGTCATTTGAGGAAATCATCGAATCCTGTTTATCAATATCAGTTTCTCCCTCTAAAGCTACCCCATTTTTACAAACACTTTTTGTTTGGGTAGAATCTAACACTAGCACTTTTCTTGCCTGCTGAATTTTGGAATCTTCGACAGCAGCCCGCTTTCTGGTGTTGAAAAAACACGCTACCGATGGTTGAGCCATTCTATAAACATAAAATTACAAACATAAACAAATTTAAAGGGAATTAAATGCCACGCAATTCGTTAAATTCCCTCCAAAACCTTTATTCGTCATGCACAGAACGGAGAGCGATTGCAAGTATCACAGAATAGCAAGATTTATTATGATCTTAAGTATGTAGTGTGCTGAAAATCTTTTCTATATATAGTCTCTATCTACCTACAAAGGCGTATCCTAAAAACATATTTTGTAGACATTACAAATCTTTCATTTTTTATTAGTTCAATAGGCTTCTATGTTTTGTTATGTTAAAATAAACTGAAACTGTAAACTAAACTTATTACAATATTCCCATACTGCTATGAATAATTGCTGCTCCAGTTTTCTTTCTGTGCGAGAATGGCGAAGCGCCCCCTATCAAAACTGTCATTCTGTTTGGAGTGCTCAGCGACGGCCATAATTAAACAAAAGAGTTTTTCTTCAAAATGAGGGACATTTGACTTTTTGCTCGAACTTTGGTTGTGATTGTGTTGAACGTATTCACAGATGAGCGCTAAATCGGACGTAAACAGACGTGTCTTGGCCATACAGGCCAAAAAGAAGCGGCACAAGCCTGGTAAAAAGAAAGGTAGAAACGATATGAACGGTCACGGCGGCGAAAATAGAATTCATTCGAAAAACGAACCGTCTCACAGTTCCAGCAATGAAACTATAGAAGATCCAGATGAACCTTATACTAGTGAAGAGGAAGAACAGGAAGATAGCACAGATTACCGCAAGGGAGGTTACCATCCTGTCAAGATTGGGGACTTATTTCTTGGAAGATACCATGTCACTCGAAAATTAGGTTGGGGCCATTTCTCTACAGTGTGGTTGTGCTGGGATTTGGAAGAGAAACGATTTGTAGCTTTAAAAATTGTTAAGTCAGCCGAACACTTCACAGAGACAGCTCTGGATGAGATTAAAATTTTGAAAGCAGTTCGAGATTCAGATCCTATGGATCCCAAAAGAAACAAAACTGTTCAGCTGCTGAATGATTTCAAAATAAGTGGAATAAATGGCGTGCATGTGTGCATGGTTTTTGAAGTTTTAGGCCACCATTTGTTGAAATTAATAATTAAGTCTAACTATCATGGCATCCCTCTAAGTAATGTAAGGACCATAATGAGGCAGGTCTTGGAAGGTCTGGATTATTTGCACACTAAATGCAATATTATTCACACTGATATCAAACCAGAAAATGTATTGGTTTGTGTGTCAGAAGAGTATATTAGAAGATTAGCATGTGAAGCAGCTGAAATGCACCAATTAGGATTAAAATTACCAACTTCGTTAATAAGCACAGCCCCACCTCAAGACATGATGCCTGTGAAAATGAGCAAAAACAAGAAGAAAAAACTGAAAAAGAAAGCAAAAAGACAAAATGAGTTGCTGAAAAAGCAAATGGAACAGATAATTGAAATTGAGGAAAAGAAAAAAGTTGTGGAAAATGGAGATGTTAACGGAGATACTGATTGCAATGGAGCAAATTCCAGTCCTGATAATCCTGAGGAAATGTCAGAAAAACTTTCAAATGGCTGCATGGATGAACTCGGTGGAGGTGAAGTTGTTATTCCTTGTGAAGATGTGTCAGTTGTTTTTATGTCAGAAGATGATTCGCCTTCTTTGACATCCCACTCAAAAAGCGAAAAGTTGGAGCTGGACCCTGCATTTGTAGAATGCGACTTCGAAGTAAAAATTGCCGATTTAGGAAATGCTTGTTGGGTGGAGAGACATTTTACAGAAGACATCCAAACTCGACAATACCGATCCTTAGAGGTTCTGTTGGGAGCGGGGTACAACACCTCTGCAGATATTTGGAGCACTGCCTGCATGGCATTTGAACTGGCTACTGGAGATTATTTATTTGAGCCTCATTCTGGGGAAGATTATTGCCGGGATGAAGATCATTTAGCACATATAATTGAGTTGCTTGGTAACATTCCCAGAAGAATCGCTCAAAGTGGAACAAACTCGAAATTGTTTTTCAACAAGAAGAATGAACTTCGACACATTACCGGTCTCAAACCTTGGGGTCTCGAAGATGTACTAACTGAAAAATATGACTGGAGTCGACAAGATGCAATGGAGTTTGCTGCATTTCTCAAGCCAATGCTCGATTTTGATCCAAACAGGCGCGCAACTGCCGCGAGTTGCTTGAAGCATCCATGGCTGAATAAAAAGTGAGTTAGGTGACTGATTACATGAAATTGCTTTTGTTAAAAATAAATATCTAGTGCATTTTAGTCCAATATTTTTTTTATGTCAAAATGCATTCAACAACCATTTACTGTTATTTATTTCATCCGGTTGAACAGGGCCTTTTTCTTTCTGTGTATATAGAGATTTGTAATAGATGAAAATTGTGATGTATGTGTTTTGTAATAGACAATATAAATGTCCCTGTAGGCTGTTTTGATGAATTTATGATTTAGTAATTTAATTTCTTAGGTGAAAAAACTATCCAAAAATAGCTCTGCAAAAAACTTATTTTCTTTTGCAAATTGTTAATTAATATAGATGAATACGTTTTTATTTTGATTAAGCTTAAAGCATTACGAAATTTGGTGGGATTCTGTATTAACTATAACAGAAGAACTACAGAGTCTTGAAATTAGATCTCAAAATCACAATATTATATGACCTATACATATATAGGTATCATTAAAAAAATAGTTATGCACGGTAGCTTAGAAGCGTAGAAGGGACTAGTTATTACTAAAAACTGTTATCTCTATTTTAGAGTGTAAACAGGTCTTCAAAATATTTAGTTTGGGACAAGTACGCTTTAGCAGAACCGCCAAATTAAGTTGTGCTTCTGCAAATAAATAAATGAGATTTTTGGATAGTTTTTCATTAATCAATATTTATTCATAGCCTGGGGGATAAACTTAAGTAGAATTTAGAAAACTACCCCAAATAGGGTGTTATCGACTCGACATGCAGATTCGGTATTTCCGTTTATAGTTCCTATCATGTTTGCAAGGCAAAAGTTGTAGTAGAAGTGAATATTATGCAAACTAAGAAAAATATAAAGGAGTTATTCTAGCCATAATAGATTGAGGGAATTATAGAAAATGGAAACCTGTTGCGATATATATCAACCAGTCAGTTCCACAAAATAGAAGCACCAACGTCATACATTTGTATTTAAAATACTTTAACTGATATATACAGATATATACATTACATTGTACATTGAATCTCGTAAAGTATACAATGAATTCATTGTTGTTAGTTTTATTGGAGCTGCACCCACAATGACAAGTAGTGTCAAAAATAAAACCTTTCATGTTTGTTTGTCAATATGTACTTGGGAATCAGTTGCAGTTAACTTTTGATATTTTAGCCTTTCCTTAATTTTTTTTTATAGCAAATGCGTTTTTGCTAACCAGAATGTTGAATTCAAATTAGACGTATCTGATACTACATTTTTCCATGAGTAATTAAATGGGATAGTACTCAAAGTGGTGTTTTGAGCAGTTTTAAATCACAAATAATGTCAGTATTTCAATTTTAATTAAAAACTAATTCTAGAGTAACAAATATGAAACATTTTTAATTCAAGAAAAACAATAAATAATAACTTTACAAAATTTTTCATGTATTTACATTTTTACATTATTCACCAAAGAAGTTTCTGGTGCAGTACGAATCATCTCTTTAGAAATCTATCCACTTGGCTTTGACAATCCTCAATTTCTTCCACCAAAGCTTTTGAAAATGCAAATGGTGTGGGATCAACTTTCAAAAAATCCCCAACCAACTCTTTAGGGTTTTTTCCCCCTCCCAATGCTAAACATTCTCTTCTGTATCTCTCCCCATTACTTCTACTGAAGGGATCACCATCGAAGTAAGTCTTCCATATCAAACTGGCTACTGCCCTTGATGCTAAATAGGAGTAATACTTTGCCCCATAGCCAGCCAAATGACTAAACCTTAATTGCCAAGCAGTGTTTGGAACATATGGCAGCCCATAGTACTTTGGCTGTGTTTCAGCTAAAACATTAGTGGTTGACTGTTTAAATGAGTGCTCTGCATGATACACTTGGTCCAGTGCACTATAGAAAATTTGCAATTGAGTTTCACTAGCTACAAATAGTCGCTTCGAGGTGCACAATCTCTCTAACATGTCATCTGTCAGTGGTTGATGAGTTTGGAAATGTTTAGCGAAACATTGCAACACTCGACGGTCAGATGAAAAATGTTCCATTAGAATGGAAGGTACTTCAGCAAAATCAGTGCTGCATCTTGTCCCTAAAAATAGAAATAGCATTACTATGACTAAGAGCTAAATTTTCAAAATATAGATATGAACAATATAACAAAAGAACACCATGAAATGTTAAGATTTCTCACACACCTGTAACATGTTGGTACTGAGTTCTTCCTAACATAGAATGCATGGCATGTCCCATTTCATGAAACAGATTATCCACCAAATTGGGTGTCAATAAGGAAGGGCTCGACCATCTTGGAGGTGGCAAATTGAGCATTAAAACTACAATGGGTAACTGATAAGAACCATCAGGTAACTGTTTTCCCCCTCTGATCGTAAAATGACAATCTTGGTTAGGTTTTCCTGAGCGCTCATAAAAATCGCAGTAAATGTACCCCAGCAAACCCTCACTCTCATGTTCAACAGCTAATTTGTAAACATCTGGATACCAACATTCTCCTGCAAATATGCCATCAATCTATCAGTCTTTACTTTTTTTATATCTATCATACCTGGAGAAATATGACTATTTACCAAGCTAATGCCAAACAGGGACTGAAATATCATATTCAGTCCATCCATACAGGTTCCAAGAGAAAAATATGGGGAGTACTCTTTTCCAGATATTTTGAACCAGTCGTTTTTAGCAAGGTAGGTATAATATGGGACATCCCAAGCAGATAACATACCATAGTTTGGGGATTCCTTTTGTTTGATTTTATCCATGCATTCAAAATCCAGCTGAGCCTTATCCCAAATCTTTAGGTTGAGGTCATCTAAGAAATTCATAACATTTGCCGAAGAATCCATAATGCCACCTTTTAGAGCCCTTTCTGAGTAAGTTGAAAAGCCACAAATCCTCGCCAACTTGTATCTGGCATGAAGTAATTTACTTAAAAGGTTTTCTTGTCGAGGATCTTGGTGCAAATAAATTTTGTAAGCCATTTCACGTACTATAGGATTACTTGAATGAGTATATAATCCCGAAATTATAATTTTTTCTTGGTCACCCACAAAAATATCCCTCACATTTGTTGGTAAAATATTTCTATGTACTGTTCGAGAGGTTGAGGTTCCAGCTACAAATTGTTGGCTTAAATTTAATATGTCGTCATTTAACCACACCACTTCATTTCTTGCTATTTCTGATAAATGGATACCACATTGTTCAAAGTCAAAAAGGAATAATTCACCCACCAATTTGTCAACTTCAGTCAGCTCTAAAACATCACCTTTTCTAATAGAACTTTTTAAAATATTGTAGAGTTCAACATTTGTATTTAACTTCTCTACAATACCACTAACTGTCGCACAGGCAACTTGAGCTGCTTCGTTAAATTGTTGGTTTGGATGTGATAACCTAACAAATTCTGCTAGATCCGCTACTTGGCACAAGGAATCTGAAATATCATCGAATATTTCAACCATCTTTCTAGACCTTAAGCCGTGCTGTGTAGCTTCATTCATTAAATTATCTGTTTTCTGAAGGCATTTATATTTCAAGGAACCAAATCCAGCAGGTGATTTTAGTTCCTCTATCCCGAAAAGACCAACATCATCTTGCTTGGTGTCTACTTTTTGAAGAGGACGGGAATTAAACGCCTCTGCCAAAGGAGACCAAATGGATACATTCGATTTTGCGAAATGCAATATTCCGCAATGCGGTTTTATCGTCTTTAATGGAAACATTTTAAATTATAGTATTAAACATGGCAGTTTTTTTAACAACTAAATAACAAAAACATAACCTTTAAAAATTCTTCTTCTAAAAGTTTAAGGAGAATTGCTGCAGGATATATTGCCATGATTCTAAATTCTAGATAAGAAAAAGTTAATACCATTGATTGCATGCATAACGTTTTGGATTGCTAGAAAGAACCACGAAGTAGATCAATGAGCGAGAATATATATAATTTCGGTTAATTCCATTCTATGATTTATTGTATAAAATATCCTAATGAATTTTTAAATATAAATTTAAAATATCTCTTTTGCAAAAAATGTCAGTGTGTTCATTTATTATATTGTATACCCATAAAGGTCTTTAAAAAATGTATAAATAAATTTCCGTAAGTAAAGACCGTTAATGACGTCACTATAATATCCTCTGTCGACGTCAGCCAACTGTTGAAATTAAAAACTCTCCTACACAATAAACACAAATCAAGATCCACTTTTGTTGTCTGTGTAACATATATCCTCTGTCGCGTACAAATAAAATTCTGTGTAGGGCACCTACATATAAAGGGCGTTCACAAATAAATTAGTCTATTTTGCAACAAAATAAAAAACCTTTTGCAGAGAAATCTCAATACATATTTATTGGCCACATTATCCATAAAGTAACAAATAGGAAACAAAAAACTCACTAGATTGTGCAAAATCCAGAGGAAAGAACCGATTATAATAGTGAAGGTGCTTTAAAATTTCCACCATCATGGGTTTAGAAACATTTATCATTTCAACATTGTTATCCAGCCGCCAACTCCTTAGCTGTTGGTCATCTTCACGGTCAATAAATTTAAACAAGGTTTTTGCCACACTTTTTGGTTCAACCTGGCCAACTCTATTAAAAATTACATCTAGATTCTTTTCTAATATCCAAATTAAAAGGTAGTGGTTTTGTCGTGGTCGTTGGTAGCACAGGATAACTTTAACGGTGTTTAATATGCATCGACTAAAACAATTTCTGATAGTTTTTAATACATCGGACATAGGATCAGTAACCCTAATGGAATTTCTATCAGAGAATTGCACAGTGTTGAACCACAATTTAACAGTTTCAAAGTTATGAACGCAACCTATCCAATATAAGCAAAACCTGCACAAGAGAATATTTTTCTCCTGTGTAAACTGTGTCAAATTGACTTTATTTAAATGAACATAGCAATCAGAAAAAAAAACATCAAACTTGCCGGGACTGAGATCCACAGAACTAGACAAGTGGTTATGACAAAACCAATCCCCATAGTCCAAACTGTCCGAGGGTAATGGCAACACTCTCTTAAAACAGAGGCCACCGTTACTTAACAACTTTTTACAGTTGTTGCATTTAATGTTATAATCTATCCCTGATGATAAATATTTCTCGGTTTCTAATTGGAAGGAGTCAACTTTGTTTTTAATTAACTCTACAGAAAAGCTGCCAAAGTAGTTATCATCGACATTTCTTAAGAAGAAACGAAATGAAACAATGCCATTAACAACTTTTACCGAGGCCAATGTTGAAGGAGTAGCCTTAAAGGCATTTAATGGAATTGAAACAGTTTGCTTTCCAATAACAATTTGGAAATGGTCTTCACATAAAATCACATTTAAATCTTTTAACGAGCTATCCAACAATGTGACAAAAACATTTGCACTCTGCAGTTTACGCCTAATTTCAATTACAACAATTTTATATACCATTGCGCCTTTTCACAATTCCCTTTTCCACAAATTTATCAAACCATTTGTCATTTTCCCTTACCACAAAGGGAATGGTGCTTCTTTGATAATAATCTGACAATAATTCTATATTATTAATAACTGTTGTTAACAAGTGAGCTCGTTCAGTTAATATCCCTGGAGCCTCATGCCTTAAGTAAGTAAAGTGTACATGCAAGTGATAAAAGGAAGGCTGATAATGAAAGTATATCCGTAGGTCTGAACTCTCAAGTCCATACTTATTCTTAATTGCGGCCTAGAATAAAATTTAGCTCCATAAACATATTAGAATCAGAAAAGATGTACTTACTATGCCTTTATCTCTAATATTTTTTAATAGGGGCAGATGGTCTGAAGTCAAATCCCTTATTGACTTAATATTTATTTTTTTGATGATAGCTAAGAAATACAGTGTGTCTATTTCTCCATTCCACTTTAAATCAGGTACCATTACAAAGCCATTGTTAGGATCAGTATCTTCTACCAGAATTCGATCTGATTCTGATTTGTGTTCCAAAATATTATACACCCACTAAATGAAAAAATCATCAATTACTTTTATAAAACTAACCATGTTTTAACCTACTTGTAAATCAAACTTCTGGTCAGTTATATGCGGCAAAACAATTTCAAAATAAATATCTGGAGTCTCTTCTATAATATAAAAAGTCTGAGATGAATATTTTGCAATGTGTTTTTCGGTAGCTGGATGAATTATTGTTGCCTTGATGCCTGAAAAATAAAGGCAACAAATAAACCAATTTAGAACCCACACAAACCATAATTACATACTATTCAATTCTTGAATAGGAAAATACTTGTAATCACCATACACGTCGTTATGAAATATTTTTTCGAGTTGATTTTTTTCACAGAAAAATTTACTGTCACTAGTTAAATCATCGACCGAAAATGCGGTTTTTTCCAAAATAACTACAGCTTCCCCCTCCTTGGATTGAAAACTTCCTCTCAAACACACGACTTTCCGGTTAGTACTATTTTGCAAAACACTGCCCAATTTGAACTCTGACAGATCTTTTATGTTTTCGTGCAAATTTAGGTTTAATTTCGGTTTTTTTGACTGAATTCCCTGGCTTTCCAAACTCATAACTTTATCATAAACAATATAACCCCTAAATAAAGCAGTTTTTGTTACCATAGATAAATATAAAATAGACTTAGGTTAGTTACATGTCTGATGATTGATCTTGGTGGTCAAAAATTTTAAATTTTAATTACTGTTTTGGCCCGTATATAACGCGACTCCAAAGTTATTTATGAAGATTTTTAACGGAAAATAAGTGGTCGAAAAATATAGGGTTATATTCAAGCCAATACAGTAGATACTTATTCACCAAAGTTATTAAGCTGTGTATTTACGTTATTCAAATCCAAACTAATAATCGGTAATTATTAAACAAGCGAACTAAATTCGGTTTTAGTTTTTGGTTGTAACCATTGAGAAAACTTAACCTTACCAATATAAATCAAACTGACCAATACTTTTCCCTTTGCTTTTTTTATTGTTTTGAAATGTCGTTTGTGTCAAAGAAAAGTGATCACATCATTCACATCGAAGTGTCTAAAATGGGTACTTTTAGGATATGATTATTTGTTTTTAATACTTAATTCGCAAACCAATAATTCCGTTTTTTCCGTACAACGTACAACGGTTAGTCAACGGTTGGAATTTCATGTTCTTCCTGTTACGAAGTTTAAACACAAAATTGTTTGACGTCTTACTTTAAAGATGCCCAACCCATTTGGAAGGTATGTCTGACGTAATTTTTTTTGTCAGACCAGAACTTTGGAGTTGAATTTATAAACAAAATCTATTAACCCATGTGTATTGCATTTGATAATTATTTTTTAAGAAAACATCATTTGTGGTGGATCTGAAAATGAGTTACTAAAGCTATATATAGATACATGATTTAAAATAACAAGTGGTAAAAATGGAATCAGATTCTGGAAAAGAAATAAAGGAAAAATGTTCGCGATCAGACAAGGAACAGTGTTCTTGTGAAAAATCTTCCATTCAGAGTGATGGCAGCAGTTTAGAGTTGCATGTATACAAGGAGAAAAGAAGCAAAATAAATCTTTTCAATATACGAAGAGCAAGGTCCCTACACTTTAATTCTAAACGAAATAAAAAGGTATCCCAGAATATTCCCTCCACATCTGGTGCAAGTGCATGTAGTGGTGCTTTGAAAAAATCTCCGAAATGGAATATCAAATTTAATTACCCTAAAAAAGAAGCTAAAGAAACTGTCGGTGACCAACTTAGAAATTGTTGTAAATGTACTTGCTATAAAAGAGAATTTAGCAATGTAGCGAGCAACAGTGAGTGGCAAGAAAATAGGGATTCCAATTTGGAAAAAGGTAAGTGCTTGGCTTTTAATAATTTGCTTGTTTTATATTATGGGCAAATCATTTAGTGAATACCATAATTGGAATATCCTTTTAGATGAACCCATCAAAAACAATAATCTAGCTCATGAAAGGGATGCAAGAGTTGATCTTCATGCACCTCAGCTTGAAATAGAACAATCCAATAATGTGAGGGGTATTTATGGAACTGCTGGAGCCAACAACTCGGCCCCATTCAATATTGTTATAAATGCGCCATTTGTCAATGTTGATGTCCAGTGGTAAGATACGCTCATGTTTACCAGTATGTTAAAATAAGAGGTTGGTTCAAAAATGAAAACCAGCATAGAACAATAATTGAATTGAATAAAGTAGATGCTTTGTGTATTAAACCAAGGTAGGATGGGGGCCAAATTTTTTCTGCAATAATAATAATAATGTTTACAATTTGATAAAGGACCAGCTTAATTACTCCAAATTTTTCAGTAAACCCATGATCTGTAAAATATAATTCAACTGACATGTCTCACAATTGATAAAAATGTTAATGAAATCACTTACTGAGCAATCTTTGAACTTCTTATCTCTGGCCAAGTCTTTGAGACATTCTCAATGCAATGGTTTAAAAGCGAATATGAATCATTCCCTTCCTGGCATGCAAGTAGAGTCATAAAACATGGTATGCGCCAGAAATTTAGTAACCCAACCTTAGAGGAAGTATATCCAATAACAAACAAGTATTGATACGCTTTTATTTTATATATGGCATTCAGAGTTGGATTCTGAAGATATGAAAATACGGTTTTTCCATTAAATATTCTTGAAAAATTGACCCCATCACATGTAGGTCGACTTTTCCTATTCAAATGTTTCAATTATCACCACCCAGTACAGTCCAGTAAAGTTATTTGTTAAATATTACCAAATAAAGTCACTCTGAACTTTGCATATTGGTACCCACTAGGATGAGAATGGTTCATGAGGATTGTGACGAGGCAGCCAGATTAGCACGTGCTAGAGAAATAGAGCAGGGTGTTGATCCACCAGCCAATTTCCGCTCAGTTAGACGCCTTCAATTGTTCTGTTCAGATTCTGAATCAGAAAACAACTCTACCCAACCTCCACGACGGTACATACTTCACGAAAAACTGGTTTCATGTATTAACATAGTTGCTTCCAGATTGCAGCTGGTCTGCCCGCCTGATCTCAGTGTAGAGTCCCTAAAAGCCCTGTTCCAAAACCATGTGACATTAAGGTCCTGCCCACTCGATTCAATAGCGGGTTGCCATACTCAAGTTGATTTCATACACTGCCTGGTACCTGACTTGTTAAGTATCACCAACTGTAGTTTTTATTGGGGTAAAATGGATCGTTATGAAGCGGAGAGGCTCCTGGAGGGCAAACCTGAAGGCACTTTTCTCCTGAGAGACTCTGCCCAAGAAGAATTTTTATTTAGCGTATCTTTCAGAAAATATGGGCGTTCATTACATGCTCGTATTGAACAATGGAATCACCGATTTAGTTTTGACTCCCACGATCCGGGCGTTTTTACCTCGGACACGGTTTGTGGTCTTATTGAACATTATAAAGACCCAAGCAGTTGCATGTTCTTCGAGCCCATGCTAACTTGGCCATTACATAGGAATTTTACGTTCTCCTTGCAGCATTTGGCGCGAGCTACTATAGTAAATCGACTGGCTTATGACAATATCAACCAGCTGCAACTACCGAAAACTCTGAAGACATATCTGAAAGAATACCACTATCGTCAGAAAGTAAGAGTTGAAAGGTTCGACGATGATGTGCAGTGGTTGGAAGTTAGAAACATACCACCTTGACCAGTTTTGGTCAGCTGGTATGTCCGTTCTTGTTACTTAAATAGCTTAAGGAGGTTAAAATTATTATTTAGATATTTTGATAGTTTAAAAAAAAAAGTAAAAACATCCATATTGGATTTATTTTAATTATTTATATCACAATGTGGATTGTTTTGTGTTCTCCTTTACCTCTATGGCATTAGATAATTTCATATAATTTTTCTGATTTTTTTTTTATGTACATTATAGTTTTGGATCAGCATCTGTTTTAATGGAGTATATTCGATTATATCATTTATTATATTATTGGTTGAATAAAACTTTTTTAAGTCGTGTGTTGTGTACCACTTAACTAATTCACTAGTTTCCTTATTTTTTTGTTTAGGACATGAAAAAATTGTGCATTACTAGCAAGGTTGAATTCCAAGAATGAAAGAAGTTTTGGGGCAAGTTTACCAAGGCCAAGAATACAGAGAAACCTGTACACATTTTACAAGAATGTTTAATCTTTGCAATCATACTAGAAAAATATTTTGACAAACCTAACTTTTGTAGGAAGACACCAGTGAAACACAAGTTTGTGGGTAATGATTAAATTTTTTTCCATTTTGCACATTCATGCCAAGTGATGCAAGTGGTGCGAGATGTTAGGGAATTTAGCGTTTCCAAAAGTTTGGTTTTAGTTTCATGTAATGTGTCGTGTATTGTCTTATTGCTCTGTTAGGGCCTTTAAGGTCTTTGATAAAAAATAGGAAGTTCATAACACCAATGAAAATATGCAGTCACTTTTTATCACAGAACATTTTATTTCCACCTAACAGCAACAGCAACAAATTAGTAAGTTGTCACAGACCAGAAAATCTGTTGTCTTAAAGGTAAATAATACGCAGATACTTGCAAATATGTATTTACAAAAACACAGTGATGCCAATATTAAAATAACAAACTTTCGTAAACATTAGCACCCAGGGTGTTAATCTTTTCATCTGTTATTAAAATCTGTGTAAAATTTTGGGGGAATGATTGCTTGGAGAGTAAGCCATTAAGAATAGGTATCAATTTTGCCATAGGTTTTTTACTGCTAAAAGGGTTCAAAAAAGTGTCAATGTCCACCTTTTCATCCCTTAGCTCGGAAAGCTTTGATTCATTTTGTCCAAAAAACTCTGATAACTGGTCGCCAAGGACATAGAAACCTTTGCTCACATAATGGGTGACTATTAACTTCACTTCATCACTTTCTAACAAATCTGCAGTGTCCCGTAACTAGGAATATAGAACATTACAACAATGAATATTATGTGAAGGACACTTACCATGTTATGATAGACATCAGTATTACTTGACAGTTCATCGTTAATCACATAGGGCCGAATTTGTTCAATGGGGCTCTCTTTATGAGAGGCTAAGCTGCTTTGTAATGACCAGAAAATTGCTTCCAAATCACTTAGTTTCATTTGCTTTTTCAAATCCACCCTTTCTAATATTTTTTCAACCTGCAAATACAGATAAAATATTTATCTACCTATTCTTAAAATTATTAACACTTGCCTCAGTTTCAATAGTATTAGTTAACTTTTTAACACCCACATTTAGAAAATTCTGCCACAAAGATAAATACTGTTCTTGCTGCTGGGTTGATACATCCATTGTGTTTCTATATAAGTACCCACCCAGTATGTTTAGTTGTATTTTCAAAGTCATAACTAACATAACAAGACCATAAATAACACAGGCTGCCTTTGTAAAAACTTGAACCTAAAAGAAAATTCCAAACTTTGTTCATAACAAATACTATTTCAATAAATTTGAATATCTGATATGTGTATGCATTTTTACACATCCTTTTTGGATGTCTTGGATATTTCGCTGCTTGTTTGATATTCTGTTATATTTACCTTTAAGGTATTCCATTTTTCAAACTTATTTACAGAATTACTCTTCAAAGATTCAATTATAGAATCTGTATCAACTTCTGCATATATAGTATCCAATAATGAAGACGAAAGGCCCAAAATGGTTTGATTACATGTCTGATTGATACTCTCAAAGTGACTTTGTTTACGATTACGTTCCAAAAATTCTCTTGCTTCTTTTTCATGCCAATCACGCAGGCGTTTTTGCATATATTTCGATAATAGTAATGTACTTGTAACTAGTAGCCCTCCAATGAAAAATTTGTTTTTATGCCTTGAAAAAAATGATCGTATTTTGAATAGAGTAGACATTGTTCGTTCTTGGCGTAAAGTTTTTATGCTAATTGTCACCAGTATTTAAATAAATCACATTTACTCTACATATTTACGGATAATAATAATTACACACCGTGTAATAAACTATAGGTCTAATAATCAAAGATAAAAACTAATGGATTTTGAAATTTAACAACCACGGTAGTCCTCTGGACGTTCTGGTCTCGTACTTTTAAATTGGCACAGACCAACTAGAGTGAAAAAGAGGAAGAAGAAGAATTTTTGACCAACGCTCCGGTTTATGGTCAATTTCTGAAACCTATATACAAAATGTATGTGAAAAGTGATGAAATGTTTTTCCTTTAGATTATGTCTCTGTAATTATGTTGCGACTACAATTGTGATTATTTTGCACAAATATTTGTTTTCAGTTTGTTTTGATGTCTCATCTCGACTTGCTGCTTTGGACGTTTGTTTAAAGTATTTCATTTAAATGTGACTTAAAAGTCTATTTTTCCCAAGAGCATATTGCTGTTAATAGATCCAACATGATAAAAATCCGGTCATTAAATCGGGATTCTTCGTCTGACGACGATGTACCTACAATTAGAAGAGAAGCACAAGTAAGAGTATCATTTAGGGTAGGTGAGCTTTATTCATTGTCGATTTAGGAGGAAATTGTGTTAGAACTTTATAACAAAGCATTAAGGGCACAAGCAAACAAGAATTGTTCTGAATCTGTGGAAATACTGAATGGACTTGTCAGTGAGAACATACCACTTCTTGAAAACAATGGAGGTCTCCCTAAATCCATGGCTTCATTGAAATTTTCATGCTACCTGAATTTGGGCAACAATTTTTTGCACTCTAATGACATCAACAAGGCCCTAGAAAATTATTTAGTGGTCAGTGATTAATATTGTGTTTATGAACTTTGATTATCATGTTACATTTTAGGCTTCTGAACTAGATGCCACAGATGTAACTTTATGGTGCAAAATAGGCAAATTGTCTTTAAAGGAGGATAAATTTAGGCAAGCTGCTTATGCATTTGCAAAAGTAGGATTACTGGTTTGTACAAATTCCTTTTAGTGTGTTGTATCTTTTAGGGCTTGGAATGTAGTGAATATCACTGGCCTTGTCTTGATAACCTTATTTCAGTATTGTATGCCCTGAAAGACACCATAGGCTGTCTCTATTACATTGACAAAGCATTGTCAAAAGATTCTGAATATACTAAAGGTTTAATTCTGTCCAAACATATTTATAGTGATAACCCTGCTAGTAAAGAATATTATCGATCATTATATCCATATCAGTAAGCATTTTATTTTGTTGTTTGATATGAGCTTAATTTGTTACTTACCAGGAGATATCAACCACTGGTTGATGTTATAATTGATGAAGAGGATGAAAAAGAGGTATTAGCAGAGGTGCAGGAGTTGTGCAATAAAGTAATAGAAACAGAGAAAGATGCTGGCTTGAAAGTAACTCAGACTCTTCCTTTACCTAAACCACTAGAAGATTATACTTGGGTTTCTGCTGCTGAAACCATCATATATCTTCACCAATATATTGCTGATCAAGAACTTGTGAGTGAATATTTCAAATGTTGAGAAAATTAAAAGAACTGAACAAAATTTATAGGAGTTGTCAATAAAATTACTAGCCAAGCAATAATACTTTTAAAAAAATGAATAAATTTGAAATTTAGAAATGTAATATAAATAAAGTATTGAGTGAAGTATTTTGACTTATAAAACCATTAACACTGTTAGATGTATCTAAAGTGACATATGTCTAATTTAAATGAAACTCCCTGTATATTTTTCCATTTTTGTATTCTATGTATAAATTCGAATAGGAAATTTTCATCTTTTTTTGATAAGTTTTGGTTAGTGTTTAGCTCTAATAGTTTTGGAGGTAATAGAGTTCAAACATACAATTTCAGCCAATTTAAATAATAAAAAAAAAAAAAATATATATATATATATATATATATATATATATATATATATATATATATATATATATATATATATATATATATTATTATTTATATATATATATATATATATATATATATATATATATTTTAATCCAAAAATTGACAAAGTATCTTTTATAGAAAAGCAGTTGATGAAAGTGAAAACTAATTTCACCCGCTTTTACCGCTACTACACTGAGAACAGTGTAGTAGGTGAAATCAGTCATACTATTGGAATAAGTCTCGAGAATGCAAGAAAAGTTTTGTTGAAATGTAGTTCTAAATCCTTTAAACTGGTGTATACAACAACAGGCCACCATTCATAATTTCAGAAGTTCAAGTTTTTTTGGATGAATGTCGCTTGGGGAATCTTAACATAAATAATTTAAGATAATGGTCTAGGAACAATTTAAATGAGAGAGGGAGCCTTCCGATACAGGATTGCGGTAAATTTTTGTTTCTCTTGGCGTTTTAGGGATCGTTTTATTGGACCACTTCTTTTTTTTTAACGCTATTATACACTTAAAGATATCTGGAATTAACAATTCAACAGTGCTTTTCCTCATAGTTCCAGGTTATTATTTAGATATCTGTAGATGGAAACCTAGGCGAAAACTGGATAGGCACTAAGTTTGGCGACCAGACACCATTGGAATTTTTTACTGGGGTCACATTAAAGAAAAGGGTGTGTAAACCGTGATCTTACAAATTAAATTAATGAGTCATAAGATCAACCACTCCAATAAAAATGGAATATTGTTTGCGCTGATTTGAAAAACATGTTATTTTGTGTTTAAATATGACTGGTAAACTTTTGAAAAATTAATTTATGTTATATTATTTATATTTGTTATATGGTAGTATGTAATTTGTGTTTTAATTTATTATTTCATCAAAGCACATATTTTAAATATGTCAGTTGAATATTTTTATTTTCTAAAAATTGTTAAATACCTACATAGGTATGAAACAATACATACTATCATTTTCACGGCCGCATTTTAAATATATATTTTCATCTCGGAGACCCACGGGTTGAAATGAGTTTGACTTTTAAATTTGGAGGCACAAAAATGCTTTATTATAAAAATTACTATTAACCGGACACAGAATAATAAATATGGGACCTTTAGGATGGTTTCCATTGAAAGTTTTGAATGCTACTATATATAACACTATCAGAGCTATCGAAAATATACAGGATGTTTCAGTTAAAATAATGAATTTGATCTCACTTTCGGCAAAATCGGAAGTGATATTCAATTGTTTTGGATGTCAAATTGTAGTCATTATTTATATAACATCTTTAAAATTTTAAATTTATTTAATTTTTTTTTTAAGTTATTGCGTAGCTAATAATTTCGTTCACATACCAACTGAAAACAAGATGTCTTTCAGGGTCATTTCACTTTAATTGATCTTAATAAGTCCATGAGCCAGTCAAAGGAGATTGAGACAAAGCAATTGAAATTTGAAATTTGTGATGCAGCCCAGATTGAATCTTCCATGAGATCAGCGGAAATAGTTAATGGAAATGATATTGTCATGGATGTTAAAGAACTGGAAAAAGGTGAAGTAGAAAATGTGTGGCAAAGAAGAATGTCGCAGACCAGTGATATCAATAATGATGGTCTAGATACTACTCCAGTGCAAACAGATAATGATGAGGTCAGTTTCTGGTGTTATTTATTATTTTATTTGTATTCTTTCTGTAGGAACAGAATATGGAATTAGATAATGATGAGACAGATGGTGATAATGGCGACACAAAAAACGAAAGGGGTCGACCGAAAGGTGGTAAACGAAAACGGGATGTACTTTCAGACTTGCAGATTTGGGGTTGGCATAGTAAACGAAAGCAGATCAAGAAGTCTAACAAGGATTTGACTGTTGAAGATGCCTTGAACAGGATCATACCAAAAAACCTGTTAAAAAATAAAATTTGTCTAGAAAATCCTTCACAAAATGATGATTCCATGAACACCATGGACATTTACAATATGTATGTTGGAGATAAGGAGGTTAAGTTTCTCTCACCAATACACTCACCAAAATCGGTCAATTATGAGGCTTATTTTGGCACAGACCAAGAAAAAGAGGATGTCCTTAATTTCTGGTGCCAAAAACGTGACCATGTTGATGCCATAGTGCTTGTTAAGGAATTAGTTTTTGCTCTGTCTAAAATATGGCATTACAAATGGCCCAAAGAATTGGTGCGGCTGTACTTAAAAGCCTACTGCATGTTTAGAGAACATTTTGACCCCCCACAGTTGTTTTGTGTTGAGTCGTCTTTTGATAAAATTAGAGATGATGCTTTGGCAACTCTGCTTGACGCGGAATTAAAAACTTTTAGCTCTGATGATCAAGAATTGGTTGATTGTGCTATTTTAGGTTACCTTCAATTGGTGAGTGCATGGAACGATCAATGGGGAGAAGAATTTCACTCTTTTTTTAACCGCTTTTGCTGGTTAGAGTGTCACATTTTCAGGAAAGATGACATGAATGATTTGGCCATAAGAAACCTGGAACTAATAATGGAAATCATAGAGGAGCATGAACAGAATAGCAGCGATAAATATGCCCTCAATTTACCCAACTGCTTTAAGTACGGGTTTATAACCAAAGACATAGTAGAAAAAATCATTAAGTACTTAAACATGATATCTTCACTTGGAAATGTCGAGAATTTATATAACTCTGGTCAATATAAAGAAGTTTCTGATATAATAAAACAAACATTTGTTGCGGGGAGCCATCCCAAAGTGGGTCGAATGGGGCGACCAGCTCAGTTAGGATTTCTCCTGCATTCATTGTGGTATACGGACATGGGCGAATGTTTCATATGGGCCGAGGAGTGTTTCCATGAGGCGATGCAGAACTATCAGCAACCAAATCTAGATCGCGACAAATGGGAGAAAATAATCGAAAAATGCCTGGGGATATTTCAGGATGGAATTAAACAGGAGTCGGTGTGCATTATTGACGTGTTGAGTGAAGAAAAACGGTGCCGGTTGGTGGAATGTCTTTCGAAACTTGTTTGCAAGCAGCTAAACACTGAGCATGCTCTTTGCATTCCTTTGGGGACTATTACTCCTTGGCTTTTGCTTCATTACATATTGTTGAGGTAAAATTATTATCAAATGTGGCTAAGATAGCAATCAATTTTGTTTAGGGAAGAACATAGGCAGTATGCGATGAAACGCGTTAACCATTACAAGAGAGACAGGCCCGAATGTTCAAGGGATGTAGTATTGGATGATGAAGTGCCACCCTCCATAGCTATTTTGTTTTCTGCCCATGAATTTTTGGGTAAGTTTTGCTACAAATTATAAAATTTTACCACCACCTTGTTGCTTCTTGAAAAATAAATCAAGAACTGATATAAACATGAATATAAATCTTTACCAGTACACATGGGAATAAAATACAAAATAGAAGATCATTTTAAAGATTTCTTCATTGCAATTGCAATTGTTATTTGTGTATATTTTGAGATATGCTGGGTTATGGGCTAGGTAGGCTAGGTGTTAATGTATGTCACAATGATATGAAAGAATTATATCATTACATATATTTACTGTCAATGACTATGCCACATTAAATTATCTATGAAACTATGGAAATAGTATGTTTATGGTCATCAAACAAACAAAAATTATTAATTAGCTTATTCATTAGCTTATTAGATCAGAGGAAAATTACAATGATATACAAAAGATTGAACTGGACAAAAAATTAATTAAAAAAAAAAAAAGATGACATGAAGCCTAGAATCTTAATTGCTCTATTTATTCAGTACTGGATTTTTTTCTGCATTGTTTGTTCAAAATATACACATGTCGCGCCTAATTATTAGTACCACTTATTTTAGATTTAGTTTTTGTTTGCTTTTTATAAACTTTTATTAAATTCAATTGAATTATTACATTATTATATTATTATTATATTAGGTCCGAAGGGCTGGTGTTTAACGAAAGATGGAGATTTACTCCACTTCATCTTAGATACAGTGTTGGACAGGTTAGATACGCCTATATTTGAGCAACTGCGGGACAAAATCGATTTACATATAGAGCAAGCTTTGTTTTGCTTGTATATGTATCCGAGCAAAAAGAACAAGGTAACACTTCATTCTTATTAGTTTATTTGACCAATTAATAACAAAAAATAGAATTTTCTCAAAATCGCAAAAGGAAATTAAAAACCAGCTAATAACGGTTGTATCACTGAGCCAACTATCTGTATGTACTCACATCAGATTGCCTTATTTGCTTTCCGCATTAGATTTCTAGACATTTGGTGGACCATAATGTTACGCCGTTGCCGCTAACTTGGGAACGGTCGTTTCAACTCTACCAATACTATGCACCAGATTCTTTACCAGAATTCAACTCTTACAAAAACGCCTCAATATCCGCCGAGTTGGAACAGCTTCTAAAGCGTATGATCGCGCTTGTACCCACAGTCTATGAATTTCACAGTCACCTACCCAAAATAATGGAATACATACATGGAAAAGTGGATACAATTCCGGAACCAGTTGATTTTCCCAACAAAGTGCGCGCGATATATTACCTAATTGGAGACTACTACTTCAAACAGCGCGAATTTACCAAGTGCATAAAGTATTTCCAATTGGACTTGTGCATTAATCCTCTCCGTCTAGATTCGTGGGCGTGTCTCGCTTTGAGCTACGTTGCACAGCTCGACACCAAGCTGAATTACTGTGAGAAAATAAAAAACGAAACTGAATTCCTGGACAAGGCGAATTCTGCTCATATATGTTTCAAGAGAGCTTTGGAACTTGCTCCTGATCACTTGATGTTGTGGATAGAGTGCGGCTCGTTCGAATATATGGTCCATTCTTTCTGTTCTCGATTGATCAAATATGAATCAGAAAATTTCAACATGGAAAAGTAAGTTATTACAATGAAATACTTAGGATTTTACTTATTTATACAGATTCGATAATTTTTGTCATGATAGTAACATTGTATCAGGTTTGAGGTATTGGAAAGCCAGAAGGAAAGGTACTTAGATAGTTCAGGGAACAGTTTTGAAAAAGCGATAACTCTTTATGAAGTTGATGATAGTGGTGAGGCGGATGAAAGGTGGTTGCAGTACTACATCCTGGGCAAAATTGCGGAAAAGAAGAAGAAAGAACCCACTGAATACCTACAGTATTATCTAACGGTAGGATAAGTATTTCATTTTTCAAAGAAACTTCCACAGACCACTGTAATACTTTTTACAAAACCTCTGGATTCCTCCTGCGTCGCAGTTTCAGTGAAGCTCTGAAGAAACCAATAGGATGATTGGCGAAACGACTCAGCAAAAACCGACACAGGAGGAATCCAGAAGTTTTGTAAAGAGAATAGTCAGCTTTATTAACCACAAATTCACTGTTGAAAATTAGTTTGTTTGTTTATTGTTTTCAGTATAATCATTATTCACTGTAGGTGGAAATTTTTAGGCAAGTGCATTGCTTCACGAGAATAACGCGACTTACCCGGAAAAAATTAATTACAATAATCCCCAACATTTGTCAGTAGAAGCATTGGAACTCCACTACAGGATTCACGCTTCGGTTTTAAAATATCTCGAGCTCCACGAAGATAAAGAAATCACAACCGCTCTTGGTGCCTTTTTTAAGAAATGTCTTAACTCCACAGTTAAATATTTTGCCACGCCTACGCCAACGGGCACTGCCGCAGAAGTACCTAGTAAACTGGTGGATAATATTACCAATGGTAGCGTGAGTGCGGCAAACGGCACCAGTTTTCAAGAACAGTTTCTAAACTCCATAAAAAATATTACCAATGACGACGCCAAAGAACTCCCAGATGAGGAGGAAGAAGAAGTAAAGAAATGTTTGGAAGATGTTTTAATGCTGGTTGATAAGCAGCTCAATCCGAAGGAAGAAGAAAATCAGAAAGCAATGCATGAATTGGAAAAAATACAAGAGGTGATCATGATTTCTGATTCGGATGAAGATGAAATGCCCCAGCTGATCGCAGAGGGCGCTGCTGATCGTCAAGAAGAGGTTTCTTCGCAATCCAAGGTGGCCGACGTTCAGGAATTGCTGGACAAGATGATGCAAGAGACCATGAAACAAACAGAGAATGATGATGCAAATAACAGTGGGACTGATCAAATAGAGGAAGTTGTAATTAGGGAAGAATCGCCTCAAAAGAAAGTAAAAGCCAGCGATAGCGAGACGGATACTTTGAAGACGTCCGTGGATGACGACACTAGTAGTATAACTTCGTCTTCGAGTGGGTCTAGTAGTTCTGACTCAGATAGCGACGACGATAGCAGTTCGTCGTCCTCATCGTCTACAGAAGGATCAAGCGAGAATATGTCTAGCAGTGAAATAATACAGTTGGTCGATAAATGTCTCCAGGGTCTTGAAATGTGTGTTACAAGGCTCCAACAGAATTACAAAGCCCTGTACAGGTAGGGTGCCAACCATCTAAGAAGATGCCAAAGTCCACAAATAAACTCTTTGTTCGAACTTATTTACGTGTCAGTGGCTTGTTAAAAATATATAAAAGGTGGTAGGAAATAATTCAGTGCAAATACTAAGAGATTGTTAAACTTTCATTGTCTTTATTTTATTTTAAATGACATAATATTTCAGGCATGTCAATCTTTAATAACAGGTGGTGAATTTAAAATGAAATAAGGACAACATAAGTGGGACAATAATATTTCTAAGATATCGAATATTCTTTATACCTGTCGAATTTAACTAAGTGTAAGTGTGCACACATATGCTATAACGTAAATTTCATCTTCAATATTTCGTTTATTGATTAATTGATTTAAATTTAGGAATGATTACCCTCACTATATTCTATTCCAAACTAGTATTCATTTGACATGGATATATAATAGACAATTTATTTAAACCCAAATTATCTACATCAACAGCAAATCAACCCCTGTAGGTATTGGCTACCAAACAATGATAAAGTCTTTTTTTTTTTTATAATAAATAATACTGGAAATGGAACCAATATTAAGGGAAACAAAAGGCCTAATAAAATGCAGACATCCAGCAAAGCCAGACACTGTTCAAGCCTTAATTTGATGTAAACCAAATTACCCTAAAAACAAGAAAAAAAATGTATCAAATAAACAAAATTAATATTTTATAATACATTAATCATTGAATATAGATTTCAATAAACAGAAAAGTCGTAGGAGAAAGGAGGGGTACGGGTAAACAGCAGAGTGGTTTTCCGATACAGCAATTATTGAGTTTCAAGGAGATATTTTTTATACCGCTTTTTAAAAGTTTTGCTTGATATTGTTAAATTGAAAAGACTTAAATTATTTATTGTATGTGCAATACTATAAGAAAATGATCTTTTAAACATTTCTCTTCGATTTTGTGGTATTCTCAATATAAATTTTTTTCTTAGATTCAAGTCATGAACATCTGTATGAAAATTGATTTTGTTAAAAAGCTATGCGCGGTGTAACCTAAACCTGTTGCACATGTTAAGCCAATCTGAAACGGCGAAGTATGGAGAAATATCATCCTGATGGCGAACTCCATTAACAAGCCGCAAACATGGATTTTGTATTTAATTATTTAGTAAATGAGTGTCGTCAGCATATAGGTGATAATTACAATATTTTAAAGTCTTTACAAAGTTAAACGTATAGATTGCATATATCAAGGGACGCTATATACTATCTTGTGGTAGAGTGGTTCGGAATACACACTGTCGCCGAACACTTGTTGACCTCTTATGTGATAAAAACGAATTTAAAAACAAGCGTCTACCTTCACTAAACCCGGTGTAGTGTAAAATTGAAATAACAATTCTGCCTTCATCCCATGCTTGCAGTAAATCAATCAACTATAATCTGTTCTAAATCCAGATTGTTTTGTAGGTAATTTATCAAAAAGAGCTAAGAATTTTCTCATTTGATTATCAAGTATTTTTTCTAAAATTTTAGAAAGAGGATGCTCAGTTGTTTAAATTCTGTGGGCTTCTTTACTTTAGGAAGAGGTATGACCTTGGCATGCTTCCAAGATTTTGGAAAATAAGAGTTCAATATACATTCGTTTATGACATGTGTAATAAAAGGGATTATAAAAGGACAACAATACTGTATTTGAGTAATATTTGACATATTAATTTTTTTAGATTTAATATTTTTTATTATGTGAAATATTTCATCCTCTGTAGCCAATGTAAAATGTAGCTCTTGATCAGCATTTTCTAATTGATTGTTCTCATAGAAATTGATTAATTCCTGATGTGGTATTTCATTATTTTCTATAGAGTTTATAAAAAAACTGATTCAGATCATTGGTATTTCGCAAATTGTTTGGTAGAATATTTTCTTTAGACTTATGTTATTAAGTAAGTCGTTTTAACTCGGACCAAGTGTCCTCCGAATTTGAATTTTGAAATTTATGACGCTATTAGCTATTAGATATGCTATTTTTTGGCTGGGTATCGTTGACCTGGTATAATTTCGAAGTTGTTTATAATATTGATAGTGAGCAGGAAGTTTTGTAAGCTTAAACGTTTTTAAAACTCGATTTCTTAGTTTTTGCATCAATTTGATATTTTCCGTTATCCACAAAGCTTATGAATATATATTTTTTTAAAACGTTTTAAAGGACCGTGTCTATCGAATAAAGCCAAGACACACTCATTCAAAAAAGTTACTTTATCGTCAATGTTAGTAATATACAATATATCATGCCACGGCATGTTCTCCAAATCTCTTATCATCATATGATATTTTGTTTAAGGCCCTGTAACAACAATTTCGTGAAAACTTTTTTCTCCAGTTCTGTAATGGAAACTGGTTTGATCCGCATTTAGGGTACCAACTCCATTAGCACACTTGTCAATATCATTATTAAGTTTTTCATAATTCATTTATTTTCTATTTTCAAGTGATGATGTGTGTGGCATCTTTTTAGTTGGTGTAAATTTATTTTTTATAATTCCTTGAGTTTAATCAGAAAAATGAGGTTAAATGTTAAAAAATGATTTGATCTTCCAGTTTGTTTTTAAGCTATAAAAATATGACTGACTGAGATTTTTTTCATTTTTCTTTTCTCTCTTCATCCATAGGTTGGCTCATTTGTTCTTTAATTATAAAGGCAAAAAGGATTATACTAAGTGTAAACAGTTACTGTTAGGAGAGTACAAAAGCAAAGGTGGAACAGTTATCCCTGGTTTATTCTTTGAGAGGAAAACAAACAACTTCTTTAATGGCATTTGGAGAATACCTTCCACTGAAATCGATAGGCCAGGGTCGTTGGCCGCCCACATGAACAGATGCATTTCTCTTCTGTTGCATGTTCTGAGGAACACCAATGATAACAAGACTCTTATGGAACTGTGTATGCAGTTGAAGAAGTGTCCCGATCGGGATAAAATTTATATAAAGGACACGGATAGGATGTCTTTTTCTGATCAAGCCATGAATATGTGCATCCAAAGTTTTAAAAGTCAACTAAAGAATGTCCCCACCATGACCAACCCGCAAATTGTTAAATTGCTGCACGACATATTTAGAATTTATCAGAAAGTGCAAAAGCATATACCAATCAAAAGCGGCATATTTTCCAACATGCTTGTCGAAGTGTATAGGAACTTTATAAAGGAAAAAATCCCGGACGCGGTGAATATTTTGGATTTGGCCATTAAGTTCTGCCAGCAGCACAAACCCATCGAAAAGCACCGGACACCTTCGTTGACCCAAACCGTTCCTTTTCCCAGAGGACACGGGCTAAACATTTCTCCCATTCATCCCAGTCCTTCCCTTTCAGGCATCCAGCAGCCAATAAAACGGCCGTCGGGCAGACCTAGGGGCAGACCCCCTCTACCCAAAATCCCGGGGCAAGTCAAACCGCCCCGTGCGAGAAGTCTGAGCACTTCGGGTATGACAACAGATTTGTATGGTTCATACCAGAAGCAGACATTCGACAAGAACTTCACTTACGAGTATCTGCAGCACTACCAGAATGAGTTGGTCAAGCAGTACAGTCAAAATTTGAGTTATTCGCAGTTAACCCAACTCAGTCAATTGTTCACTAAGGGACAGCTCAATAACCCGGCAATGGCGTCAGCTATAACCAATCAGATTCTGGCACAAGCGGGTCTTTTAAATCCTCCGAAGATACCCATTTCTGGCATAAGTCCAATTATACCAAGCGTTCCACCAATGCTAGATAATCAGAGCTTGATGAGTTCTGCTTTGAAAGGAAAGTGCGGATTTGATGTACCGCCCTCTCTATTATCGGGCATGAGTTCAGATCAAATGAAATATCTAGAAAATTTGCTTCCGGCAATGAACAAACCAGCGGCGTATAAAAGGGCGGGAGAACAATCGGCCGCTGTTCCGAAGCAAAAATCAGCACCTCTGACGAAAACTTCAAGCAGTGTCGTATTCAAAGAATCCGTAAAACCGACGCAGCAGCTACTCTCGAATTTGACAGACGACAAAACGGCAAACATGTTAATGAAAGACAGACCGAACGTATCCATCACGCCCGTACAGCCCGCCGTCGCAGGTTCTCAGTTTACTCGAGCTTCCGACGTCACTAAAAGCCCGGTTAAATTACCATCCAGCGTACCTTATTCTAAATTTACATCTTCAAATGCACTGCCCGCAAAGCCACTAACCCTACCGGATCTTAACACGACGTCGTTTACGAAATCAGCATCAAGCTTTTCCAAGTCGAGCACTGTGCCGCCCGCAAGTTCCGTTTCGTTTGCAAAACCGTTTGCGATGCCTATTTCTAATGTCAGTCAAACCACTTCGTCCTATAATCCGACATCGTTTGCGAAAATAAACCCAAACTGTTCGGTACCGTTCACGAAACCTACCATTGCCGCAACGACGAGCTCTTCGGACTTTCCGAGACCAAACCCGTTAATTAGTCCGCCGTCCTTCATGAGAACTCACGTGACGAGTCCAACTTCATTTGGATGGCCCGTGGCGAATACCAGTCCCACGCCGTTCAGCAGGCCCAGCGCTAATACGAGCCCTACTTCTCTAGCCAGAGGCGGTCGGAACGTGAGCCCAGGCAAAACTTTGCAGGAGAAATTGGCCGACAAGAAAAAGGAGCAGCAGAGCAAACAAATGATGCAGAACTTGGAAACGGAACTGTCATCTGTGGAGGGCACCTCGTCTGCCGCTTTACTGAAAAGTCTGAACATAGCCAACATACCGTCGTCGTTGACAGTTTCGAAGACTGCGCCTACTTCCGAGGACCTGTTGGCCCCATCTTCCAAACATTTGCCAACGGTATTATCCAGTTCGTTGCCCGGTCACAGTTTGAACAGGATACCGCCCGCATTAACTGTTTCGAAGACTGTTTTACCCACTCCAAGGTTCACTCCAGAATCGGGCATGTCCATAAGTCAGGTAAGACTAAGTAATTTTGTTTAAGGTGGATAGATACAGGGAACATAAACACACGCGTGTGTTAATAGTTTTGTTTTGGTTTGTTAAAATCACAATTCATTTAAATGTGATCCATAAATCACCAAAACCAATTGGCCCCGTCTATTCTCGCTCTCGTGAGATATTTTGCCGTTCAAGTTCTTGAAAACTGTTTCTACACTATACTTTAGATTAGTAATAATATGAATAACAGGCAGTTTGAATTTTTTTGGCGGTGATATGATGCAGATAAGGTGCGCCCAAGTTGGGAAATAAGCTTTAAAATGAACTCTGGTTATAAATTTGTCTCTAAACTGATAAACCATGATAAAAGCAGAAACCAAGTTGCACCAACTCAATCGCCTCATTAAAACTGATCTGAACTGGATTAGCAATGGCTTGACCAACAAGTGATGCAAATTTTACAATAGAAAAAGCCGGCTAGCAATAGTTTTTCCCTTGCTCATTTAGATTAATGTTACTTTATTACTTTACTATATATTCTTTCTGAAATTATTTACACTTAACAGTAAATCTATATACATCTTGCTAAAAGAATCAAAATTAGGGTTTAATAATGGCAGGTATACTAAAAACATTCCAAAAAACGTGCCATTATTTTGTTTTTATTTCTTTTAATGATATTAAAAGCGTGTTAGAATTTTATTTGCTTCTCTTTTAGTGCAATTAAAGTTATATTGTTGCATTCAATTTTTTGAGGAAATAAATGTTATTTGTAGTGATGTAGCAACACGTCCTCTAGTAGCGATACAAGCAATCGAAGTCAATCCGGAGAACACTTTTTTACGACTCCAAATTTGACAAAATATGTTCAGTCATTATGAAGTTATTGACATTTATTTCCGAAAATGTTCGGACACCCCCTATCATTTTTCCTTGACCTCTATCTTTACGAAAATTGCTTTTCGAGATAGGGATGAGTGACCACCCGGTACACCCGGTACTGTTTTCCTGTGGTTCTAGCCGTTATACCGTTCATTGACTTTCCAATGGGCAGCGTTTGTTTGTGTTCGTTCCACTCTAACTAAAATTCTTTTGCGCATCATATTGTTATTGTACGATTATTTATTATTACCAATACATAATTAAAAAACGCGACAATGACTGAAAAGGGTCCAGAATGTATTCCAGAATTAAAAACGCTGCTTTAGTCACAATGGGTGAAGCTCTCTGTATATAGAGAAATGTAGATAATTTAAAATGAAATTATTCACTAAAAATTGTATGGTAATATTTGAAAAAAAATTCCAGTCCCAAGGAATGCCGCAATCGCCAAGAAAACCTTTCATTTGGAACCCTTCATTCTAAGGTCTATTTTATTCAACACAGTAAGTGAATAGGAATGTAATTCAATGATAGCTTGAATAATTTTCGTAGGAATTAGTGACATTTATCGAGGTCTCTTTGCCATAGCTTCAAATTTATTTTGCTTTGTAGAAAATTAAAACTGTGTAGAAGTATAATTTCGTGCTGATGTAGTGAGGCTCATGATTTGTTTATTTTTGTTCAAGAATGAGTGTATCAAATCATTGTTGATTAAAAACAATCAACAATGATATATATAACAAAAATTTCTAAAATTGTTTTTATAAAATATCGTAATTGTTCAAATGTTCTTAAAATTTGTACTTTGTATTTCTGTTACTACCTGTTGTCAGTTCTGAAACTTATATTAGATATCTGCATGTTAAGTACTATTAAAAAGCATGTGTTGACTAGATAGTTTAGAAAAGTAAAAAAATACCTTTAGCCTTGTATGCATTTTTAAACGTTTCAAAAAAACTACAAATAAAAAACTAACAGAGGATCCTTAAGCTTAAAATAAAATTGTTCATAATGATTTGCCTTAATTTTTTGACACTTGACTTTTATGTGATTACAGGTTTCCCAAGCAGCAACAAAATTTCAGCAGAAGTCGGTTAAATCAAAACTAAAAAGTAACCATGCACCATCGACCAAATCATCCGTCGCCACGTCGCCGTTAATAGTAAAAAACAAGTTGCACCAAAGAAAAAAGGGTAGTTTGGTATCTGTTGGAGCCCAGCCCACAACAGTTTTTGATAAATCAGTGGTTTCCAAAGATATGTTCCGAAAAGGTGCGAAGCAGAATATTAATGAATCAAAAAATGCATTTGAGGCCCTTTCTGTTATCAAAAGACTGCCGGGCGTAAATATTTCCAGTGTCTCCTCTAAAAAGGGGCCCGGAATAGAAATAACAAAAATCACAGAAAACCAAAAAAAGCAGTCGTCAGATGAAGATATTATTTGCATTAATGATTAGAAATAAGTTGAACAGTAATATAATGTATTTATAAATTTGTTTGTCTTATGTGAACACACCCTTCCCTATGGAAAAGAAATATAATCTTTGCGACTACCCTTAAATGAGCTTAATACCTGAGCTTATATAAATCTTAATATATAGGGAAATATATTTTGGCATCAAAAATAGAGAATGGTTATATCCGTAATCGCTGCGATCGTAAGATCCGACTGCCCGCAATATAGGATATATTATTATGACGTTCCTCAATTCAAATATTTGATATTAGTTACATTTTTCTGTAATCGAAATTTGCCTTTCACCATATACATGGTGACAACGAACATGGCTACTGACAGATTGTCAATAATTTTGGATGAGACATTTTTATGGCTAATTTTCTCAAAATATTTAAGATCTCGTTAAAAGTTCCTTTAAAATGAGTTAAGCTGTTTAAAAAGAAAATGGCGCAAAGCTCAGGTTAGTGAGTAAATTGTAGAGACATGCACGGGAAATTATAACCTCTACGAAAATATCTTCTCCATCAAAATATCAATATTTTTGCCGTGGTAGGGCCACTTTATAGTATCTAGTCATCTAAAGTATCGTTTCAAAAGATACGTGACGTCATTGCTTGCGTTAAACTGGCGAAAATAAATTAACGATGTACTTCTTCTCTTTGGTTGGTTGGTAATGGGCTAATTCAGCAAGTGAACTATTCGCATACTAGACGAAATTCACTACTAACTTACATCAAATTTCAATCACACCAAATAATGGTAAAATTTGGGTTTGTGTAAAATTAATGTATATGTTTTTAAAATGCCCCATGTAAAGTCAAGATTCTACCATTGTAGAAGAATTTCAAAGTTTGAAAATCCAATTTAGGGAAAAAGTGTTAGTGCATTTATTATCAATGATATTAATGTTGGCAACCTAGGTATTCTGTGTTGGTAACCATAGCTGTGGTTAGCTTCCTTCCGTGAAGAATACTAAACGTCACTTTTCGCGATTAGTAGTAGATGCGCCATAATTATAATTTTTTATGTGCTTATTTGCATCTTGGGAGATAGTTACTTTGAGTTTGCATAAAATATTAATCATTTAACATCCGCGTTTTCATCGACCGAACTACCGCTTTCGAAGATGACGACGGGAATGCCGGAGCTAGGCTCCAAAATAAGCCTAATATCAAAGGCCGATATTCGATATGAAGGACGGTTATTTACAGTGGATCCTCAAGAATGTACAATAGCGTTGGCGTCCGGTAAGTTATGTTTTAACGGGAAATATCCGTAATTCATTAATGCTCACAAAAAATCTGCCATCAATTAATGGGATGAGCATGCTAAACACATGAAAGTTCTGGAAGTGATTTTATAGAATCAAACCCATGAACCATCAAACAATATGCAACCCAACTGCTAATTTGGAATGGTTTTAGTTCACACATACACACATAATGTTTCTTATCAAGTGGTATTCTTAACATTTAAAACTGTATATTATATAAAATAAAATTGCTGAGAACCAGTTTTGTAATTCTTTGCTTGATTTTCACTTTTGGTATCTGTAGTGCGATCATTTGGTACCGAAGATAGGGAAACTCAGTATCCAGTACCAGCTCAAAGCCAAGTATATGATTATATTCTATTCCGGGGTTCTGACATCAAGGACATCCGTGTTGTGAACAATGTGTCCCATCCTCAACCACTTAATGACCCAGCAATCATGCAGCTCTCCATTCCACCTTCTCTGGGCACACAACAATTCCAGCAACACCCAGTGCTTGGCCACGTTGGAGCTCCTATCGGCCAGTTTGGAAACTCTTACACAATGGGTTCTATGGGCGGGTTAGGTGCCGCAGGCCTCAGGACCTCTGGTTCAGCTTCCACTTCAGGTTCAAAACCAAGTGAGTTGATAATCATGCCTCAGGGGGGGCCGCCTGAAGTAGTGGCTCCTCCACTGGTTTTGTCTCAACCGATTATGGAGCCTTTCAGGTCTAACGAACACCAGGGTAAAGAGATTTTATATTTGCTTTTCAAAAGCTTGTTTGCATATATATTTTCTGCTTTTGCATAGGATTAGATATTGGTGTTTGCTTTTGTGTAGGCTGTCTATCAGCCATTTTTTTGTAGTGGTACCTTAATTTTTGTTGAAACTGAGAAAATAATGCTTGCAGTGACAATTTAGTTTCAGCTAGTAAGGCTTCAGAAAATGAAACTTCATGGTAATCACCATTCATTTTAAAATGTTTAAACCATTTAAAGTCGCAATAAGTTGGGTAAAGTTACTATAACAATCAACTAAAATTTGCCAAAAACTTAAAGGAAGAAAAACAAGGTCTCCTAATGTTTTACTCAGTTTAAGGTTATCTGATAACTGATTTTTAATCAGTAACTTTTTGTTTGAAAGTGTAATCTTATTTTTGTTCTAAATAAGTTTTTGTTTATTTCAAATAAAATTTAAATGGTTAAAACTGTTCATTTTCTGGATTTTGTTAGTCTATCCATAGATTATGATTTGATTTAGTGCCATATCCCATCCATATTATTTCAATGTAGCTACTGCTTTAATTCTGTAACTGTGTGCTAGTTGTTTAGTTTTTTTTCACCTTTGGATTACCGCTAGACATCTCAGATTTGTAGGTTCCGTTTTAGATCTTATCACAGGGGCAGCCGCGGGTAGTCGGAGTACTACCCCCGCTTCCGTTGGATCCCGCAAGTCTCTCTCGGTTGACCAGGGTATCCAGGCGGGCGGCAGCCAACAGAAGGAAAGTGGCAAGAGGCATGTAAAACCTATACAGCCTCCGAAAGGTGGTCAGGGTCATGGCAGGCCTCGTGACCGGCGAGATTCGGATAATCAGGTAAATTTATCTCCATAAGATTTGCAGCAAATTTTTGAAAGTTCTATTTTATTGCATCATTTGCACCCCATATATATATATATATATATATATATATATATATATATATATATATATATATATATATATATATATATATATATATATATATATATATATATATATATATATATATATATATATATATATATATATATATATATATATATATATATATATATATATATATATATATATATATATATCTCTTGTAAATTATAGCGTAGGGATTGAAAGGATGAATATGTAGACCTAAGTTTGGTAAAAATTTAACAAGTAATGAATTATCAGAATCAGGCTGCGCACTCCTCGTCTAACCGCGGCGGTTCCCTTAACCGAAGCAACTACCATCAGATGCACCAGCAAAACAATCAAGCATATCAAAGGGGTTGGAGTGTGCACCGGGGTCCTCAGAGATCACGCGGACGGTCCAGGGACTCTTAAGTTTGAGAATGATTTTGATTTTGAACAGGCCAATACTGAGTTTGAAGAACTAAGGAGCAAATTTGCAAAGGTATGTCTTTTTAGAAAAGAATTGATTAGGAAAAATGTGTTTCACCTCTGTTTATGTTGTTATGTTATGTTCAAACATTTTTTTTAAAGAATTACAAGCAGAAAAACTTGATAATAAGAATCATCTGTTTCAGTTTCAGCAGCATATTTACTAGATATTATGAAACATAATTACTATATTAATAGTGAGCAAACTATTTTTTGCAAAATTTTAGTTATTCTTTTTTTTTTTTTTAATATGTATATGATTTCCCAGAACTCCAGAGTCATGTGAAAACATGTCTTGAGTTGGCAAGGTTTTAACTTTCTGGACTTAACTATAACTAAACTACAGAACAAATTAGATTTTTCCATTTACCATAAATCCTCACACACGAACACAATAATACATAATAACTCAAATCACCCTTACACACACAAAATGTCTGCTACTACTTAATATACCACAGAAAATTTAAAAAAAGAATTAAATATTATAAAACAAATAGCTTTTAACAATGGTTACTGCCCCTCTTTGATAGATAAGATTATAACTAAAAAGCAGTTTCAAATAACTCTGAACTCTATTTATCCCATATTAGACCCCAAACCCAAAAGTTATAAAACAATAAAATATAAAGGAGGATCTAGCGCGAAAATTTCGAAACATCTAAATTGGATTTTAAGATTGCTTTTTAAACTGAAAACACCATAGGACATTTTTTTAAAAACAAAATTAAATTTCGAAAAACGCAAAAATTCAAACTCTACTGGTTGAAATGTGGATCATAAATGAACATAAAAGCGTGTATAAAAATAAAAGTTCGGAATCTAACTATGCCTTTCATCTAAATTCAAAATGCAGAGGTTTGACCATAATTTTCCAAAAAACTAAATTTGTTGGATGCTATGGAGATTAACAAAATGAGATATTCGAATCTATTACTTGGCAAATTGGATTTAAATACCTCTCAGTTGTTAAATTTAAATTTATAATCCTACACTGGTAATTTTGTATTGGATAAAGGCAAGGTGTTGCCGAAACAGCTGTCATAAATCTTGAAATAACTGAAAATCTGAACATTTTTTTGTTCTAATTAAAAGTAAAAGCCGTCTCAGTCCAATTAGCAAAGTATTTTTTAATTTGCCTTCACTGCAGTTCCCTCTTGATAACTCAAAAAAGTCCGAGTACTTTTGAATGTCTTTTTAAGTTGATTTTGTTTTTAATATTCTGGATTTATAGTATTTTATTATTCAGGTCACTATTACTGTGGCGTGTTTGATAATATTTACAATACGAAACATGTTTTTCTATATATTTTTTGAAATAATTTTGAAAAAAAAAAACTACCACAAGGTTGAAAACATGCCTACAGTTACAACTAATTCGACTTATTAATAATTAATATTATGTAACTGAATAATTGTAGTAAGTAAAATGTAAAAGTTTAGGAATCTCTCAGTACAGCTATAGAAATTCCATGATGAAAGCTTATTGAGTGTAGCTTAGCGTAGGTGTCTTATGTGACAAAAATTCGTTATTATAATTTGTTCAGAAAACACATTTTTTAATCTGATATGGATATCCAAATTTTCCATAATTATTATTCTTACAAATACCAATTTTCAGCAGCTTACAAGCTATATACAACTTTTGGATAAAACAATTTTTTTTTTCATTGATGTTAAGAAAACGTTTTCTAGGCAAAGTTGGAGGACGCTAGTGTATCGAACAAATCGTCGGAGCTCAACGGCATCGTGGCGGAGACGGATAAAAAGGACGATTCCGGCAATGAGACTGGTGCCGGCGAGAACGAGCCCGAAGACGACCACGAAGTGTATTACGACGCGAGCAAATCCTTTTTTGACAAGATCTCGTGCGAAGCGGTGGAACGCGCAAAGGGGAAATGTCAGCGCATGAACTGGCGCACGGAACGCAAGCTGAATTCTGAAACATTTGGGGTGGCATCCACAAGAAGGGGAAAGTAAGTACAGTGAAACGTCTCTATTACTCGGCGGACACTCCTGTTTAAACGGACATGTTTTTTTGAACGAAATATTTGCCTACCCTTTTACCTGTAAAACAAACTCCTTTAACGGGACACTCCATTAAACTTGACTGACTTAAAAAAATAATTACCTCCCTTAAACGGACATGAACCTCCAATCAATACAGGACAACGCAATGCTAAAATATCATCGGGGAACTGCCTTTTTCCTAATCCTATAGGGGAATTACCTTTTTCATTTTTCATATCATATTTATTATTCATTACACATTACATTGAATTTGTCAGTGCGGAAGCTAGCAGAAAAATTTAAAAAGCGGCAGAAATTGTGAAAAATAAGGACAGCATTCGTGTACAGTGGGAGTCGGCCAGCAATATTGATCAAAACAGAAATTTTGTAAAAATTGAGGGACTTCCAATTTGGTGTGTTTTGATTGGTTTTCTCGGTTGCGAGGTCAAAGCATTCCAATATTTTGGCACTTAGTAGAGGCCAAGGCTCAAGAGATCGCCGAAAAACTTAGTGTTCGAAATTTTAAAGCTTCCAATGGAAACATGTGAGTCAAGAAGACGTAAATCAGTTTAAAGATATAAGTCACAAGATGTTTACAATGCCGATGAGACTGGACATTTTCTTTTGAGTGTAACCTAACAAAACACTTGCTTTGAAATCTGAAAAATGTAGTGGTGGAAAGCTTTACTAATATGCGGCCATATGGAAATTTAACAAGAAAGCATAAATGACACTAGACATGAATGAATGTTTGTTACAATCTAATAGAGAAATGACCACCCTACAAAGCTAACAATTTTATTATTCTTCACAGCATCAACCCCCCGCCCCCCTCCCGCCCGTAGGTAAAATTACAAAACAAAAATTATCTTCTTGACTCCAAATACGACAGAATGTTAAATTTTATTATCGTGGACTCATACTGAAGCACATTTTATCAAGGATGGATCAAGTAATGGCCGCGTCAGATTTAGCAATGTTTCGTCATAAAAAATACAAAATTGTTTCAACAAGCTGGTTTTCAAAAAAATAATGATTTTTCTACATCAATGGACTGTGATCCAGAATATAATATCCCACTGCCTATGATACTTGAAATGGAACGATGTGTTAGAGAAATGAACATAACTCAAGAAACATTATTATTACAAACAATATTACAGCGACTGCGGAGACTAGTTTGAACATTGAAGATGCAATTGAAAACATGAAAGTACCTGAACCGGAAGAAGAAAGCGATCAAGAATATTATAGTGTGGAACCTAGCACAATTAACAGCTATAATGAAGCCTTAAAAATAATTACCGATATAAAAGTTTTTGCTATTTAATTTTCAACATCTTAAAAATTTAGATAATTTTCAGTCAAATTTGTTAAAGCAAAAAAACAATAAATATGCTAGTATAAACTATAGACTAGTATCTTAGAGTTTGTAAATAAATAATTATCATTCACCTACATTTTTTCTATGTTTTGCAAAGAAATAAAGGTAATACATATTTACTTTTTTTTTTTCATGCACCTCTAATGAGCGGACAAAACTAGAGGAACCGCAAGAGTCTGGTTATGGGAGTTTTTACTGTATCCCAAAGTTTAAGCGGATATTTCCTCATTATTGCGTTTGTGGAATATTCCTAAGAAACTTTTTTGTGTAAAGTTACAGGGGTCGCGGTAATTTCCGGGGCGGATATCGCGGGTACCGAGGGGGTTATAGGCACCCTCAGCAGCGCAGGGATAACAATCAGCAGCAGAACGAAGGTGAGCGCGTCATTGAGTCGGCCTCTGAGGGGCTGACGTTTAATAAGTGACGTCAGTTTCAGAAAGACAGTGAACTGGAAGGAATGACCTTTGACACAGGAATAATTAAGATACACTGGATAGACTGCAAATGAATATTTATTTCCAAACTTTTGTGAATCAATCTACTGTGATTTATTCTTAGAATAAAAAAAAATAAAAATAAAATTAATAAAACAGTTGCAATTCCAACTTGTACTGGGAAATATGGATTATTATTTCCATTGGCAGATGTGTATTTTAAATATTTTGTTTTCAATTCGATTTCCTAGTGTCATTAATTCAACTAAATGTATTGTATCTTAGGCATACTTAGGACAGTGTATTTAGAATTTCGGTGTTGAACCGATATTGCGAGAATTAATTTTTTTAATTATTATTTTTGCAAGGGAATTGTATATATTTCGTAGAAAATTGGGAAGAATTGGGGTAGAAGAAAGTGTGAGTGGAATGTAATATCGCCACTTCTTTGTTCAAGGCAGTGTCGCACTAAGAGCAGGTGATGGATTTACTGGAAAAATTTTCAAATGTCAAGTAAAGATTCGACTAATTTATATTGACAATAAAATTGACAAATACTTATAACAATTTCCCAATTAAATGGTGGCGGTGTTTAACACCCTTTTATCAGGTAATAGAAATCATCGCTAGCTCTTGGAAAAAACGCTCACTTCCACTTAATGCAAGCTTTTGTATTTCGGTCCCTTTATGAAAATAGGAATTAGATTTTTTTTTAGTTATCTTTTTGTGGTTGTATACTTTTCTATATTAGTTGCAACTAACAGAATTTACGTTTTTTTTTATACAGCGATTTTTTCATTATTTATTTTGATAAATTTGTAATATTTAAGTTTTGCATTTTTTTAATGAGTAGGTTTGGTTGGATTTCTACCATTAATGGATTACTGTTAAAGTTTTTGGATGCCAGGCGGAAATAAAATCTTGAACAGCCAAATGTGCGCTTTTTAAATCCAATCCTCACATCCCAAAGACAAACATTTATTCATAGGTAACTTAATTCATAAACCTTAATGGAATTTTGAACAGTCATGCCTCTAAATTTCAACAAGTAAACTGCACTTTGCGCCATATCTTACATTTTGAAAAAATTCTACCGTTCATCTTGGAGTGTAATCTGTTCAGAATATTTAATTAGACACGGGCATGTTTTGAGAAAATACTACCATTTAAATGCTACATCTTAAAGTGTAATCCGCCAAATTGGCGAACTGTCAGCAGCCATGTTGCTTAGTTGGTAGCTTGCCATTAGTTGTAAACGAGATTTTAAATGTCGCGCATGTGCATAATTAACGGACAATCAATTTGTTTTTTCATTGTCTCTACAAAAATTACAGCATTATGAGCATAAAATTAATACTAGAAGACTGCTATACAAGAGTACATAAGCCTATTTGCTTACAGAGAAATAAGACAGAATGTTAGAAACTCTAGCGCTAAAAGTTTATTGCGCATGTGAACTTATACCAAACAAACTTTCCTGTGCATTATCACCGGACCAAGCCCCAAATTATTGCAGTTCGAAATTGTCCTCAATTCTTTAAAGCAAGAATGGACTAAAGCGGATTAGTCCATTTTTGCACTAGGCATTTTGAGCAGGAGAGGTAAACAGGTTAGTTATTTTATTTTTAGGACCTAATTAATAAAAAACGTTTTTCTTAATTGCCAATTATCTCAAAATGAGTATTTTGGGGTAAGTCCGTTATTGCAGTGCTGGCTTCGTTAATTAATAAAATCAAACTAACAATCAAAACACAAAAAATCTGTCAAGAATGTCGCATAGCATGTCCGTTCACGACTACAATGCAGATTTAAAAGTCGTGTTTATTATAGTATCAATGTATGTATAAAGTTTATTTAAATATTGTACATGAATAACTTCTTTTTAAGGTTCACAGTTCTCGTGGCTGCACTTTTATTGTCCAGTTACATCTTCCTGAGTTTCAAATTGCTTCCATCCTGAATAAGGATGATTGTACCCTTTGCTGGTGAAATTTGTTTTTGATAGATATGTAAATGAATAGCACAAATATGAGTTAATTATATTTCATTAAAAATGTTAACATTGTTAAATCTATTTGTTTGGACCATAAAATTAATTTAATCTGTTACTTCTTAAATATTTATTAGAATATACCAAGAGGAGCATAACCACCAAATCCAAATTTCCAAGAACTAGGTTCTACTAATCCTCGTTTGTTTTCACTGAAATCAAACACTTTTAACACTTTTTCCAGCATTGCCACAGCGTCTGGTCTATTGTCGCCTTCAGAAACGAATTTAATTAATAATAAACATTTTGTTTTTTCCGAGAGCAAGTTAAACATCTTAAAGGAAAATCCACATCCATTTGCGGGAACATGTCCTTCCTTCTGAATATTGTGTATTTTGAATATGTCACTGTTGCTTTTTATGAAGAATTTTTCTTGGTTTATCTTCAGTTCGTAATCAAAACCGCTGGATAAAATTGCTACCTTGCTAAAATTTATTTTTACAATTTCATCACATAAGTCATTTAGAAATTTTAAAGTCATTTTAGATTCCAATGTTGACCTTAACTGAATAGTAGCCCATTTCAGCTCAGGGGAGTAGTAAAGCTCACAGGCTGTGCATATTTCATTGTTATCCGCATAATACGGATCAGCCCCTACCAATGGCACCAAAGCGGAATGCCAAAGATGTCCGATTTTGTAAAAGTTGTATGTTGTTATGAGCAAATCCACCATTAACTGCGGCACGTTGCCTATTGAAACTGTCGGTATTATTAAGGCGTAATCAGACAAATCCACTGGACTTTTAAACTTAATTAAAGTCATTATGCACAGAGACCTTATTAGATTGATGATTATACACTTTCAAATTTAGTAGTTTTAAAAAGTGTGGTTAATATCACAAAAAATCTTATTTTTAAGTGGTGATGGTCGCCATTCGACCATACTAAATGAAATGATGTTTTTTCTAACCAAAACTATTCTCTCCTAATTTAGCTTCCTGCCGCTTATGTGGATACAGTGAAACCTAATTTTTAGATCTATACCTTTACCTACTTATTCTTCCATAATTCCTATGCACGTCTTTTAGCTCAATAAAAACTGAGCGCATAAACACAGTAAATGGATGGAACATTCTTTGCATTTTGCAAGACTTCTTGGCACAGTCGTAAATTCATGGTGAAATTGCATTGTCTGACGGGACATACCGTGTGTTTCTAGAGTTACCTTTTTTGATTTCCATAGTTGTGTGATCGAATTAACCTATTCTATGGTTGTCACAGGTCTTTGGAACTTGGGGACGTTCTGATGTTACGTAAATATAGGTGAATGTCAAGATTTTGAGATTTTACCGATATTTTCGGCAGCCGCATTGCCCACGCTAAAAAGAGATTACTAAGAAAATCAAACATTATATAACCTACGCCTTTAAAAACTCTTTTTAGCATGGCTGCTAATGTTGGGAGGATATATGGGACTGCCCTTTTTAAATCCACGAGTATTTGCTCTGTGGGGCAGGTAATTTTTTTCTAGCCTATTTATTTCAACCCCGAGCCAAAGTGTTTTGTTTTAGATAACTTCATATTCCACGACGAGAGAATGGACAAGTCGGAAAACGGTAACTTTGAAAGCTTTTTTGTCAACTCTTTTGGAATCTGTTTAATTTTAGCTGCTGAGAACCCTTGGAATTCTAACTGGTGGAGCCGGTGCCCTGATTTTGGCATTAGATAGGTCTGTAAAAGCTGCTAACGTGGATCTACATCCACCCAAAAACCCATGGAGCCATAACGGCCTCATCAGTTCATTTGATCATGCCAGTCTTCGAAGGGGATATGAGGTGTACAAACAAGTTTGCGCGGCATGTCATTCAATGCGTTTTATCTGTTATCGTCATTTGGTGGGGGTTACTCATACTGAGGAACAGGCTAAAGCTGAGGCCGGAGAGCAAATGGTTACTGATGGTCCAGATGAGACTGGGGCAATGTTTCAAAGACCTGGAAAATTGTCAGATACTTTTCCTAATCCCTATCCAAATGAGGAAGCAGCTAGAGCAGCAAATAATGGTGCTTTCCCCCCTGATTTGAGTTATATCCAGTTGGCACGTCATGGAGGTATTTCATTAGCTACTATCATTAGTAGTAACACTCAAAAAATAAAATATCCATACTTATGTAGCACTTCAAATTTTGTTTGCACACAGGTGAGGATTACATCTTTGCACTTCTTACTGGTTATTGTGATGCTCCCGCTGGAGTAGTATTGAGGGAGGGTCAAAACTACAATCCTTATTTCCCTGGAGGGGCCATTTCAATGGCACAGGCTCTGTTTAATGAAGTTATTGAGTATGAAGATGGTACACCCGCCACTGCTAGTCAACTAGCCAAGGCAAGTCAAATTCATTGTGGTAATCCTTAATTTTAATACAATTATTTTAGGATGTTGCCACTTTCTTAACATGGGCTTCTCAACCCGAACATGATGATAGGAAACGTATGTTTATCAAATGTATGGGAATATTAGGCATCCTGATTGGTGTGACCTATTACATCAAGAGATTTAAGTTTTCAACACTAAAAACGAGAAAAATTGAATTCAGACCTAAAAAGTAAAGGGGACTTGTATTTTACAATAGCTTAATTTGTGTAAGTGTAATTTTATTAAAAGAGAGATGTGTCATCTTCTTCACCCATTCTATTTTTTCTTGTTAAAAAATAAACATTTACTTTAACCAAGAGTGTTTTACAAAAATTAATTTATTAAATTCATTACATGGAGAATGTTAATATGATCAATTACAAATTTCATAATTTGTATCTCTTTTTTGCTCTCTGGGTTTCCAAGTTGCTTTTCTGTAGGGATTTAAAGGGTTAGTTAAGCAGGAAGTTATACTTGAAAAACAATTCTAAAAGAATAATTTATTGTCACAGTAATAAATACAAAATATAACTTTAAAAGTCATAAAATCTATATTAATTCTTCAGTGTTTGCTGATCAACCAATTTTCACTTTAAAATTATTTCTTCGTGAGTTATTTCACCTTATTATAATCAATCCAAAGACTTAGACATCTATCTATACAGTAAATAATCAGAAGTTTAATTGTCAATTTGGAGTTTCAGTTTTTCATATGAGGTTTCTTTTTTATGTAATGTAAGTAGAATGTAATATACTTGGTGATGTTGGAGCAGATGTTTTTAACTAGACGTGACATTACCATCGACTAGTTGTACTTAACGAAAAAGTGATTTTAATTAAACCCCATTACAGAAATAAAAATTTTAATTAACACAATAATAATGAATCCAATTTTGCAAAAAACATGTAGGTTAGTCATAATGAAATGATTCAACATTTTTTTAAAAAGGGCGTTCTACATAATATAAAGGTATAATGCAGCCATACAGATTTGCATTTAGTAAATCTTAATCTGTAGGATATTGCTGAGCTAATTATTATGAGTTTGAAGTGGTGGAAAAATTTTAGGAGGTTGCAGTATTTATGATTTCCCAATATAAAGTTGGCTATGCTTGCATAGGAAATATATACTAAAACACATATTAATACACCACAACCTCTTTAACTAAACAGTAGGTTAATGTGTGGTGCATACACAAGTTATCATGCTGAAAAATTGCCTTACGAGAACATAGTATGTATGTATGTACTGGTTACTTTATTACCAAATGTTTCTTGGTTACAAATTCAAATGCAAAATACATTAAAAAAAAACAGGTGACATTTTAACTATGCTACTTACTGTAATTATTAATTATTAAAACTTATTCAAACAATGGGTTCGGAATTTTTGTCTTATAATTTTGTAATTGATATATAACCATTCTATTATTAGCGACTTGAAAATGCGTTCAAGCGCAAAAATGTTGCAGGAGGGCATCTAGCTAATGCGCGATATCGTTTTATCTGATTTTTCATTTCATTTCTCAAGTTTAGTATGTAATATTATGATTGTAGTTATTGGTTTTACTTCTGATAGTATTTGTAAATTTTTGCATACTGGGTTAAGCAAACAGCTTCAGCTGAGCTTGCCAAAATTCAAAATACAGGTGTTATTTATAGTTTAAGGTAGAAATATAGTTTTAAATTTTAATAATGAATTGAAATAAATTAAAAACCAATTTATTTATTTATCAAATCTTTTATACAACTATTTCTATTGAATGAAACACTATACACGGGTCCTAACAACAAACCGCCAGTAATTTAATTTTAGTTCATTTCATTTTTTTGCAAAGCCAGATGGAGTTCACTCGATTAACCAACCGGTACAGACTGTCCTGAAGATTCTCTATCTCCTATTTATCTCAATTTTAAAAAACGTGGCCTCGTTGAAAAGATGCATGTGATGTGTTTACACTCCTTAATTGTGCCGCTAGAGCGCGCTTTCTGTGCGGGGTGGTCAGATAAGAATGCAAAGTGCTGTATGTTTGACCCTTCGTTATATGGGTTTGCATTAAAAAAAAAATCTAGTGGTCAAAGGAAGATCCTGGAAATTATTCTTAGATTCAGAGCTTTCCCGCTTATCAATGTGACAATTATGCTCTGGGTATGCAGGTGCATTTAGCATGTGTTAGCATTTAAATTTAAAATATTTAAACCAAAAATAGTAGGAGTACGGTCTTATAGCGTCTTCTTAAAAGTCCATTGATGCCACCGGTAGCAAGTTAACGATCTACGAAGAAACGCGTAACGGACAAACTGTTTTTCGCTTTTAATTCCAAAACGGTTGAAAATACATATAGTTTGTTATAACACTTTTAGGTCAAGAATGAATCATTCTGTTTATTGCCGTAATGTATTTTATATTTTACTAAATGTGCATAATTTTCTAAACACTTTGGATGCGATATCTTAATGTCCTAGCATAATACAGCAGCCTATTGACAAGTCGAAAACAAAATTTCATATTTTTATCTAAAACGGTTGCAATATTTGATAATTATTTTCATATCTAGGCCAAACGTTCTAAAAAATAACTTGTATCTCCAAAATAGCTCAAGAGAACTATTATGGTATATTGCATAGTTTTAGATTTTTTCATAGAATATAATGTAATACATACAGGGCATTCTAAAAAAAAATCAAGATGTGGCACCGCTGCAATGTTCCAAATGTTTTAAAAATGGAGACTATACTCTTCTATGGCTGGAACCCAATTTTTAGAGCCTATCTTTATATATTTGTAAAGGCCATCGAGTTTGGGAACCCTGTATGCGGAATACTGTGATGGGTAAGGAATAAAAAATTGTTCAATTGCTCAACCGAGCTTTAATGTATATTACATAGTTTTAGTTTTTTTCATAGGAGATAAAAATATAATACATACAGGGCTTTCTATAAAAAAAATTAAGATGTGCCAACACTGCAATGTCCCAAATATTTTTAAAATAAAGATCATACTCTTCTATGGCCGGAACCCAATTTTTAGAGCCTATCTTTATTAGCTCTCCATAGACTTCTAAAGGCCATTGAGTTTCGGAACCCCGTATGCGGAACACTTGTGAGGAACAAAAAATTGGGAATGTGCAGCAATAATCTAAACCTCAAGCGAATGGAAAACTGCCTCCGATATATTACTGATAAAACAAGAGTAAAATTTTCTAAAAAATATATAAATCGACGTCATTTTAAAACATACCGTCATTGATTCCGATTGGAACCAAAACGGCTAGAAATAAAATGAAATTTCTTAGTACTAGCCGCCAGTCATTGGGCACAGCATAAGGTAACAATGTTTTGGTGATTTGGTGGATTTCGTGAGAAACGCAGACAAAAATAAACGTCGTTACGATGAGATTAAGCACCGGATATCCGGGCACGAGAACAAGGACCCCGTGAGTGTCGGCCGCTAGCCAGATGTGGTACTGGCTCAAGAAGAGTTCAAGGTGGATTTCGCCGAACCATGCGAAAAAGCTTGAATAACGGGTACGAAGGAATCCAGACACGTTACGCAAAAAAATATAGCTAACGATTGGAAATACCATTACGTAAGAGTGTATTTCATTGCATTCGAGTTCATTTTGACAAATCAAGGTAATGGTCGTATATATCGTCAAACCGAACAAGGCTATTAAGGTGGAACTTATCGCTATACGTTTCGAGAATAAGTTAAAGTAATTGTTATCGTCATATATGTTATACTTTTGACCAAGGATTAGTATCAAAGCAAAACCCATACCATACATAGAGGAATATCGATCGAGCTTCCATCGGAACCACCATTCGTGGATATCATCATCGGTTGTCACAAAGAGAGCTTTCCAAGGTCTAGTGACAAATATTTTTTCAAAAAACACTTCTGAAAGGAATAGTACAGTTATTATACTAAAAAAACAAATGAACTTGACTAATATATAAAAGTATTGCATTATGTTTTCGGAATTCTGGGCAGTGATGTGAGGCGGCAGAACCAATAGGCAGTAAACCATGAGGAACCAGAAAGAGAGCAAATGGCCAAAATAATAAAACTGATATGGCCGATTCATGCACAAGCATAGCATAACTATCATAAAGTTCAACTGAAAAAGTGTCCTGAAACAATGTACAACTCCATTGTCATTCCTGTACCAGACATAACAAAAGTGTTCATATCCCAACAGAAACAAATATGCAGATATTAGTACTTTAACGTGCATGTTGATGATTAATATTCTGCCAGCTCCAGTGACATTGTACACCAAAAGCACGAGTTGCATCCAGCCTTTCCATTCATTAATTTGGTCACGATGTAGCACTTTAGTCCTTTTTCCGTCTTCTGCAAAGAACAATCCTAGAACTGTTACATATCCTATGGGCAACCAAAAACTAAACTCTGAATAATATTTGTTCTCTTTCATGAAAAAATTCGCCCTGTCACACATGAAAAAATAAGCCATTATGAAAGAGAGTTTTGTCAATGAGGTGAATAAGATGTGATAATTTTCAGAATTTGGGGTTTGCAGCTGCATGTTGTTCAGTAGCTGATATTGGACCTCTCCGCATGATCGGATTCGAGTAATCATTTTCTTAATAAAGATCAAAGTTGCTATGCCCACACTGCAAAAGAATGCATAACAATGACTCACTGTTCTAATATAACAGTATATCCAAAGGAGGTCCGACAAGACATTTTTAAAATTCTTGATCACTGGTTTAATGCCAAACCGACAATATTGCTTTGAAATGATTCCTAATAATTTTTTTGATTTTGACCTCAGAAAAATGCTTTGTGGTTAATGTATTTAACATCAAAAACTCGTTTTATGTGTATGTGTAAATTGTTATTGGATCTTTAGGGTAAGTTTAAAATGGCATCAACATAAGTTTCGATTACCAACCCACAATTTGTATCATTATAAAACCAAATCTCTTCTAATTTGGTAGTTTCATTTACTTTACAGATTTTTCCAGAAATTTTTTACAATTTTAATATTCTGCCAATAAAACTGAAGAAGCATGCAAACATCATATATATAGTTGTACAATTCCTATGACATAATTTACATATTAAGCAAGACATTTCTCTGCAGAATCTGTAGTAAAAACGGCAAAGGAAAATGACACTGAAGGAATTAATGAAATTTTGCCAATGTTGACTTATGACAATGTGGTAACTCTTGCCCACATGATTTCAGTTTAAACCAAGAGTAGCAAAAAAATGCAATGCAATGCAATGACTTGTCCATCTACTTTGGATATAATGGGTGAAAAATCAACACTTAGATTGTATTATTTATTTATTTTTTGAAAAATCTTGCATACACTTAAAAACTATTATTCTACAAACTAAAAAATAACCTGAAGTTCTTTCCCCAAAATTGTTGCAATATTTGTTATGAAAATATCTCCCTTTAAACTTACAACAAAATAGAAACAGCAATCTGAACATTAAAATTTTGAAGCTGCCTTCGAATTCAATGTAAATATTATTTAAACATGCTACTTACCATGCTACCAGGGAAATGAAAGTAACAACTTGGAGAGTGGTGTAAGGCTCCATAGAACTGCAACATGTGCCATCATAAAAATTCATGTAGTCATTACAGTACATATTCAACAATATTTGAGTACCATATCTCAAAGGTCTTTTGGCAAGGTGAATCCCATCTGGACTCTCTTGAATCATTCCTTGGCCTATAAGTCGGATACTCCACCACAATTCAGCATTTGAAAAAGATAAAACCTGTAACACTTCATATATCACAATCTAAACATATATCAGTAACACACCTCTATGGCCGCTTTGTTATACAAATCAATCTGACTGTTTGTAATACCCGATTTAATTCCAAGTTTTTCTTGATTGACAGGGCTTTGCAGAGCCCATAGGATCCTAACATTCTTTTTACTCAAGTTGTCAATTGGTTGAACAAGGCGAGAAATGTTGAATCTATATTCTTCAAGTTTGATTGCAGAGCCATTAGAGGCGATAATTGGACTCAGGGCAGATCCAATTACAATCACGGAGGGTCTTGGTTCTGTTTTGTCCCAATTTCTAAAATAAAGCAATAATAATATTTTAATTTGTATTGTTTTGTAAATTACTTACCTAAAATTGTGCCCGATTTCTTCTGAAATATAGGGTGCAAATATATATTCTACTTTTATATTTAGTTTAGTATCAAAATATGATAGATTATGATTCACATTCATGTTTTGAAAATTGTCTTCATCTTTTTGCAAATGCCCAATAAATCCATTGTAAAGGTCTCTAATTCTGCTATCCCCCACAAACACAAAATATGTTTGAACATCATAGTAAGCAATATATCGTAAACATCTTCTGGTGTCCCTACAATATTTCAATAGGTAAAGGAAACCCTTGAACAAAAAACACATACATTTGTGAATATAAATGTAGCATGCAACCAAAGGGTTGCCATTCCTTATCCCCTTTATACCTGCCATCAGATAAAAGCCACCTACAAGAATTGTCGCCGTACTTCAAATGAAGTAATCCGTGATAGCAAGTGAAACTAAAAACAAGAACAAATGCGAGTTTTTTCGCATTTCTTGAATTTATTTCATCAACAAATTTTTCCATGCAAATGTTATTCGGATCATAGATTTTGGAAACGTGCGTAGTTATTGTTCACTATCCTAAATTACAAATATTAAATGTTTAAATTTTTTGTTTACAAAATGAGTCACTAAATTTGAGGTTAAGGGTCTCGGTTAAAGGTTATGTCCAATAAACTCTTCGCAATTGATTTCAAACGTTAACTAAAAAATGAAAAAAAGTTCTATCACCTTCAAAAGTCTGTAGCTTAATAATTTATAAAAAATATAAACTACTTCTCTATGCCCATTTCGAATTTAACAGACAAATTATTTGCTTGACTTTGACCTACTCTTCGCTGTTCTGTGGTATTCAAGTTTTTATAATTAGTGACTAGCTACGACAACCACTACGCCTAACAAGCTGTGCTTTATCTTTCGTCCATGCTACGCTGAGGTTTTGGAGAATCTTGTGTTTCGCATTATCGTCTTAATCAATAATTTACATTTTTGGCGTTGGTTTTGTGTAAAAGGCTGAAAATTAAAAATTGTCGGTTACCAAATCGGCTAAATTAGAATATGCGAGGCAGATCCGGAAGGCGGTAAGTTCTTATTACGAGATTTATGTCTATTGCCCTCCAAGCGTATTCTGTAAATTAAAAGATATATACCTAAAAGGTAGGAATAACAATTTGTAAATGTTTTAGGTCTCGTAGCAGAGAGAGAAGGAGATCCAGAAGCAGGGATTATGGACGCGATAGAGGATATGGTGGAGGCGGGGGAGGACGTAGGAATCAAGCTGGATCTAATTTGAGAAAACCTCGTTGGGATTTAAGCCGCCTCGAACCTTTCAAAAAGGATTTTTATATACCGAATCCCGCAGTTTCAGCCAGATCGTATTATGAAATTGAAGACTGGAGAAACAGTAAGGAAATAACTCTTCGTGGGAAAAATATACCAAATCCAGTCTTTACTTTTGAAGAAGCTGGGTAAGCTCTTTTTATTGAGCATTTGTTATGTAACAAGATTGAAATTGGTTTTTACATAGATTTCCAGAATATGTCATTAATGAATTGCATAAAGCTGGCTTTAAGGCACCTACACCTATTCAGGCACAGGGTTGGCCTATAGCTTTATCTGGTAAGGATATGGTTGGAATAGCATCCACTGGGTCTGGCAAAACTTTAAGTTATATTTTGCCAGCTATAGTTCACATAAATAATCAGACCAGATTATCTAGAGGAGATGGCCCCATAGCCTTAATTTTGTCTCCAACTAGAGAACTGGCTCAACAAATACAGCAGGTTTGTTCATGATTTTTGTACGCATCTAGGACTATTTAATTGTTCACCCTCAGGTTGCTAATGAATTTGGCAAAACTTCAAAAATTCGTAACACATGTGTGTTTGGAGGAGCCCCAAAAGGTCCTCAGGCTCTTGATCTTATGGATGGTGTTGAGATTGTTATTGCCACTCCTGGCCGACTGATTGATTTCCTAGAAAGTGGTAGAACTAATCTTAAAAGGTGCACCTATTTGGTGCTTGATGAAGCAGATAGAATGTTGGATATGGGTTTTGAACCTCAAATTCGCAAAGTAATTGAACAAATTCGGCCTGACAGACAGACATTGATGTGGTCTGCCACTTGGCCAAAAGAGGTGCAAAATCTAGCCTCTGAATTTTTGAAAGAGTATATTCAAATTAATGTGGGATCATTGCAACTTTCGGCCAATCATAATATTCTACAGATTATTGATGTATGTCAGGATTATGAAAAGGAATCGAAATTGAGCACATTGCTGCGAGAAATAATGGCCGAGAAGGATAACAAGACTATAATATTTATGGAGACTAAAAGAAGGGTTGACGAAGTGACTAGGAAAATGAAACGGGATGGGTAAGTTTTCTTTAGGCCTGAAACTTTAACAAAAATTAGAAATCTCTTTGGAATTTCTTAGATGGCCTGCTGTGTGCATCCATGGTGATAAAACTCAACAAGAAAGGGATTGGGTGTTACAAGGTAAAATAGCTGATCAAGTAGAACTTTTAACATTTATTTCTCTTATTATTTTGCCGAGCAATGTTATATCAACCTTAAAAACTTGGTTCATCATTGAGTAAACTTAAAATAGTAACTTAACTCTAAAGCTTAATGTTAAGTCAAGGCAAATAACTGAAAATTAATATTTGATTCTTTTGTTCTTCCTTCTCTTTTACTTTCTTGTTTCCTTTTATTCTTTTATTCACAATAGTGTTAGCTTGATGAAATCTAGGTTTAATGGATTGATGTTAGTAAGATATGGCTTTTTAGGTTATGCAGAGGAGGGTGGAGGTGACCAGCTAGTTAAACAACAAAAAATCGTTTTTATTATTTTTAGACTACTATCGAAACATATTTGTCAAAAACTTAATTTTTAATTTTAATACTTGTAACTAAATAAAATTTGTACACAGATTTTAGAACAGGCAAGGCACCAATACTTGTGGCAACAGATGTGGCAGCTAGAGGATTGGGTGAGTAATAGTCATATATAATAAATATATCGTTTTTTTTTTTGTTAATATTTTTGTGGCTGAACTTGGCTATTACTGATGTTGAATGTGCATAAATTTGTTTCGTGAATTGAAACCATATTTTTTCACATTTGAACAGGTACATTTTCTCTGATTTGTGTATGTTCAACATTATTTTTGTGTTTATTACTTTTTGATCTTTTTCTTTTAGTCTGTGATAGAAGTGTGGATTAAAATAAAAGAAAATTGTAATTGGAATACTACAATCTTTTGTCAATTCAAACTTAAAATATAAGATGTTGGTGATGATACAGTGGTGAAATAGACGGGGCAAGTGTTTTTTTATTGTTGTCACTTTAAAGGTCACACTTTGAACTGGAAAAAATCAAATTTTATTATTCATTATGCTCAAATTTTAATTATTCGATTTAATTTTAATTTAATTTTTGAGTTTGACAAAAAGTGACAGCTTTAAAATTATAAACAGAAGGTCCTGTAATTTTTTTATTTAGTTGTTTTATACCGAAAAGAAACTAACCCGCCTCATAAATTTCACTGCTTTATAATTTGGAAATTATTCAAGATGTTAAGTCCACAATATTTAGCACTCTATTATCACGGTGGAGCCGTAAGTTTGTGTGACCACAGTGGTTAAGGTGAATTTGTTGCCTGAAAGTCGTGACCATAACATCCTAATATTGGGTTAACTAATAAGTTGCGCTTAAACATTTATCTTTGAAATATACGACACAAAATAAACACACCAAATTGGGTTTTGCAAAATTTGTAAAATGGGAAAAAATATCTAACTAGAAGCGGGACGCAGACAATTAATTTGGTAATGATGTTTAGGAGAAGAGATCAATTAAGTAATTAAGACAATAAGGGAATCATTTTACAAAACACACACCAAGTAACAGAGATTTATAAAGGTTTCTAATGAATTACAAAGATTTGAACAAATAAAACTTATATACAAGTTTCAAAATAATTTATAAAAAACAGGTATAGATTAAAATTCGATAAAGAAGTTTAGAACTACCCAGTATATAGAAGTTTTCAAGAGTGTAATATGCTACCACCTTATGTTTTTGAAGCTGCTCTTGAAAAAATGTTCCTCAAAAAGTATTTAAGTGACTGACAAAAAAAGATGTAGAGATACGATGTTGTATGCTATACTGTGATGTACTGTTAAGAATATCACTGTTAAGGCCTTGGTAGCTAAAGCTGTTTTAGGGCATGCAGTAAACCGTTAAAAAAATCGTCTCAGGGCCCTTAACTTTAAGATGCACACTTCTATTGGCAGCTTAATTCAACTATTAGATTGATAATCGTGATTTTAGCGGGTCGCGCGATAGTCCAGGAACGATCGATCAAAAAGTAAACTAGCTGCTTTTTTACCGACCCGCCCCTTTATTAGTTGAAAGGGAAGCAGTGAAACTTTATTTCAAATTTGGTCCATATCGTCTTTTTTCAGAGGCACAATTTACATGTGTGTTCTGATCGACCGCACGGACCACATGTGTGCCTCTAGCGAATGAACGAATCCGACCATTTATAGATGGTAGGTTCGATACACGCTCCCCCATAATCAGGGGATCCGAATGGTCACCCGTCCTTACCATTATGTGGGGACATGACGTGCGCGTCGTCTGCTCTCCGGACCGCGCCCGCTTCACCGGTTATGCAGCACCCGGCGGCGCCTGCGCCAGGGTGAGACAAACCGTGGGGCAGCGAGCGGCGGAGAGGGGACGAAGGGGAGCGAGCTAGCGGTGGTTTAGTGCCGCCCCCGCCAATTTCGAATATGTTGGCAATGTTCGCACGCGCGGGCCGCGCCCCCCTTTACGTTAAAATAGGTAGGATATGTGTTCTGTATTGTTTATTTATTTATTTTTTCGTCGTGGGAGTAGATAACGTTTTTCGCAGGAAACGGGACACTGCTGGGAAAATATTTGCGTTTATATTAATGGTTTTTTGTTTGGTTCCAACGTTTTGGAGTTATTTTTGGCATTCGACCAGAGTTTTTGTTAAATTTTTTGCAACTAACCCGTCTCATGTGCCAGTTGCCGCTGTAAAGCGGCCAAAGACACGAAACTCTTAATTATTGTAACTCCGTCAATACTATGAATAATAGGCAATTGTGTTCAACATTATCGTAAAGTAAGCGGCCGCGAAGGTAGTTTTTGGTAGTGGCACTCAAATTTTGTTGCGACTGGTGGCGATATTTGCTTATATTTGCTTCCAAAGCAGGGCAACCTCGTCGTTTAGCAAAAGTAAATTAATTTTATAGCGTGCCCGTTAGTCAAATTGATTATATATATAAAATGAACATATCGCACTCTAACAACCACTGTTTGTAACTGACTCAGTCTTAACATTAAAGCCGTATTTTCGAGATCTACACTAATTGTTCTCTATAAATTGTCGCAGTAAGTTTATTCAAAGTTTTCTTGATCATTCTATATAATAAGATCAAATTGTGTTCCAGGTATTGCGTTACAGCCATTTTATTTTTTATTTTTATAAACCCAAGGGCTAACCAACAGGCAGACGAGGTTTTCCAATTACAGTATACTGCATATTAAACATAAGATTGCAACACATGGTCGGCAATACAAAATAAACTTAAAATAATTAATTTTGTATACGTTTCTTTTAAACAGGTGGAATATATGTCTAGTACTCGATAAGTACTAGCATGAAAAGATAAGTAATTTATGACTCAATAAGATTGTTGACCATTTTATAAAGGAAAATGACGTCTGAAGAATTTCAGCGTATTTCAAGCCACCTTAATTCTGTCAATTATATCTAAAATTAAGGGTTCTTAAAAGCTTTTTTTGTACACTCTCTATCCGATCGACATACTTGCGATAGATCTGAGTCCATACGGTGGAAATTCCAAGATGGATTTGATGCCGCTATTATAACTTAAAATAACTGATTTGTGGTTTTGGTTTTACGTAACACAAAACCAAGATTTCTTAACTAATAAATTATTAAAATGTTTTCATAATCCCGACGTTTTATGAAGTGAAGATAAAAACTGTTCGTCTTCTTGGTTTCAGTAGAAAAATGATAATTCAAAATATTCAAAAAACAATGCATATTAAATCTAAGTGTGTACTGATAATGGGTGTACAATTTCAAGTTCCTTGAAAAAAATATAAAGTAAAGACGCCAAGACTCCGTGAACAGTCTTTAAAAGGTCCAGTTCGCGAAAATACGGCTTAAAGAACTAAGCGAATTCTTGACTCCTATACGCAAAAATTGTGCTAATTGTATCTCATACGAGTGTTTGCAAATAAGTATAACACGTTTTTTTATGTGTTATATATTTTTTTAGTTTCAATGTTAAGTAATGTAATTTAATTCGTATATTTTTGTGAACTTAGTAGGAAAATAAAGAAAAACGGAAGGTTATCTTTTATTACTATTTATTGGTGTAATTCGAATATTTAATATTAAACAAGCTGTAGACTCGATTTATATTAAATTGTTGATCTTTGTTATAAATTATTCAAATAAATGCGTAGATAAATTTTATTTTGTATAAGCGACTGCAACATTAGCTGCTTAGCTGCCATATTTTTGGTTAAACGTTTATTTAATGACAACTCAGTTGGGTCATCAACTGGCCAGTCTATGCTTGATATTTTAATTTCTCCCATTCGTTGTAATCTTCAAAAATTTGAATTTGTATACATACATGTATACATGTATACTATTCATTTTCATTTTCTGTTCTCGCTGTTACAGCGATTTGAAAAGTGCTTGTTAGGTCAAACTGAACACATCTAAAACTGGGTATACACTTGTTTGAGGAGACGCGGTTTGAGAACCACACTTATGGGTGCGCGCTCAACGTGCCCCAAGTTTTAAAGACATATTTTTTTTTTTAGTCCTAGAAATTCTTTATATATTCTTTTAAATTTGAAATTATTGTTTAAAGCTCAGCATTTCAATTGGGAGAATGTGTGAAATTTATAATTGACTACAAATCATAATTTGAATTTCCTTTGCTTGGGTAAGAATATGTGCGGCTCCTAAGCTGCTAATGTTGATTTTAATGTACTTATCAGGTGTTCTATATTGTCCTTCCTTATATTACGATTGTTGTTAATAGTTCCCAGGGAGGTTTTGTTCTCTTGTGTTTTACAGTCAGAGAATGGTATGTCTATTAAGATCGTCAATAACATTGTCGATATATTATGTTTGTTATATTTGTGTTACATGTTTGATTGAGATTATGAAAACTCTAACTTCCAATCCGTGTAAATAATAGTCGTGGATAAAATTTCCAATAAGTTAATGTTTATTTGAAGTAAAACATTGTTAAATAGACCAGCGAATGGCCAACATTAGGCGCACAGTTAATACTAGTAATCGTTACAGACGTGGAAGACGTGAAATTTGTTATAAATTTCGACTACCCCTGCAACTCGGAGGATTACGTACATCGCATAGGCCGTACCGGTAGATCGCAGAAGACTGGTACCGCGTACACGTTTTTCACCCCGCAGAATTCGAACAAGGCAGCCGATTTGGTCGCCGTTTTAAAAGAGGCGAAGCAAGTGATTAACCCGAAACTGCAAGACATGGCGAACAATTGCAACTCGAACAGCGGCGGTCGCGGTAGATGGCGTCGCGGCGGGGGCAGGAATCGAGGACAGCGTACCCCCTCGAGATCACCGCCACCGAAAAAAGGACGCAGAAGCCGTAGCCGTTCACGAGACAGGCGAAGGAGGCGGTCTTATTCTTACAGCAGCAGTTCCTCCAGGTAACAATATAATAACGTCTATACAAGTATCAATGACCCAGTTTGTGAGCTGGTGGCTACCACTCTATTCTTTCTAACCCAACATTTTCGGTTAATACTTTTATTGTTCTTTATTGTCTAAAACAGTGCGACAAGCAGCTGTTTCCAAAATATCATTTTGTTTTTTGTTTTTATTACATTTAAAATTATTGTTTCTGTATATTTTTTAATAATGTTTTATATTATCTTGTAGCCGATTAAATAAATTATAATATCAGTGGAGTGAGTATTTATGAAATTAGATTGTTAGAAAAATTAAGGTGGTATAATAATTATTGTTTTAAACGGGACCGCAGGTAGAAAAAGGTTGAAAACCACTGGTCTAAAAAGATGCTACACAATCATATCAATAGTGTCCAAATGTACAGTTACAAAAAAGAATGTTATATTTGCAAAGCAAAATTTTTGGCATTTTGTTTATTTATAATTTATATAATAATTTATTTTAAACCATTTTTTTTTAATAACTAGATATATTATATAAAACCTAAATTACTCTAAAGCCTAAAAAACCTAAACTAGCTAAGCATCGCCTGAAAAGAATCGACAAAAATTTACATATTGGTTTTTTTTTTCACGACATGTACTGATAACATTATTAGAAAATTAGAAAATACAAAAAAAAAAAATATTTAAAATTGGTTAACAAAAGGCTATCGCCAAAAACTTTCAACGCGGATATCTTAGTTTGTGACTTCATTAAGGGACGGTATTTGTTCTTAGGACTGTAATATAAAATTTGTGTATTTATTTACTTATTTTTTTGGCATTTGAAGTAGATAAACCGTAATACTGTTATTCGCTGCAAAATGCAAATCCGTATAGCTATTAAATAAGGATGGTAAAAATTCTTGTGCCTCGGGCGACTGTGATATTTTCCTAAAGAAGGGAATGATCTTCCTCTAATGCCTCTAAATTTTAAACACTGTTCTGTACTTCACACCGTTTTCTTTTTAACCAGGGATCTCCACAGACTCAACTCCTTTTTTCATGAATCTTTAACGGGACCAGGGTATATTTTGAGAAGTTGCGCAATAAGAATGCCGAAAAGCTGAAAACTATTCAATTAATAATATTCATTGCTTCAAACTATTTCAGTTCTAACTTTAATTTATTTCTAGCGAGGTTTGTAGTTTCGTTCTTATTTGAAAACAATGAATATTTTTCTCTCCATTTTATTCTAATTGTAATGTCAACTATCAACTTTATTTTCCCACAGTTCTTCAAGGTCTCGAAGTCGATCGCCGGCAAAAGCGTCCGCATCGATTAAATCCGGATCGTCATCCCAGCAAGCCAACAAATTAGAGGAGACACGTTCAGTTCAGAATCAGAATCGCCTGCCATCGCCTCCAAAACAATTTGGTGACGCTCAGCAGAGGCCAAAGTATCAGTCTGCGAATCCCGCCCTCCAAAAATTCGCCGCTCTGCAGAATCAGCTGCAACAACAAAAGCAGATGGAGGCCCAAGCAAACCATCCTGACGCGTTGTCGAATCGAAACAGTTCGCAGCAAAGACAACTTCAAATGAGTCAAATGTCGAACCATTACAGTGTGCAACAGAATCACATGCTCAGTCAGTATGGACAGAATCAACCGCAACAGCCACCTTTGCCGCCAATGCAGAGCAAAACTGCTCAGCCTCCGCCACCTCCTCCACCCAATCATTCTGCACCACCTCCTAATATGATGTCATTCCAAAATCATATGCCCCCTCCTTCGGGCAATGCACAGTACGGATCTTTTCAGTTGAATCCAGGAACGTTGATGTATAACGCACCTCCTCCTCCGCCTCAGGGAGGCGGACAGAATCAGCAGATGTATTTCCATTCATATGTCCCGCCGCCGCCTCCAACGTCTCATTAGTGACACGTTTAGTATGACAATTTGAAAATGATAAAGGCGATGAGAAAGCCAGGTAAGGCTTGGTGATCGAGATTAGAAATTTTTATTTAGTAAGGGACATATTATAGAGAGACATATCTCGTCCGAGGTTCCAATTAAGAATAATTATAATTATTGACGATTTTGTGCATTATTGTATTATATTTAATATCAATTGTATTTTATTCCTTTGATATTTCCTTAATTTCATTTCTTTGATCCTAAGGACCATTTTGTATTGTAAAAATAGTGGTATTTTTAATTAAACCAATCAGATCGGAATTGGAATGAGTTTTGTTTGCTATGAAATTGTAAAACTTCTTTTTTGCGAGTGCAAATTGCGATTCGACAGCGACAAGCAAATGAAGTCAGTGAAAGAGATGTCCCTTTGCTTCATGACAGGTCAACTGTTAAGACGAGGAAGCGCGTTAAGTTGGGAGGCAGAGAAACTTTTACAATATTTACTTAATGCCAGGTATAGTCTGTCTCAATCTTTATCGTGTTGGCTTCGAAGGCTACATATAATCGGATATATAACTTTGGTAAATTTTTATGAAGGTCTAAACGCAGGCCTACCTCCCTTGGATTTCTCTTTGTAACCCTCAATAGATAGATTCGCAATTCCACAATGGCGTTCCAGAACCGAATTTAGATACTTCGTGCATACAAATGCTGAAAGCTGACTGATTTGTGAAGGTTTTTGTATCGACGCGGAAAGTAAATCCTACCTTGCATGTTTAATCCCAACCGACTAGGTGCCGTTCTCGTTCCTTTTGGTCGATTGTCTTTTGAAAAACAAGAAACGCGCACAGCATCGCAAAAAAAATAGCCTGGCTGAACCAGGCTAGAAGTTCGCCAAATCTATAATAATAAAAAAAAACTAATTGATACTCACAATTTACCCGAAAAATATTCCTCTACCAATATAAGATCGAACAGATTTCATCGGTAATATTTCTCGATTGTTATTAGTCCATACAGTGAAAAATCCCTTCTTACTTTTAAATCATACTCTTAAAATGCAATAGTCAACACGGCACAGTTCTTGTCGGCTAAGATCTTAAATACGGCCCTGGCTTATGGTACACGTGTTGAAAAGAATGGTGCCTTCCGCTTTACAACAGGCGGGTTTTAAACTCATTCCGAAATCAAATCCATAAAAGGTTGTAAAAACGGTATATCCTTTGGAGAACTTTACCTTTTGTTATTGAGTAAAGCCATTAACAAAAAATTTATTCTTACTTGCGTGACAAGGCAGGAGTGGGTCAGGTATTTTTCTTCCGTTCTGTTATATTTCTTCAATGCTGACTATTTGTAGCAGTATTGAATAATAGTTTTTACTGTGCGTTTTGAAAAAGTTATTTTACGAGAATATAACAATGTTGCGTCGAAATCATTCGTCGCTTGATGCAAAACAGATTGTGAAAAATGTGTATGAAACTCTAATTCGTAGAGGACCTATTCAACAAGGAGCTTTAAAGAAACCTGTCTACTTACGAAAACGCCAATAAAATCGATTAGGGGTATTAATAATGGAGAATTGAAGACAAGGAATAAACTTAGTGATTTTCAAACTCACCGTATACACAATTGCGATCGAGACCTAATAAAAATATCTTGACCTTATCAAAGCGAAGTTTTCCTACCGTGGATAAACTTAAAAAAAAGTTAGAAGATGAAACCAATATAAATATAAGCCGTGCCACCCTCCATCGAGTTGTTTGTAAAATGGGATTGAAGTACAGCAATATAGACAAAAGGTAAATAGTAATGGAATCACACAGATTGCGCACTAGGAGATTTAATTACCTTCAAGAATTTAAAAGATATAGATTAGACAATAGATCCATAATTTACCTTGATGAAACATAGTTCGATACACATGACACTATCCAAATTATGGGTCGATTCCACTCAAAAGTATCAGACGAAAGCACCTTCAAATAAAGGAAAACGCATCACAATAATACACGCTGGGTCAGAAGACGGTTTTGTCCCAACCTACTTGCTGTTGTCTGCAAAGAATATTAAGGACTCTAGCTTAGATTATCATGAGGATCCAAGTGTCGAACCGTTTAAAAATTCTCAATGACAGTGTTATTGTCACGGATCACGTAAGGTACCACAGCCGCCTGTTTCGCAAAGCACCAGCCTCGTCGAGTTCAAAAACTGAAATGTAACAACATTTGTTAGAGAACATGATATTTATTTTGAATTCAGTTACAGAAAAGTTCAACTTTTGGAAGTCGTAAATTCATATGCAATTAAAAACAGTACATATGCGATAATTTGGCTGAATAGGCTGGGAATACTGTTTTACGTCTTCCTCCATATCATTGCATATTTAACCCCATAGAGCTTTGTGGAACCAAGTAAAATCAAAGGTTAGAGCAGAAAATATTACCCCTACTTTAAGTCCCAGTGTTATAAATTTTATAAAAAATGTAATGTAATAACATACCAATTTAGAGCTGGAAAAATTCAGTGCAGCACATTATAAAAATTAAGGACTTTATTGTATATATAATAAATAAAAAAAATTATATTATTACCAAAACCTTTGAGAGTCCGTCCCTAATGTTCTGTCTTTTAATACCTGGCGTACCCGAGTTTTATTGCCGTCGGCAGGTAACTTTCATAGTTGCGGACAAGAGCCAGCCCAATGAAGATTGGAACATACTATATTGTCCATCCATAATGACCTTGATTACTAATTTCATACTCCATACTCTGAAATAATCAATTGTGCCGGTACATACCTATACTGATCAGCAACAGGAGTGCGCAAAGTGTCACGTTATTACATCAGCTTCATTCTTTCGTTAGCTACTTCCGGTGTTTTCGGTACTTTAGTCACTTGTTTGAGAACGACGGGATGTTTTCAGTAGATTCTACCTACCGATATGTTTTACCATTTTCCAGTTCTGTCGATCACGGCACACGTATCTCAATGAATATCTTGGTGGTGATTTGCAAAAATGTACCCAAAAACTAATGATTGTAGGAAAAGTGTGGTGTACAACCTGTTGTATGGTTGCGCGTTGACGTTCTCCGATGACGGCGCTGCTGACAGTAAATAAACGTGGCCGTTTGGAAAGATTCCATTATGTTTACATTTCACTCACTGTGTGCAATAAGGGCACATATCAAAATATTGGTAATTTAGTTGATTGTACCATAAAACTCGAAAACAGATGGGAACTCGTTATAAAGAAACGAGTTACGATGATTTTTTGGTTTAAAAAAACTAGTAACTCAAACTTCTTTTAACTTTCATTGGGACAGTTCAGGCGATGTCAAAATAAATGAAATGTGTGTTTTCAAAGTGGAAAAAGGTGGAACTGACATATTTTTCTATAAACCATCTTTTAGTGAAACTGACTGCAGAAGCATAAGCATTACGCAAAGAAAAATGTAACCAAGAGTGACTTTTACATATTTTGGAAATGTGAATAATAGCCTGAGAGATGCCAAAGACTGAAGTATCACGATTTTTTAGTTACTTTGAAAATAGTACTTTTTGTTTATTTTCCAAAAACCAGGTCAGTTGGTTGTTGCTTTTATTGTACAATAGCTTAGCTTTTGTTTACGGTCGATGATAGTTCTTGTTTCTCATAATTTTAACAAAAACTGTAGGTCCGTTGTTTGTTATTGTTCAGACTACTTATCTGATAGTTATTTCTTTTATTTTAGAAATAATATCTATTTCGAAATGTATCAAAAACTATAGGTCTATGGTTTTTTAGTTCCAGTTTGTTTTTTTTTAAGTTACTACTATGTATCTATCTTGCAAATGTACCTGCCGTATTATATGTTTATACGTATTTTTATCAAAATATTGCACTTTATTTGTGATGTGTTCCTAAAATAAAACTAATAAATAAAATAAAAATTAAAAAAGAACCTCAATTTTTTTGTTTTAAAAAGAGAATAATACAAATTAATATATAATTATAAAGACATATCACTATACATTTTGCAATAAGTACGAGAGTTGATATGAGTTATCTCAATCAATCAATCAAAATCACTGATTTTCTCGGAACTATTATTTTGTGGATGTGCCAGTATCGCACGCAGTGAGCGATATTACATTTGAAACTTTGACCAGTTCATTTTACTTGCATAACGGATAATTAAGTACTATTTGTGGCTCCATTGTCAGTTTTTGTGGCGTGTCGTTTGTAGAAAATGTTGCAAGAACAGTATTTCACGATGAAATCTATTTTTAGCTCATTTAAAGTGTAATGTGAAAGCTGGAGCTTTGTAGAAGACGAGGCACTATTCAATGCAAAACATGTAATTTTAATTGGGTCCACTGCAGGAACCGACAACTTAAAGTACATTTCTACAATATGCCTTCAATGTAGCAAAATGAAAAGCTAATTGTGGTTTAATATTTGTTGTATGACATCCATTAACGGAATAATATGTTTTGTGTTTTGATTTAAACATCTATCAATTTTACTTCCAGATTAAATTTATATTTTTTTTGCCAGAGATCTCATTGAATTGTAAAATCGCCAATACGGTCTCTGCATCTTGGACAGCTGGGTCGCATCAGTGACATAAACAGCGCCATCTATTTTTACATAAGCCAAAACCGGGGAAGTCCGGTCCATTAGGTAGTGCTTTTAAACAAGTTTTTTATTTTATACTATTTCGTGAGTTCAAATAGAATGGGAACAGTGAAAAAGGACCGATTGCAAACTACTTGAGTGTGAAAATGCGAAAAAAGTAATGACAAATAGGAGCCTCATTTAAAGAATTTCAGAAATGGCGATTAATGTATTTGAAAATGAAAAAGCCGTGTGTAACATCTGTGGGAAAGAAAGCTACGCTGATACACTTCAAAATTTATTTTTTTAATAGTTTCATTTATGCACTGGACAGACAAATATTTTTTTACCGGCGATAACAGGGGATATGCGTATATACCGATATCAATATCAGTATCGTTTTATCACTATTTTTCAAACAAAGGTAACACAAACCTCCCATACAATCCAAACATGAAACTCATATTCAAACAATGTTGCTATTTCACGTTTTTTTGCTAGAGGTCTCATTGAATTGTAAAATACCCAGCGATCTTAAGTCACATTACATTGGTTACTACTTACTACTACGGGAAAAGAAAATTTCGCTACTAATAATGAAAAATTTATTATCACAATTTTATATCTTAATACGCACATGCTCTTCGTTGTTAGAGTCCGTCGCTAAAAGCTGCACGGTAGACACGGCCCTGCCCAACTTCGTCTCTCTGTAAATTCTGTACTGAAGGTAGAACAACCCCGCCACAGCAACGATGAGAAAAGAAAGGATAATAAATATCGCTATTTGACTATTTGTAACCGAGGCGGGAGCTTGAACGGATTCCAAAGCCGTATGGGAGTGCTTCGTCGTCGGTTTGTCGACGCACTTGGGCTCACCCGGTATGTTGGAATAGAGGACAAACTTGAAATTGTCTTCTAGAAAGTACCGCTCCATTTCCGCCTCCAGGTCGCAGGCGAGCGCGTTATGCTCTAGCTGCAGATAGGAAAGTCTCGGTAATCGAGATATTAGGGCGGTGTAATCCAAATCTGAGATTCGATTAAACGAGAGGTCCAAAGCGTGCAGGCTGTGCAACAGAAACACCCCACTGATTACCACGTCGGTTATGGCGTTGTGGGAGCAATTTAAAACTCTAAGCTGAGGCAGTCCTGTGAACGATCCGGTTTTTATTTCGCACAGCTCGTTGTAAGAAACGTCGATGCTGTGTAAGTTGAAAAGGTTTGTGAAAGACTTCCGTGCGATGGAGGTGATTTTGTTGAAACTCAGATCCAGTTCTTCCAGGGAACGGATTTCCAGGAACGTCGGGGAAAGGAGGACGATGCGGTTGTGGGCTAAATTGAGGCTGCGTAGTTGGGCGTTGGGAGACATGTGCAACAGCGGCGTCGATATGTCGTTTTGGGATAGGTCGATTTCGAGCAAACTCGTCAGGTTGTAAAATTCCTCGCCCCGGATAGTTTTAATGTTGTTGCTGCGCAAGTTTATACTCTCCAAGCTCGTCAAGTTCTCGAACGCATTTCTCAGCTCTGTAATTTTATTATTGCTGAGGTCTAGACGCTCGAGGCTTTTTAATCCGTTAAAGGCCTTCTCGTCCAAAACTTCTATCTGGTTCCAACTGACGTCCAGCGTTTTCAAGTTGACCAATTCCAGGAACCCGTTTTCGGAGAGAATCGTAATGTCGTTGTGGGATAAATTAATCGACGCAATTTTCTTCACCCCGATAAATGTCGCCGGGAACACTGATCTGATTTTGTTCTGTGACAGATCCAGAGTCTCGACGAAGATCAGCCCCATGAACGCTTTTTGCTTCATCGACTCGATCTGACTGTTTCTTAGATCGAGGTGTTTGATTTGGTTGCCGTTCAAGTCGAAGGTGCCCGGTTCGATTGATTTCAGAGTGCAGTTGACGCAGCGTAACGTTTCGTCCAAGTGATCGAATTTGTACAGAGTGTTTTTGAAGAAACTGGGCGTGGCGTTTACACAGGTGGCGGTCAGGGATCCTCGTTCGCCGTAGGTGCACTTCATTAGGTCATAGGAAGTTACGGGCGAGAATTCGGGAATGACCCGATCTATGCTCGCGATGAATATGATTAGCCATGTTGTTCTAAGCTGGAATTAATAAAAAATCATTAGCTTTCAAGTAAACGTAGATTTTATTCCCCCCGTAGTAAATATTTACCTGACAAGTCAAGTAAAAATGAACGTCAAATTATCAAAACCCTTACTTAAACATATCGGGGTGTTTCAAAAGGCATAAGAAAAGAATTTCATATATTCGTAGTTCTCCACTCCCCATTTTCATCATTTTCTTTGGTGTTAATTCTAAAAGTACTTGTACTTTTAGTGGCTTATTTAAAGTAAATAAAACTCAGTGACGTACAGCTCCTTCCTAATACTATTCTATTATGTGGACGCCAACTTACAAATTTTAATTTAGTCAAAGTAAACTTTATCATATAAATGACGTTGTGAAACTCCAATAAAATCAAGTAAAACATATTAACATATATTGTAAAAAAGCTTTTTTTTTAAATATTTCACATCTCGCATCTTGGCACACAAAAGTTGAGGTTGTGCTAAATTAATAGGAATTTTGCAAAAAAAGTATCTCAATCAAGAATTTCATAAAATAGATTGATTGCTGTAGTAAACAATACTTTTGTAAAAAGCTGAAAATATAATTTTCACCCGTTCCTGATTTATCTTTACATTCAGACGATTTAGATTGGAAGAAAAAAAAAACATACAGGGTGTCTAATAAACTCAAGGAAAATCCGACTTATAATGCTTACAGGGTGTCAAATTTCAATTTAGTTTAGGTTATTCATACATAATTTTGATAGTTTTTATAGTTTCTAAAATGGAATAGGAATTAACATTCTCAAAAATGTTGTGTATAAAAAAATTATGAGGAATTTGGGGTAAATTATAATAAAATATGTTGAATCTTAACACACAATGCATGCCCATGATGATTAACTTGCTTTTGGCGAATAGATACATTTTTACTGGCAAGTTTATTATGATTATTTTAGTTTCCTGTAGAAGTTCGTAACATACGTTTTGCCTCAAAAGGGTGCAAATTACTTATTTAAACCGGGTCACGTGGTTTCCTTAATTTGTTACGTCTAATGAACCTCTGTGGTTGAGCAATCCATGAGGCGCGTCCCCCGGGTGGCGGATGGGGGAGCCCAGGCCCTCACGGGCCTGGGTGGCTGGGAATAAGGAGGCATGAGGAGGTAAAAATCCAATAGGGCTGACAAATAACCAGTCGTGGACCAGCTCACCCTGCCCAGCTGTCGTGTCGTGGCTAAGGGCCTGCACAGGGTATAACGGTGCCAACTGGCTTGTAGTCGGTTGATAAACCAGGCGTCGGGGCCGGCTCAACGAGTGGGCACGCGACGCGGGGGGTCTGAGCTTCACCACTTGGACCAAGAGGAGTAAACCTCAATAAAAATCCTAAATCATACGGTGGGGGGTCGGGCCTAGGGGATGCATGGCTGAATAGAAGATCAGTCTCTACCGATCCCAACCCCGAGGCACCGGGCGCACCTCGGGGAAGGAAGCCTTACCTCTGCATGCGGGGCTCTGCAGAGGTGGACCGTTATGTTTCCCTAGCTACTCGTGGGACCTTTATGGAACCAAAAATGAAATGCGAAGAAATGCAGAAGGACGAGGGGCTCCAGCAAGCAGGGGCGTCCTTAGGAAGGCCCCCTCCAAGGGCGATCCGAACCGGATCCCCAGGTCGCCAGCGGGGTGGAGGGCTCGGTACAAACCGGGAACACCACCTCGATGACACACCACCCCAGACATAGGAGTGGGGCGGAAAAAAGGAGGGCGAAGAAGAAGAGACTCGCGGTGACGGTTTCGGAACCGCAGACGGGCTCTCTTCCGGCGCCCAGGAATCCTGCCACGCCGTCAACGGAGGGTTCCATAGGGGGCACACCTGAAACGGCAGGCGGGAAGCGGAAAAGAAAAATGGGAGACACCACCCAGGTTGGGGCACCTGCCGGGGGTCGGCGGCCGACACGCGGCCCGGCGAAAGCTAGGCCCGGGAAAGGCGGGCCGTCCCGGGGGGGCTCTGTGAGGGGGGCTCGGTCCTATGCACAAGCGGTGGCGGGGGGCCTGAACTGGTGGTGGGCCTCAGAGGACAGGAAACTGACCTGTCTTCCGAGGAGCTGCTGCGGTTCATAGGGTCTCTTAACCTCCGCATAAGCATGTATATCATGCAGGGGGGGCAATACACCCCTCCCCGGATACGCTCGGTTAGGCTGTGGAGGAGCCACATCCTGATCGAGATGATGGATGAAGAAACCAGGGAGTGGGTTCGCAGGGAGCTGATTAACGTCAGGCCCTGGGGGCTGTCAAACCTGGTGGAGGTCTATCCGGAAGGATTGAGACTGAGAAGGGCGGCGATATGGTTTCCGGGCCTGGGGGCGGGTGTCTCGAATGAGGCACTAGTCCGCTGCCTGGCAGCTCAGAATGGCCTAGATTGCCGTGCCTGGAGAGTCTGGCAGAGGACGGAGGATGCAAGGGGCACAAGGTTGGTGGTGGGCGTGGACGAGAAATCGGCAAGCGCCATCACGGCTAAGGGCTCACTTCTCTTCTGCCTGGCGACACAGGTAAAAGTGAACCTGGCGGCGCCGAGGCCGCAGGGGGATGAGGTGGCCGCGGGGGGCTCACACGAGGAGGGCTCGACCATGGAGGTTGGCGGGCCTGTCGGAGAGGCGGCGCCCAGGGCTTCTGTGGAGGAGACCTCCGGAGGGCCCTCCGAGGAAGCGAGAACTGACGAGGTATCTCGGATGGAAGTTGACCGGGGAATTCCATCAGGGTCCACCAGTCATGAAGCGGAAGCGGAGGGAGGTGCTACCTCGGGCTCGGATTCGGGCTGAGGCTAGCATCGTGACCCGCAGGTGGTATTCCCGCAATAACATCTTCACGGGGATATTACAGAGTAACTTGCAACACAGCAGGGCTGCAACGGCCCACTTATGCAGGAAAATTTCGGAGGGCGGTACATCTATTGTACTGGTCCAAGAGCCCTGGATTGTAAAATCAAGGGTTAGGGGCTTATCTCTGGGAGGATCGATGCTGCATAGTGTCGACTCCTTAGAGGGCGGTCCCAGGGCCTGTATTTTAACCATGGGGCTGGAGGCCTTTTTCCTAAGGGACAAGGCGTCCAGGGACCTGGTTCCAATTCTGGTCAGATCCCCCACTCGGGACGGCGTGAGGGAGGTAGTGGTCGCCTCTGCGTACTTTCCAGGCGACCGCAGCTGTCCTCCGCAGGAGATCTGTGACTTGGTCTCCTACTGCGAGGAGGCGATTGGCTGTGACAGCAATGCTCACCACGTTTTGTGGGGCAGCGCGGCAACGAATAGAAGGGGGGGAGACCTCGTGGAGTTCATGGCCTCTGCAGGGCTGCAGGTGGCCAACAGAGGGGTAGAACCCTCGTTTTTCACGACGGGTCGGAGCTCGGTCATAGATTTAACACTTTGTACCAGGGCTCTGCTCCCGGAAATAACTGGGTGGTGTGTCTGTGGGAGGACTCTATGTCGGACCATAGACCTTTGGGTTGGAGATGGGTGTTCGGGAACCCGTTAGATTTAGGAACCCCCGGGCAACAAACTGGGAACTCTATAGAGAGGAGCTCGCTTGGCGCTTAGGGGGCTTACCAAGGAAACACCGCACAATGGAGGAGATTGATGAGGCCGCCGACCGAGTCAGCTCCGCTATGATGCGGGCGTTCGATAATAGTTGCCCCGAGACAGAGGAGCATAGGGCGGGAAGGACTCCTTGGTGGAGCTCTTCCCTGGAGCGTCTCAGGAGGAAAGTGCGGAGGCTGTTCAATACAGCGAGGAGCAGCAGCCAAGGTGCGGACTGGGATCTCTATAGGGAGGTCCGCAGACATTACAAAAAAGAACTACGGGCATCACAGAGGAGGGCCTGGAGGGGCTACTGCGACGGAGTAATGAATACCCCGGACGCGGCTAGGCTCCTTAGGGTACTCAGAAGTGACCCTGCGGGAAGACTGGGGGTGGTCCGCAGGACCGGCGGTGGCTACACAGCGGGACCAGCGGACACACTATAACAGTTGCTGAACACGCACTTCCCAGGGTCCGCTGATCCGGACACAGGGGGGTCCTGACCAGCCCGCTGATGGACCTGTTCAGGGCCTCCATTGCGAGGGGGTACGTGCCCGAGCTGTGGAGACACAGCAGGGTAGTGTTCATTCCCAAGGTAGGGAAGAGTGACTACACGGAACCGAAGTCGTACCGGCCTGTTTGCCTCACCAGCTTCATTATGAAGACTCTGGAGAGACTGGTAGACCGGTATCTGAGGGACTGGGTGGAGCTGGAGGCCCCTTTAGAGCCAGCTCAGCATGCGTAACGAAGTGGCGGGTTTGTGGGCTCAGCTCTTCACCATCTGACTTCCAGGTTGGAGGAGGGTATGGGCTCGGGACGGCTGTCGGTGTGCGTGTTCGCTGACATCGAAGGGGCTTTCAATAACACCGCCCTGTACTCGATCTGCAGGGCGGTGGAGAGTACTGGAGTGGGGACGGCCATTGTAAGGTGGATCCGCTCCATGCTAACCGACAGGAGGGTCGAGGCAAGACTGGGTGGGGAGCAGGTCTCCATCGGTTCATCACGGGGTTGTCCACAGGGCGGGGTCTTGTCCCCGTTCCTGTGGTGCCTAGTGGTGAACGAGATATTGCATATTCTGAGGGAAGAACACGGGGTCTATGCTCAGGCATATGCAGACGACCTTGTGATAATGACGCAAGGGACGGACGTGAGGAGGATGCAGGGGCTCCTGACCGGGGCATTGGCAAGATTCTCACAATGGTGCCTGGACAGCAAGTTGGCAAGATGGAGTGCAACTTCAACATTTCGATGGATGGGGTGCCTCTTTCTGCAAGCGGAAGTGTCAAGTACTTGGGCGTATGGTTGGACTCTAAGTTGACCTTCCAGGAACATATAAGATCAAGGACCAGGTCGACCTTTGGAGCTCTGTGGGCGTGCCGGAGAGCGGTAGGGGGCACTTGGGGCCGAAGATCATGCAGTGGATCTACGGTACCATGGTGGTGCCTATGCTCACGCATGGGGCAGTGGCATGGTGGCCGGGGACGAAAAGAGCGGGAGCAAGGCTAGTTCTTGACAGACTGCAGAGATTGGCTTGCCTCTGCATAACGGGCGCCATGAGAACGGCGCCCACGAGGGCCCTGGAGGCTCTGGTGGGGCTGCCCTCTCTGGCGGATCTGGTGCAGATGGAGGTGGCCAGGACAGCTGTGAGGCTGGCAAGCTGCGGGCTCTGGAGGGAGGGAACCTTCAATCGGGGTCCGTACGACATGGGCATGCCGAGTGACGTCATGATCCCCGAGATGACCTTCTTTGATAAATTGACCTTTCTCTTTCCATCAAGGGAAGATTGGAGAGAGGGCAGAGTCGGCTCCTGGGATGGACTTGTCTGGTACACGGACGGGTCCAGAATGGGAGATCTGGCCGGAGCTGGAGCGTACTGCGAGACAACGGGATCAAGCTTGTCGGTCCCTCTGGGTCAGTACTGCACTGTGTTTCAGGCGGAAATTTTCGCTTTATTGATGGCGGCCAGAGAGGTGCTTCGGCTCAACTACGGAAGCAGGAGAGTTTTCTTCTGCTCGGATAGTAGGGCTGCACTCATGGCGCTGAAGTCAGTGCGTACGCGCTCCTTGTTGATAAAGGAGTGCAAAGGGGTACTGAGAAGGGTGGCTGAGGAGAGAAAGGTCACGTTGGTCTGGGTCCCGGGTCTCACCGGTATCCGGGGCAATGAGGCAGCGGACGCCTTAGCCAGGGAGGGCGCCTCGCATAGGCATATAGGGCCAGAGCCCCGCTTGGGGATCGCCCCGTGTGTGAGGCGGGGAGCTCTCCTCGGACCAGGGAGCTGCTTGGACTGACCAGAAGGGAGTGTAGAGCACGAACAGGGGCCTACACAGGACATTGCAGGCTTAAGAGGCATCTTTGCTTGCTAGGCATTTGAGACGACCCGGAGTGTAGGTGGTGCATGGAAGGGGAGGAGACCCCGTATCATCTGCTCACCGAGTGCCCTGCCTTGACATGGGCAAGATTGGGAGTCTTCGGAACGGCCCTGATCGATCCGGACTCAGTGCACGGTATTGGACTAAAGGAGTTGCTGACCTTCTACAGGAGGGGCGGCATTCTGGACGCCTTCTAGAGCGGCCTGGGGGCACAACGGGCCCATCTGGTGGCCTAAGTGCTTGGACGCCCGCGAGGGCGCCCCCCTTTAATACCAATACCAATTACGTCTAATGAAATCATTAAATTGCAATTCATTTATGTTTTTCAGGGGTTTATGTGGATTTATTGAACTGAACTGAATGAAACCCGTTCTTTTAGATATTATTGAAATCCTACTCACAGTCGAATGTTTCATATTTAAATTTATTTTAATAATTTTAATTTAATAACATGGTTATGTACTATATTCCTTAGCTATTTTGGCGTTATAAATTTTATTTTTATTCAAGGAATTATCATCATAATTTTTATTATTAATTTTTTGTCACTCTTTCAATTCAGAGCCTTCAGAGTTGAACATCTAAACTGAAGTCTATTTCAGAGAGGTAGGTAGGAATTCCGAATGACCCACTGAATACCGAATGCTCAAACCTTTCATTGTTTGGTATTGGTTTCATTCATTCTTTTCATTAAGTGCGGGTAGTACCACTATTGGTTATGTCTATTGTTATCCCTTCGCCACAATTGAAAATACTCTAAAAAAAGGAAGTTTTTTTTATTTTAAACAGAATATATTTTTTAAACATTATAAAAAAACAATAATGAAATTAATTAATCAAATAGTAGATTGATACGAATCCTTCCACTTGCGCCCATATAAGTTCAATTTAGTTCACAATAATATTTTTCCGTTAATGCGAATGTCGCCATTTTATTACTAATCTTACAGTTTAACAGCAAATACTGATGCGTAAAACTATATAAATACACCTATAAAAGCGCAACAATAGTATGTTTTAATTATGCTGTTATTAAAAGGTCATTTATTTTCTTTTACTTCGTGATAACGGAATACTTAGGTATACTTCGACCAGAAATATAGTGATTTTTCAATCGACCCCGTGATTAACTTTGACTACTGTTTATTACTCCAAAACCGGAGCCCCTTATAGAATGTAAGTATGTTTTCAATTTTCTTCGCTGAGCAATTCCTGAAACATGTAGATAAAGAAATTACTTCAAGGTAACAATTTATTACGTTCTATTTCATTACATTTCTATATAGTATCATTATTAATATACAAAATATTAAATATAATAATAATAAAGTATCAGTCACTTAAAAAATCGTCACTATCGTTACAACGTCAATGATCAACTCGTCCACTAATTGTTCTCGATAAATATGTATTTTATTCTTTTATTACTCGTTTTTCACGGTTAGACCAGGTTTGTACTGATATTTAAGCTACCTCTTGCCTAATTACATTTATGGTACTGTCACTAAATTTTGGTGCAGTGTTATTTATTCTTATGTGCGCTTTCAACTCAGACCAAATCGTCTCAATCGGGTTAAATATATAATGCTAAGGATTGTGTAGACTTTTTTAAAATGTTTATTTTTGATAATTCCAGAAGTTGTTTTTTCGTGTAGTTCTCTTCAAAATATCAATCACTTTTGTACAGAAATTCTTTAATTTCTTCATTATTTGAAGAAGTATTTGGAATTTTTCTAATTTTGGGCTGATGGTGTTGGTAACAGTTTATTGTCAAACCATTCCGCAAATATTTCCGCAGTTAAGTTTTCTTGGTAATTAAATCTTTGACATTTTTGACATACAAAAATAAGGCATCTTCCATTCAACCATTTTTGGACCCAGCATGAAGAATTTTTATGCGTTTTCCATGTGTGAAGTACACACTTGTTACTGTTATCACACCATCCTTTTTGTACTGTATCGTGAGTGCCGAACCACGTTTCATCTTTATACGCTATTGGTCTATTTTGCTCTCGGAATTCTTTAAGATTCCATTAGCACTTGACATTTATTAATTGTTTGGAACTGAAAATCCATTTTCTTCAAAAAAGTACGCAACTTATGTATGCAGTTCTTCTAGGGATAAAACACTTCTAACACTATTAACTCACTATTAACTTTATAAGCGTCGTAGATTATACGCCTAATTAAATCTGCGTGTTGCTCTTTAAAGCTCGCGAAGTACCAGCATCTTCTCTCACTTTTCTTTTGCAACATTTGCAACAATATTTCTTACGGTTGACTTCGGAGCTTTGGTCATGTCACTTATTTTTATTGCTGCTCCTACTCCCCCTTCTGAATTTCTTATAAAATTGTAAACATTCAAAACAATTTGTTTAGCCTCCAAAGACAAATGGATACGTTTTTTTATTTGCTGGGGTAGTTCGTCTTCTAAATTGTCATTAGGTTCGACTACCGTCTCCACTTTGTCTTCAACTTCTGTATTGTTTTCCATGTCTTCTTCAAGTTTCTACAAATATTCGTTACGGTCCATTTCTTGCAACACCTACCTAATGCAGAATAAGCATGTGTTGGGATGGGTTTTACCACGGTCCTGCGAAGGTCTACTGTAAAATACTTAAAACGTGAAAGCAAAAACTGCACTATATTTTTGGTCGTACTATAACAGGGCAAGTGGTCAGTGAAGAAAGTTTAGCTACGCCCGTGGCCGAAATTGGACGGAACTGGACGGAATTTCCCATTTTATTTCTCTACACTTTTCCGAAATAACGTTTAGCCTTTTTATGTTGTAAAAAATTCGTTTGTAAGTACTGCTCCGGCGTTTCCCCATAAATTATCCTGCCCACCGATACGGTTGTACATATTTATAAACAAAATCTATTTATTCTTTCGAAATGGTATCTCCTTAATGATAAACTGGGGTTCTCCGTGACTGGTACTGCACAACGACGTTATCATGTTTGTTGTCTGTGCCACTACGTCTAAACGGAGATGCACCGCGAAATTTCCAAGTAAACATTTATCTCGCATATCTCAATGGCAGAATGAGGCGCCACTAATAAATTAGTCCATAATAACAATTTTCATACTAATTGATAGTGAGTAATTAATATTCCGACTGGTTTGTTAATGTCGGCAAGATAGATTTTAGTCTTAAGCCGTAGTTGGAAGGCAATTGCAGACCGAACGACACACGATAAAATGTTTTATAAGCACTAAAAAATCAATTATTGTTAAGGATTATCTTGGAAGATAACTACAAGATACTGCTTTCCAAAAAAAAACTTTTGGGATACGATTTTTTAATAGAAAACTCCTGCATTATTTTAGCATTTTTTAACTTATCTATTGTTATAGAATTATTGAATTAAATAGAACATCAACTTTTTTAACCGACCTATGCTAATTTAACGTAACTTTTAATAACCTATCGCAGCTTCTATGATGTGTTTAGTATGTATGGTCTGTTCTATAACAGTTTTCACATACCTGGAATTACGCAAATTCTGCTATTGACAGTAATAAGTTCGAGTGTGTTTAAAAATCAACATATTCCAGTAAATAGGCAACGCCATTAGAATAGTTGTGGAAAATATTTTTACAACTAGGCTAGATAACTTTTACAAGCTAGAGAAAAATGTATTTTTGCCAGATTCAAACTTGCCATTTGCAAAGATTGACTGTTGGAAATTCTTGTATTGACTACTACAATACTATACAAGTTGAATAGGAAAAATTCATAAAAAGATTCCAAAAATGATGAGATTTAGGGATAGAATGTATTTAAGTGTGTTTTGAAAATAGGCGCCGCTTCACATTGTGTCCCCGCTCACAAACAAACCGCTTACCATTCCGATGTAAATCAAACCCTCCACCATATAAAAATTCAAAGAAACAAACACCACACACACAAAACCAAATGATTTTTACACATTTATGTCGTGGTCTCTAGCTCTAAATTATTATTGCCACCGTTAAAAATTTGTACCAATCAATGATTCTTACACGTACCCAGCGATTAGCCATGTTCGAAATATGTCGATGCCACTGTGGTAAACGAATCAATACTAAATAAAAGAAAGAAATGATGTTTTCGTTTAATAATCTTATCTGGTCAAATTAGTGTCGTTCGCTTTTATCTCCATCCTGCTGCTACTGTCCGGCTTGCGAAAACACACATAATTATGTGGCAAGATACGTCGGAAACGAAATTGGGAATATCGGGTCCTAATTAGGTCGAAAACGGTTGATAATAGCTAAGCGCTGGGTTGATGTTAAATTTTCTACTCCTACTGCCGTTATCATCACCGACGAAGTATATTTATTTACGATTGACCCGTATCTGGAAAACGCTCTCGATTTTTTATTTCGAAACGAGAATTCAGAAGTCCGAAACCTTAGAACTAACTGTTAGGTAGAGTTCTCCAAACTATATACCGTTTTTACGACATAATCCGGTATTTAATTTCTGTAATTTATTTTGAAGGTGTAACCTAAGGTCTAAGGCCTACCTCCCTTGAGTTTCTCTTTGTAACCCTCAATAAATAGATTCGCAATTTCACAATGACATTCCAGAACCGTTCTTCGGAATTTCGTGCATACAAATGCTGAAAGCTGACGGATTTTTGTAGAGTTCCGACGGTGAGATTTCTCGATTATTAGTCCATGCAGTGAAAACTCCATTCTTACTTTTAAATGCTACTCCTAAAATACAACAGTCCGCAGGGCACAGTTCTTGTCGGCTAACATCTTAAAGACGGCCCTGGCTTGTAATACAAGAATGGTCCCTTTCGCTTTACAACAGGCGGGTCTTAAACTCATTCCGAAGTCAAAACCATAAAAGGTTGTAAAAACGGTATATATTTTTGAGAACAGTAAACAAATATTTTGAACTGTTTTTAAAATTATATCCGTAAAGCTAAATAGATGCAGGGACAGGGTTATTGTTCCTTTAGGTCACGCAAGCTAAGTTTACAACCTTCTTGCCTTTCTAATTTGGACGGTAGTGGATACATTTTTAATGAGTTCGATAGATCTTTGGTCATACTATACCAGTAGGTATGGTGGGACCAGACATCTATCAAACTTCATTATTCATTCCGTTAGAAGCCGGCGGGTGGCAGAATGAAGACAGGGACACACCAGCTATTTTGCAAATTGTTCATTACTATCACGCTTTTTACTGGTATATTTGTTAATAATAATGTCGTCAACAAATGAACCCTTTTTGCCGATAAGCTCATCTCATCTAGATAAACAATTTCTTTCCTATCTTGCACTTATTTATCCCGTTTTTCAAAAGAGATTTTCGACTATAATTATAATAACTACAATTTCTTATCCAAATTATTCAAAAGGTCGGTTATTTTACCTGTATTACTGTAATACTTCTGTTATTGTCCATATCTGATGCCTACCTATAGATGCGGTAGCCAAATTTCACCATTAACATTAACATTAGGTGGTTGAGGCTAAGGGACCTTCATCTTCAATGAGTTGAATATATTGGCGGTGATACCATACATGCAGGTATAAAGACGTAACCACAATTTCAGTGTCCCTACTTAATTTAGTTTCGAAATGACTTAAGTTATAAGACCATTCATGAGCGCTGTTACCGTTCAAAAGTACTGGCATCGCTTTTTAAATAGTGCTCATTATCCATCACTACAAAATTGATATAGTTACTTATTAAGCTATCGAGAAAGAAAGTATTCATTCCATTACATTACAAAGTATTCATATACATATTTCAAGGAAACGTGGCAGACTTCAGTAGTCCTTCCTTATAAAAACTGGAAGCAAATTTTTTCGAAGTTTTGGTGTAACTTTGGGAAAAGAATCGACCATTAAGATACAAGTTATGTAAATAAATAAATAATTAAGAAATCAAAAAAAGACACATAGGAGAAAAGAAAAAATACTAGAAGGCAAACAACACAAAGGAAAAATAGTACTAGAAAAATTTGTAAACCTACTTGAACATTTTCAAGACGTTCAACACCGGAATGAACTCGTCCTAAATATCAGTATAAAAAAAGGATAACTTTCGGCACTTGTGTGTGTAAATTACTGGGCATATTTATTGGAGAAATAAGTGACCACTCCATCTACTTCATTTAAAATGAAATTTGGTGCAATTTGGGAGACGTTTAGAAAGATGGTCTCCGAAAAACGATTCCAAAATTTTAGAATTGCTGCAAATATATTTTAGCTTGGTTAATAAACTAACTCGCTAAACATTTTATGCAGCAACATAGAGTTGGTAGTACGAGAAAATACTCTCAAGGTGTAAGTTTCACAGTATATTATAATCATCAGTGATCGGATAACAGAGGAAATATGCTTAATGGAAGGCGTAAGAATAAAAAAAACAGCATCAAATATAAAGACATCGACAACATCGTTGAAAGAAAAATTAAATCTGCCAAAGAAGACTGGATAAGGAGGGAGTGTGATGAAGTGGAGGAATACAAGCCAAGATATGACCGCTTCAATCTCTATAGGAAGTTGAAAGAGATGACCGGAATGAAGAAAACAGAAAAGAAAAGGCAGTCTACTGTATTTGGAAGTTCCGACTGCAGTATTATGTCGGATGTCAAGCTACAGCTGATTCTTGACCATGCTGAGGAGACTGATCCGGAGATGCTGCGAGGGGAGGTTCTACATGCCATTCAACAGACGAAAGGAGGAAGAACAAATGGTCCTGACGAGATACCGATCGAGTTTCTTAAAATTATAGATGAAGACACAATTGTGATCCTCGTAAATCTCTTGAATTGAAGATCAGCTTACAGATGAAATGGACATTCTGCGAGGCATGCGTCAGTACTGTATTCTTTCTCCGCTACACTTTAGCATATATAGTGAGGCAATTTTCAATGAAGCTATGGATGAACGACAGGAGGGTGTTATGCGGACGACACCATTATAGTTACAGACAAGCTTGAAGATCTGCAAACCCCGCTGCAATTCTTACTATAGACAACACAACGATAGAAAGAGTAAGAGAATACAACATGATTTTGACCTATACCGAAAAAAAAACGACTTCTCCCCGCTTCCACCGGGCGCGTCCGGCCTTTAACCGGCGTGAATAGCAAAAACAGCGAGACCGGCACACTTAAACACTTTAAAACATTCACCAAACACTTTTCGAATACAACGAATTCTGCAGGGAGTGAGCAGAGGTTAAACCGCCATGTGCAATGTGCAAGTTCCAAATTGTTTAAAGTCATAGTTCAAAAAGCAACAGTTCAACAGTTAATTGATAAGGAACATTCCAGATGAGCGCGGAGATGATCAACAGGATGCAATAGCATCAGCGTACAGGGATAAACGAGTCACGTAAAGAAAAATTACTTAATTGTTATTATACCAATACGCGTCCTGTACGTTCCATAATAATTTGCCTCTTCATTTTTTAGAGACGGATTTGTAATTTTTAATAATAGATATAGACCCAGCATTTCAATTTTAAAATTATTATGTGCCCTTCCTTTTCATCCGGGTGAGATTTACGTTTAAAAATAATTCAAATTAGTGACATTTGTGTCGAATTAAAATATCAAAAAGTAAGTTAAGCAGTGTAAGTAAAAAAAGGCAGAGTGTTAAACTACGCAAAATTAATTCTGTGCCTGTTACTTGCGCTTACGAGTGTTCGGCAGTCCATTTGAAGTAAATGCGGAAAATAGACAAACATTCACATTCGTCAAAAATATTTAAATACTAATTACATTACATTCGTAAATTTTGCACATATATATGAAATTGTCTAAACACTTGTAGTTCTTCATTGGACGAGTCCGTTATGACACTTAAATCTTAAGAATATTAAAGCATTACAAATCAAAAAAATGACTTAAATTTAAATTTTCAAAGAAACTTACACAGGCTACTGTAACACTTTTTACAAAACCTCTGGATTTGTATTTTCTGAGTCGCAGGAGGAATCCAGAAGTTTTGTAAAAAGTACGACTTAAATTTGTCAAAAAATTATTAGTTTGTTTCACAGTCTTGCTATTTGGCAGGGGTGGCCAAAGTCCTTGGTAGTGAATAGCCATTTTTCAATATTTTTTTCTTAAATTCGATTTATAAACATATAAAATACGTAATTTATATTCTACTTTTTTTTTATCAGTATTGCTAGATTTCACTTCAGGGTTCGGCTGGCTACACGTTAGTTTTTTCGAAATGTGAAATATTATCATTTTCCGGACTTGCAAATAAACTATTTGGTAACTTATTTAAAGTTAATTAAAAGCTACGCGTTGCCTGGAACAATGTGTATGGATAGTAAAAGTCGGACAAAAATGTTAACCCAATTTATTGGCATCTAAAGTTTTTTCAAACGCAGCTCACTAAGCCGACCATTTTGTCATTTTCTATTTATGTTAAAATTTAAATCGCAACGTTATCCTTATATATATGTACATCATCTACTTATTGCTAGATTAAAAAACTATTAACAACCTTCAGTTAAAACTATCTTCCGGTCAAAATTGAACAGAAAAGAAACAGTAGATTATACAAAAAAAAATTCGTTTCATTGGGACGATTTTTTAAAATTAACCACTAAATTCTATACCAGTGGTGTACCTAAATTGTGAATAATTAAGATACCTCCTGAGCAAATGAAATGTAATTGAGAGTATAGTTAAAAACTTTTCTACGATAGGTACAGAATTAACGATTACGTAACAACCAGGTGCGGTTTTTGATATTTAAGGATCAATTCGATATCACAACCTCTTACATTTTATTAAAATAGGGATCTAGACGCATTATTTGCGAAAGATTAAAAGCACATGAAGATAACATTGAAAATGTGCCGGCTGTTAGTCCCGTAGAGGCCTCTAGCGAAGCTTTATTAAAACACACCGACTTTAGTTGTGGAATCTGAACATCTGAATTTGTTTCCGCCAATCGTAGACCAGTAAATAATTAGTCGGATACGTAATACTTTTAAAAATTTCACCTGACGCGTGGTAACGATGTGATTGTCGTCGACAACAAATTATTGCATTAGGATAGGTATACGCTGCGTCGGTGTGTGAAAAATTTGAGTAAAACTAGTATTACCACTAAAAACGTAACGAACAATTACAATAATTGACGCTTTTTATCTATATATAAAACGCTGAATTGTTCGGGTGGCCGAAAGGAAATTATGGCAAAAATTCTTATAAAAATATCAGCTTTCACTGCCAGTTACTTTCTCATATATAACAAAAAAACGAAGCCTAACTTTAAAAAATGATTTAAACTTGATGTTTCATAATTTTTATTTTTTATGTTACCAATGAACAATTAAAAAAAAGATAAAAATTTTCTATACTTTTACTTGAAATTTTCTGGACTTCTATTGTTCATTAACAAATAAAAAACATCTATTTTAAATGGATTTTTGCCCTAATTTTTTTTGTTTATTAACCGATTCACACAAACTTTTCCAATTTGAAATGAAAATCATCTCGATTAGACTCTAATTCGTCTGGTTTAGAGGTAGTAAAACGATTAAAAACACTCACACTTATTTAATAAAGTAATAAAAACAAATTCCATATGTCAAAAGCTTCTAGGAATTCGGAATATGGTCTGTTCATAGATATAAGAAAGTGGCCAATTGCTTTTGAACGGATTATCCAAGGGTGGTCATTAACATACAATGCAACAAGATTATTATTCTTAATTAAAGTAATTATTAATTAAGGTAATAATCTTGTTGCATTGTATGTTAATTACCACCCTTGGATAAAGCAATTGGTCACTTTCTTACATTAAAATAACAATACGGGGCCACCCCTTAAAGCCAGAGATAATCGAAGTGCAGGTAAGATCTGCGAACGGGCTAAGGTATTTATTGATTTTGGTATTCGTTACCGCTAGAGACTTGGCACCAAATCGTTTTTAATTTACCAAGGAAATATTCAATGTCGCGGACTACAAGACCCGTAACGGGCAAACCCACGCTCGGAACTAAATCCTTTTCTAGTCAATCGTCCGAGTCCATGCCGATAAACTCGGCTTGCATTCTCTCTTTGTATTTGCAGCAGATCGTCAAATAGAAAAATTTCAACGCTAGGCGAAACTGTGGGCTCAGGCTCACTAATATGATAGACTTCCAGAGCGAGTTGAGGAATCCCAACCACACTATGCCGAAGTGGAGGAACTGTATTTGAATTTTCACCCCCATCATGTATTCGCACAGTTTGACGCCGATGTAAGGCGTCCAGGAGCACCAAAATGTCACCACCAGTGTGAACGACATAATGTGGCTGGGATTTGACAGGTTCTCGGACAGTGCCGTTGCATATTCCTTGTCGTGAAAAGGAACGCCGCTTCTCAATTTTCTCAGCATGCTGAAGATATACGTGTAGGTGTAAATGATGGTGATCAAACTCGGACCTAGAATCAAGATGGATAACGTGATCGAGTACGCCGCCATACTCTCCCAATCTAGCATGCAGATGAAGGCGTCCTTGTCGAATGTCGGTTTGTTGAATCCTAACAGCGGCGGACAGCAAAGCATCGCTGACGATATCCACGTGAAAGCCATCCAGCATTGGCATCTGGTTTTAGTCTGTAGAGTTTCGTAGCGGAGAGGTTTTCGAGCAGCTAAATAACGATCGACGCTAATCCACATGAATGTATACACCGTCACGGCCCATAACGTAACTTCCAAGTATCCGACTAACCGGCAAGTTATATCTCCGTACACCCACTTTTTTACTATTGCTGAATATACTGAGAACGGAGCGACAACAAGACCGCATAACAAATCAGCCACCGCTAGAGATAGAAGGTAGCAGTTGATCACTTCGGAAGAACCTAAAGCGAAAATCAAGTTGTAGTAAAGTCACTGGTTAGGAGGAAGCTGGAAGCTTTTTAAAAAATCTTTCTCCAATTTACTGCACAAATATCAATATTAGTTTTTTAAAAGCTTATATTTAGCTGTGAATGGTTCCGTACCTTTAAAATTAAGATACGTCGCAACGGTCAGCACATTAGTAGTTATAATCGACAGAGCCATAATAAAAATGCTCCCCGCCTGGATCAAAGACTCCAGGGAGATCCCTACTTCAACCCCATTTGCTGAATCGTTAAACGTTGTCATGGTGGATGGTCCTCTGGCTGGCTTCATCATCGGTTTTTTGCGAGAAAACGATCGATTATCCTTCAATGCAGTTGGTGGCTGGATTGAAGGATCTGCAAATATGGAAGAAATCAAGAAACATTTATGGTATGCTGTTGATTAAAAGAAAACAAATTAGTTGGAAAAAGATGGTAGTTAAGAAAATGATAATTTTATTTAATTACGTTCCAACTAGGCTGATGATTTTTATGAATGTGGCACGTTTATTTATATTGTTTTTATAAAGCAATTTATTATTCGTTCGTATGCGTTTTTAATTAAAAAATGAAAAGGTTTAAAATGGAATCAATTTAACAAAATTATTCTACAGGCTACTGCGTAGTTATGCAGCGTGCAGTAGACTGCTAACTGAAAATTCAGTCAATAAATAAGAATTGCGGAATTTCTTGTTTTTTTTTTTCTTTCAGTGATAAATGGCGTTTTTTTCTAGAACTGCTCCGATTGCGACATTGGGACAACAACTGTCCAAAAGTAACCAAAACTAACAAGCAAGTTCTGAGAACTCTGCTGCCAGGCAATATCCGAGTGTATTATTTAAAACAATCGTTTAGGCAGTTTAGGGGTATGTTAGGGGTAGCTAATAGTTTCAAAGAAAATCGGCGATTTCGTTAAGGCATATTTTTGGAAATTCCCGTTATATACGTAATTTTCGTGTCATTTAGTACCCTCCCATTGGTACCGTGCCTAGTGGCAATATTTAATTGCCCGAACCCAAGAGTTGGTGCTTTATTTTACGAAAGCAATCTTACATTTTTATTTGAATTAGTGTCCCTTTGCGATTTATTCGAGTTTTGAATCATTACATACCGTCAGTGCTACCGTTTTGGATAGTTTCTTGTAACTTTACCTGCCTCGTCGAGAAGTTTGCAACAATTACAGAGTATCTTCGGATCATGTTGTTGCATCATGTTGAGAAAAGAAGTAATGCCATGTGTTAACTTAACATCGACTGTATAATAATGCATTATAGATTTTGTTTTTCACTCTCTTTTACTTGTACATCATCGTCAAATACTACAAAAAGCTTTGATTGTATTTAAAGCCATCGCTTTTTAATTTTGGTGTACCATCAATTAATCGACTCGATTGACCTCTCACATCTGGCGATTTATTGAATGGAACTGATGTGACAGTACTAAAACACAAGCCCCTTAGGCCTCGACATCATTTAATCATTTAAACAAAATTAGTTTTAATTATTAGCACAAGCGTTAGTGTTGATTTCATTCATTAATTTCGTCTAGTATTTAGTCTATCCGAAGCCAGGAGATGGCACCACATTTGAAGATTAAGAGGGTTCATTCAAATCGTGAATCTAACAGATTAGCAAAATCCATTTAATTTGTCCATTGTCAAAATCAGATATATCCAAATATGTTTTAAAAATTGAACTGAGGAGGCTTTTACTTGATGAAAATCCATTTATCAAAATAAATAAGAACTAAAAGTTCAGATTTTCACGAAATTATATATTTATGAGGTTAGTTAGTTAGTCTATTACTTTCAAATGACTGACAAATAAAAGGGAGAAAAAAACATTTTTCCATTATTTGTATGTTACATATTTGTCTTCCTCTTTTCTCTTTATTGTTTCTTTTTTCAGGAAAATACGAGCTTCTTCGGCGATGGAAGCTAATTTTTGATTTGCACACTATTTTATTTTTATTGAGAATATTATATGTATGGGAACCATTGCACCTGAACAGAATTTATTTTCCATTTTAGTCCACAATCGATACTGAACATCTTAATTGGTCGACCGACTTCCATTATATAAAATAAATCGAACTCCAACCCTTATCCGTGCCAGGATTCTCTGTGAAGTGTTTTGTCACTGTGCCAATAACTTTAGCGACGGGCTCAAACTACTTCTAACATTCGGTGTTTTCACAATGTTTTTTTGATATCCGCTTCGAATATCAGAGAAGTCTAGAAAACAACTCCAATATTCAAAACAAAGTAAAATGCCACGTACATAAGTAAAACAATTATCAAACACATTGCGGACCCGGTTTTTCGAAACTAACTCACAAACAGTTCGTAGGAAAACTTACAACCTATCATATACATCAAAGTTTGAAGAAAAGAAAATAGTTTTGTATCATAATTTTTATCAAATTTCTTAACGATATATTCTTTACTCCGTACTTTAAGACACCAGCTTCTTTACTTCGAAAATCCGTACTAGGTTTTGACAGAATTTTTTAAAAAAAGAGGCAGTTTGCCACTGGTTCTTTTAAACATTCTTTTTCTCGAAATTTGGAGTAAATTTCATATCTGTTTTTTTTTTCGAACCGACGGGCGCTGTCGTCGCCATAAAAAATAAAAAACGTTTTCATTATAAAATGGTTAAAGTCTGTATGTAAAATTTGACTATTTCTTATTACAATCGCAGGAAACCGCCTTTTCGACAATTCAAACTCGATATAGCCAAAATATTAGCATTATTAAGTTTGATAAACGCCATTTTAGTCACGAGTTTGATTCGACGAGCGGAGCGCAGTGGCTCGAGTATTTAATAAACGACTGACTAAAGAAGTTTATCAAAGTGCGAAAAATTAACTGGTGTTTATTAAACTTGTTGATTAAAATACTATAAAGTTTTAATAAAAACAGGCTAACGAGTTTTCCAGAAGAAATCAACATATTTCTTAATTATCAACACTCTCTTTATTGCATCAGCTTTAAAACAGTGGTACTAGAAAATAGTAATTTCCCCCAATAAAGATAAGTGAATCAGAGCTTTATTTATTTTTAATTAAACCACCCCACGGATTGTTTGTCAACAGCAACCATACTCTCAACATACGCAGACGACATTCAATAGTCAGAGTCGAAAATTGTTAGCTGTATAATAAAAACTTGTAACTAGAACTAGAAAATTTACTTCCGTTATGATCACTGATCAAAGAAAATTTTCTTCTTAACTAAAAGGACTAAATAGAACTCATAATTTTTATCTCCATGTCAGCTATTATTTATTTATTTCCTCAACAAAATTCTCCGTCGTATTACTAATTCATTATTTCATGGCGTTACCAAATTTCGGCATAACTCGCACCAGGCCCCCCGAAACGTTTAATTGGTGTTTGACACGTACAGGGCGGTCGTTTAAAAGAAAGATCTTTGTTTTATTAATTACGAGAGTTTGTTTATCTACGCGGGAATTTCTTTTGAATCGATAATGTTAGCAGGTATATTAAATCCGTCAACTTTTAACAATTTTCGTCGACGCTAGAAGTTAGCAAACAACCTTCATTATTTCTACGATGATGATGTTTAAAGATGTGCTCGGGATGACTGAAAACTACTATGCTTATGCGTCAGTTTACCTGATCAAATCCCGCGAGTTATAGCGTCCCATACTGAAGGTTGTCGTGGGTGCAAAACAAAAAGGTGGCTTTATTTAAGGTATCGTGGCACATTTTCAATGATAACCATTGATGAGATTCGTCCCGTGGGGAGCGGTCTCAATTGTTCGATATCCCGGTCGAGCTGGACTGGTGTCGATCGGTCCGACGTTGAATTCCGTCGGGAAGGCGCATGCGCTCTCGATAACCATTCACGCCAGGCTAAAGAAAAATGCACAGTTATGATGTTATTATCAGCGATGCGGTTACCCAAACTAAGAACTTTTAGGGAAGTTATGCTCGAAAGAAAAATGTAGATCATTGCATAATATGGTAGAAGTATAAATACTATTAAAATGGGCTCTGCGGGTAGTTATTAAAATTAAATTGAGTAAACAGATATTTATTTGAAAGCATAGCAGTGATATTAAATTTGGTTTTTGATTTTTTATATATCTTTATAGAATAATGATTTTTGTCGTTTTAGTTTTGGTAACAATCGGAACATATTTGTGATAAGATGTTCTCGTATTATATGTATGAATTTCATTTACATAAGCTACATATCTAGGTATCATATTATGTAACATTTTGTATATAAATAAAATATCCTTTTTATTAATACTCATAAAATTTAAACTACTTAACATGTCCCTAATCCTAGCATATCTAGTAACTTTTAATATAAATCTCATTGCTCGATTTTGCTGCTTTTAGAGCAAATCTTTCACTAGAAATCGGGTATGGTCTGTTCATAGATATAGATATAAGAAAGTGACCAATTGCTTTTGGTGGTCATTAACATACAATGCAACAAGATTATTACCTAAAGTTTCGGAATTTAAATTCAGGTAAAATTGTGGTCCGTAATAGAAAATAATTTTATACCTACCTGTGTTTAATATTCTTTGGTTTGGTATACTACTTAGTTTAAGTTTATTAGTAATCATTCTTATTTCGTGTGTAATACAGCGTGTGTTGAATCGTGTGCGAATTATGCAAAATATGTGCGAGTCTAGTGTATCTCCGGAGATGCTCCCGCCCAAATGTAGAAAACATTATTCTATGGAGACTAAGGAAGTTATAAACAATGTTTATTTGACTCTCGTTGAACGTGTTGCCAGCAAGCAAGCATCTTTAGAAGAAACGGCTACATTGACGAAAATTCCAACATCAACTGTATGGAAAATTGTGAATAATCCTATTTCAGCGAGGAAAAAAAGAAGCGATGCTGATATTTTCTCGAGTGTAGATGAAAGTGATCAAGATATAATACGGCGTAAAATTTTCCAGTTATACGAGGAACAAAGCGTGCCTACATTAGATATCTTAATTTGGAGGCTTGAAAAAGATGAAACTAGTGTTAAATGTGGCAGAACTACTTTATGCAAGTGTATTCAACACATAGGTTTTAGATTTAAAAAAGGCAAGTTTTAATGGAATCTTTTAGAATTCGGAAATGGCGACTGGAATATCTAGAAAAAATTAGGATTTACAAAGAACAACAAAGGCCAATTATTTACCTGGATGAAACCTGGTTCGACACTTATAATACCCCGGAAAAATGCTGGTTTGACTCAACTGATAAGTGTAAAACAAACGCGCCATCAAAAAGAGGTAAAAGAATAACTATGTTGCGTGCTGGCTCTAAAGATGGTTGGATTCCAAATGGACTTTCTCTTTCTGCGAAAAATATTAAAGATTGTTCTCTGGATTACCATGAAGACACCACCGCTGATTGATTTGAAAGTTGGTTTAAAAACAAACTAGTTCCAAACATTCCTCCTAATAGCGTAATTGTAATGGACAATGCAAGTTATCGCAGCAGACAGTTGACTAAAACCCCTTCCTCATGTGAAACAAAAGCGACAATCCAAAACTACATGTATAATAACGATATTTATTTTCACGAAGATTATACCAAAAAACAATTAATTGAGGTTCTACAAAGCTTGAACCTACAAATAATTATGCAAAAAATCTTGGGCATACAGTTTACCTTACCACAGTATATTTAATCCCCTTGAACATGTTTGGCACCAACTGAAATCTGCCATTCGTCGAAACAATGTTTTTCCCAGTGTTAACTCCAATGTCCTCAAACTGATAGAAACCGAAGTTTTTAACATCGCTCCACAAAGTTGGCAAATTCTGTTAAACATAGAAAAAGCAGAACAATCGTATATCCATATTGCAAATAATATAGAATAATTTTAAGTAATTTAAGTAGGTAATAAAAAAAATTTGAAATTTTATTTTAGATTTAAACATAAATACATACACAAATAAATAAATATTGTTTAGTATCTTTCCTAACAAAACCCCAAATAATTCAATTCTAAGCAAAGTACGGACCTGTTCGGCCATATTTCATTCTTACAGCATGCCCGGGTCTTCCCTTAATTCGTATCAGTTTCTTATATCTATGAACAGACTTTACCTATTCGCTTCAACTACACTATCAATAACAGTATGAAAGAAGTCACAGAACTTTTCTATGGTTAGGCTTGGTTAACAGACAAATAAAGTTTTTCGACAATGTCCGCGCTTATCTCGGCATGTATTATGCATAGGTACACGGTAAAGTAAATTTTGTTTCTGTCATTTGGTGACCTAGATATAACGTTTAATGTTTCAGAGTTTACAGAGTTTTGCCTCGCTTACAAAGAAAGTTTGAGCTTTATAACCCAAGATTTAAATGACGTAAGAGTGCATTATAAGATCTTAATGCATCGGAGAGTGGTAACAGATATTCTTTTTTTGTGGGCTGCTATGGAAGCATTGATGTTAGCATTCATTCATTCATTATTCTCTTATCAATAATCCCCTAGACGAAAGAAGGAATTTATGGTCGGCAGTCATCTAATTTATCATCTTTCTAGTTTCGATTTTAATTTTTCTTTTTTAACGCCATTGTTATTTTTTATTCGCCTTCTCTAATTATAGGATTTACCTTGGCTTTCGTTTTGCTGCTTTAAAGTATTTTTATGTTCTTATATTCGTATTGCAGTAATACAGAACCGTTTATACTTAATTGTTGTCAAATCGCTGCCTATATTGCAAAGTGTCCAATAAAAAAAAGTTTTGGTTAGTTTTCGTCAATGACAAATATTAACCTGTGTATAAAAGTGAATAGTCTGAAGGGCTATACAAATTTTTTGCATCGCAATATGACAGAGCATACTAGGCAATCGATTTTATTTTCAGATTATAGAACGATGACTTGGCTTTTATCAAGTACGTGAAGTAAGGAAAACGCTTCTAGTATCTCGACTGCTACGAAACATACGTGCCGTCAAATTACCTTTTGCTGGTTAAACTTCATATTTTTTTTGATATTTTTAAATGTTAAACACAATCAACTAGAAGTATTCAAATTTTCATTTAAAAAGTACAATAGGCACAATGGGTTCCAACTTGAGTTATAGGTTATATTCCCATATGACAAGTGATTTGCTGACGTCCTCCCTTGATCCTATATTCTTTGTCGTAAACATTAATTCCTATAATACAAGCTTTAATAAAATAGAACGCAACGCGTGTGGTCCAGATCGATTCTGAAAATACAAATTTGATCCACCAGGTATCATCTTCTCAACCCATACCTTGACATTACAAGATATACATATATGTTAGTAAAAGAAAATTTTATACATTTAGTTTCTGTCAAATATTACTGATATTACACGAACTAGCAAAAATAGTATATTATGCAACAAGTGCGGTAAACGGCATTTGACTCACGAGTTTATTTGACACGAGCGGAGCGACAACACTGACATGACCGTCAGAATTGACAAACGTCAAAATTCAAAGCGTGGGAAATATCCGGTGGCTCGGATTCATGGGAAACGAAACTGACGTGGTAAAGTGACGCTTCCCGCATGCTAGATCGGTGGGTAATTAGGGATTGTACAGAGGGGAGTAGGAAAAAGAATTTGTTTTTTGTTTGTTTACGCAAGTTTACGCAAAAGGTGTTTTCAATTTCATAATTTCCCATGTTTGGACAAACAAAAAACAAAGCATAGAAAACACAAAATAAATATGCTGTTTTCTAAGTAACAATTCATCGTCTGGTCCTCGACAACAGTGCTTTCTCGAAAATATTTTAGCTGGATTAAGTGGAAACGTTGCTTTACATTTGCAGCATGATGCTCCTGATTATTTCGGCGGTCAGTTAGAGCATCACCTTTTGTGCGATTTGATGAGCCAAATTTCCGAATATTTTACGAGAACATTAATCATAACTTTATGGTCACAAACATCTTGTCAAAATAAATGAGTCATATTCATTTGTCTGTTTGTAATCTTATCGTTCTTAACAATTCAAAAATTATAGGAAATAACCTCTCAAAAATTAAAAGCTGCCGGCATTAAATAATATTGGCGATGATGGATTTGTGCTAAGTTATATAAACATCAGATCACTCTTTTCCTTAAATTATTTTTGGTTACTATTTTTGATTTATTAATAGTTAAAATACAAATAATTTTATCATCAACGAGTTTATCATACACTGCCGGGCTTAGCTCGCACGTCATATGGTTCCTTCCTGAGGGTTCTTTCGTTTTTGTGACAGCAACCTTGCTGGTAGAAATAAGAATCTAAGGCCTTTTGTGCTCGAAATTTTATCGGACTGGCGCAGCTTATAACAACATCAATTTCAGTCTACCCTAAGATGATTTATAACATGCTCCATGAAACTCTCTTATCTAAGCCGCTGGCTGGGGAAAGCTGGATCTCACACAGCCTACAAATGGTGTTCCACATTGCACCATTGCGTTATTTCTGGTAGAATACTTGTTTGTTGTATGCTGTTGTCTATCGGTAAAAATAGATACTAGAGAGTTTTTTGTGGGAACACTTAAAAAACAAAACACGGTATATCAATTATAAACAAGTGGATCGTATGGCTACTTTTTCTAATTGCATATCCAAAATTAGGTCTATTCATAAGAAAACCTAAAGGTAAGTTAACCTGTCAAATTAATCTTCAAAACTACTTACGAGATAACTGCGATCAAACTGAAACTAACCAAACTAAAAGTTTGCACCCCAATTGTTTCTTAAAAGTACTATTTATCTATTATTTTTGTAACGAAATGTTTTGCAAAGCTGTGATTAAGGTTTTACTGATACAGATTTTTTTTTTTATTTTATCAATCAAAATCTTATAGCCCAAGTTTTTCTAAAAATTACCAAATAACATTGATAATGTATCGATAATGGTGTACGTTATTTTAGTTAGGTATAAGCAAACAACCACATTTTTTTTTCTACTCCCGTTTATAAAATACTTAATTACACACCGATGTAGCGTGCGGGAAGCGTCACTTTAACACGTCAGTTTCGTTTCCCACGGATCCGAGCCTCTTCGGACATTTCCGGGATATTACCGCACGGGTTTGAGAGCAATCGGATGTTTTCGGAGATATTTTCCACGCCTTGAATTTTGACGTTTGTCAATTCTGACGGTCATCTTAGTGAATGTATTCCTGTTGTTTTGCGGAAATGTACACAAAAACTGACGGTCGTAGAAAAAGTATAGTAGGCAACACGTTCGGTATACTTTTTAAGTCACGAGTTTATTTGACACGAGCGGAGCGACTGTTTAATTAACGAGTGACTTAAAGAGTTTACCGAACGTGTGGCATACTATAGTTTTTCTACGACAGTTAATTTTTGGGTATATTTTCGCAAAACAACACGAATACATTCACTGAGTTGACCGTCAGAATTGACAAACGTCAAAATCCAAGGCGTGGGTAATATCTCCGAAAACATCCGATTGCTCCCAAACACGGGCAGTAAAATCCCAGAAATGCCCGAAGTGATTCGGATCCGTGGGAAACGAAACTGACGTGCTAAAGTGACGCTTCCCGCAGGCTAGCTAGATCGGTGTGTAATTAGGTATTTCGCAGACGGGAGTAGAAAAACATAAAGACAAACTATAAACCTGAGACTACAATATTGTTTTGTATAAAAAAATGTGTTCCACTTGAAAAACTTTTTTCTATATTTTTCGTAAGTAACCGTAGCCATGGTCGACTTGAAGCCGGTTTTTTATAAAATTTAATTACTTTCAAACTTGCGTCTGTTAAATTTGTTTGATAGCAATAATCAACAGCAAAGACGATAAAATAAAATTACATAACGTAACATTCCGATATAGGCAATAAAATATTAACAATTTAACCCCATTTATATGCGCGGTCCTTTATTATTATACAACTTATTACATAAATGTTCTCCCTCGTGTTACTTCCTTTGGTTTTATAGCCGTTACTTCATAGGCCAAGTTCCTGTTTGCACTTTCTCTCACAAAAATAACACCGGCGACAATGCTGTTAGTGATCAGGAGAACACTTTCACCTGATGTAATATGCTTGATCTTCATTTTCGTCAATTCAGTGCATTTAGTCTCGCGTCAGTCAGTGTCTGTGGAATAGGGCTAGTTTTGTTAACTGCTTTTTCCAATTTTGACTAAAGTTACATTTGTGTTGAAAACTCGTTTTTTAGTTGTTATATCAATAGGCGTGGTGAGTTCCCTTTTTTACCTTTTTTTTGGTATAATGAAGAATAGTAATACTCTTTCTTTTCTTGGTCTTAGATAAGTTAATATTCGGAATTCAGCAAACCTAGTTTTGCAATATAGGTTTATCGGCATTCGTTTTCAAACAAACGCGAAATCATTTTATCGCATAAGCATTGTGCCGTTTTAGCTTAGAAGTATATGATATTAAAAGTAGCTCTATAAAAGCACATTTAAAAGGATTCACTTAATCAAGCCAAAATTAAAGTCCGAGTTTCTGACTAAACGACAGCTTGAATCGAAGTACTTGAGGAAATAGATACATGAATAATATTTTTAGATTGATTTTCCATGGTCAGCGCAAAACTTTTTCGTCGATATATCGATCGTCGGCTATTAGTTTGGTACAACGTTTATTTTAAATAATTCAGCAGATAAAAAACTTTTTTATTTTCCAGCGTAACGTCGTCATATAATTTTTCAATTGTTTGTGAATAGCGACTGAGATTGGAATACAAAATGAACAATCAATTGGAAGATATGGAACATAATCAAGTGACCACTGTCAAGAATCGGATAATATATATTTTTTCTTTGTATTCCTATACAGAATAAAAACAATGCTCCAAAAAAATATATATATTTTGATTTTCAAATTTTTAATTTAAATAATTTTAATTAATTTAATTTTTTAATCTGTGACCTGATTTGGAATTAGGTTATATAAAGCTTAGATTTTTAAGCGTTCAGTATATTTAAACTTCCGAGCTCGAACCACCAGAACCACACTTCGCAGATTTTCTTTCCAAACCTTTATATTTGTTGAAAACGAGTGAGATTTAGTAATTTTAATTTATTTATAAGACCTTATGACAGATATTAAAATAGAAACTCCAAGGAATTTTTCGTGACCTTCATATAAGTTTGGAAATATAAATATGATTATTTTAATTTCAGTTTAGCATTTAGTATAATATTTATAGTATTAATTTGGTTCTAATTCTACAATTTATATACCCAGGATCCGCGAAAATATGGGAGGTGAGAGGTTCTTATACTTTTTTCCCTTCTACGGGCGCCGCTTATTTTTTGTAGTATTGATAAGAATGAACTATTAACCCACTTTAGCTGGCCACAATAAAATATATTTTGCTCAATTTGCCCTACTGTGTTATTAAATTTAAATTTTTTCTAAAATATTTTGTTAAAAATTAAAAATGAAATTAATTAAATTAATTAATTAAAGTTAAAGGCTGGAGCTAATTAAAACTAACCAAAATTGTTTTTTACACAGTTTTAAAAAATTACGCGTTCAGATGTACAAATTAGTCCACCCCTGGTAAACTAACCAAGCTAAATAAGTTTCCAAGATACCATTTTAAAAGGTGGCCATAATATTGCATTTTTTATGCAATTATGTCAAATACTTTAAAATCTGTTCAAGAATTTCCGGGGCTCATATCTCTGTGGCGATGGCCTAGAGGGAAAAAAAAGAAATTTCAATATTATTTTTTATCAGAAATTTCCCACATGTATATTTCTTGGTTTGTTTTGTGTTTACGATAAATAATATCAATATTATTAATATAGGGTTAACATTTTATTCATTCTTTTTCGTGGATTGAATCTTGATTGAATGTCGAACGCATTGAATGCTACCCAAGGCCTAATAATCAAACTAGAGTTGAAAATTAAAAAAAAACCTGCCTGCTAATCAACCGGAACTGTGACGGAGTCCCTTGCCCCTTAAGAATATGGAAAAGAAATTTACCTTCTGCATGGTAGGGGTTTTTATTTTGTAGGGCAGAAAATGATTTTATTTTGGAAATGCCAGTCACCGTGGTGTCAGCGGGCGCGCAGGTTGTTTTGTGCATTCAGTGTTAATTTGGAAAATTCAAATATGATGATTCTAATAAATGTAGTTCTGGTTTGCACCGAATTACTACTTAGTAAGCTGCATGTTACCAACTTATATGATTTGGGTGGTTTAAAGGGTGACTAAATGACTCCTTTGAGTAATTTGATTTTATGCAAGAAAAATCTGCATTTGTGTATCAAAATTTAATTTCGTCAAATGTTTTACTACCCGCGTTCAAGTTGGTATTACTTTTTGATATTTAAATATCGCGTTTTGTTCGAAATTTTATAATCTTGCTTATGATATGATACTTGAATGGTGTACTAAGAGAAGGTTTTTATAAGAACATTCCAAAATATAATTTGCAGCAGCAAAATGTCTTATTTATATAGGCCCCAACCAAGAGCTCTTCTGCGGTGGCAAAATTCACTTTGCTAAGTTACTTTGCTGCAGTAGCAAAGATACTTTACTGTTGTAGCAAAGTTATTTTATTTGGAATAGCAAAGATTTCTACCTGCAACTACATCGCTTTTGGCTATTCTACAATTTCTTTTTATCTTTTTCGTGAAATTTTCACTGATCGAGTAAAATGGTATTGGTAATACTCTCATTCTTTTTCTTGTTGTATTAATGAAATTTTCCAAAAATCCTCTTTAATACCTATAAAACTATTTAATTATTCATATCGTAAACTTTGACCTAAATATCAGATAAAATGGAGCACTCAAAATAGTAAATTGTATATGGGAACTTACATAAATGATTCATTTAGCCATTAACAGTATACATTTTGCTTATACAGTCCCTAGTACTTTAAATTTCATGTTAGGGTAGTCTTGAGTTTTCTGGACTAATGCGAATAATAAGCTATAATTAATAAATTAACATTATCGACTTATTTTAATGAATTAAACATGATATAAATAACAAAACTATGGTATAACTTCAAAGACTATTAACGACTGCAGGGAAACAAATCTGTAAATCTTCTTAATTCGTTCTTTATTTATTTATTTTTTTCCCTTTTCAGCTCTTGCTAGATGCTTTAGTACTTTTGATAAAAACCGTTAAAAGCCACTTTTTTGATGTATATAAGAACAGTTGCAGTGTAAATAGAATAATTGTCAGTCTTAGCCAAGAATTTTTTTAAATATATTTCTCAGTATACGTACTTTAAGTGTTATTGCGCTGTGAACTCCTTTTATGCTATAGGCAAAATGTGGGTAGCACTGGCAGTACTTTTCGTTGCAATACTGGCGGTTCTGGCATACCTCGATACCAGAAAACCCAAAGGATTTCCTCCCGGACCTCGTTGGTATCCTTTGGTCGGCAGCGCTCCTCAGGTGAAAAAGGCTCGAATAAGGACGGGATCTCTGTACGAGGCTACAGCCGAAATGAGCAAAGAATATGGTGCAGTAATTGGACTTAAAGTAAGTATAATATTGTGTTACGTGTGTTAATTCACTATGAACCTAATTAAGATATTTTAAAATATAGATTACTTAGCTGAAATATCCGATAACCACTTAAATTCATCAAAGTTTTGCTGATTGTAATCGCGTCCTTAAAGTGTAGACACTTCACATTAATTTTTATTGTAATACAAAATTGATAACAATTTTCAATTCATTAATAATTATAAGTATATAATAAATTAAAATAATTTGCAATTCAAGGTGGGAAAAGACCCCCTCGTTGTGGTTTACGGGCCCCAACAGATAAAAGAATTCGGGATGTCCGAGGATCTGATTGGAAGACCGTACGGATCATACTTCAAACTGCGGACTTGGGGCAAAAGACGAGGTGAGATTTTATTTTTAGCGACTTTCAGCGGTTATCATTTATTGTGCTCGCCGCACATTTTCAGATCATATACGCGCGGCACGTTATTTTCTTTAGGGTGATTTTCGCAGGAATACTTTTGACGGACGAGGCTTTCTGGCAGGAGCAGAAAAGGTTCCTGTTGCGGCAACTTAGGGAGTTTGGTTTCGGCACCAAAACAATGTCGTCCCTTATTGAGGACGAGGTGGAACATTTTGTGGACTACGTTGGAAAATGCATTACCAAAAGTGGTGAGACACAATTTTACTTCCTAGGGTAAGAAGTTGTGGAAAATAACCACCAGGCACAATAGATCCAGACTATATTATTTTGAATTTATTTTGAAACACCAAAAAGTTTTATAGTGTAGGAAGGGAAATGACACTGTTGACTTGCAAAATTATTGTACCAAATGTGCTATAATCTAATAATAATAATAATAATACAATAATAATAATAAACTTTATTGTTTTGGCCATATTAAAATATACCAACCAAATAATTAGAATAAAAAAGCAACAAAATAAGATACTGATAAACTTTTAGAACTGATTGGACAATTTCAAAATGAACTATGCGTTTTCATGTACAGACAAAGAGTCCTTAAAGTATCAAAATAACTTGTTACGCCAACATAAATACATATCCAAAATAATCTTTTCAATTATTTGAGCAAATTATTAAGAGCTTTTTCATTAACTAGGTTCAGAAATCACTGTCAACATGGAATCATTCTTCAGCATAAGTATTCTGAACACCTTGTGGAAAATGATGGCCGGTATCCGGTATTCTCACGAAGATGAAAACTTGAAGAGGCTGCAGGAAATTTTATCAACGCTCTTTCAAACGATCCACATGGTAGGAGCTGCGTTCAGGTTCGTCTGTGGCTTACGCGGCTTTGGGAAAATTCCCAGACATTGATTTCGTTGCAGCCACTTCCCGATTCTCAAGCATATTGCTCCCGAATTGTCCGGCTATAAATGCTACGTAGACACGCACGAGCGCATCTGGGAATTCCTACACGACGAAATTCAACAGCATAAGAAAACTCACAGTCCCGGCGACCCAAGAGATCTGATGGACATCTATTTGGATATGTTGAATCAGCCCGCATGTCCTGACTCATTTTCCGAAGAGCAGTTGCTGGCCATTTGTATGGACATGTTCATGGCAGGCTCGGAAACTACCAATAATACACTTAGTTTTTGCTTCTTATATCTGATACTTAATCCGGATATACAAAGCAAAGCCAGGGAAGAGATCGACAGCGTTCTGGGCGATCGAATGCCTAGTTTGGAAGACAGATCAAAGTAAATTTAACTTGCCCTTATTTGTTGATTTCGTATGATATGATCTATCTGTTTCGTTTGTTGGGTAGAAAATGTTGATACCGGATTTTATTTGTAGAATTCCCTTACAGTTAAGCACAGGATTAGGGAAATAATTAATACATGTAATTAAAAAGTATTTATTCTTATCCCAAATAAGAATAAATACTGGGTTTACAACTACGGCCAATATCAGAAGTTTCGCTAAACAATTGTTTCCAAGGTGTTATCATCTGCCAAAATGGGATTCATAACATCACATTTTTTGATTTATAATAATTAAATTTCTGTTGATTTTTAAACTGATCCTTACATTTCAACTTCAACTTTTTTATTGTTCTAAAAATCAACAGACTTATAACAATGAAGGCCGTTTAAGCGTAAAGTCATATAAATATATTAAAATAATAATAATAATTTTAATTATTAATTTTATTAATTATTATTAATTTTTATTTTATTTAAATTTAAAAATGTGAAAAAAAAGAAAAACAAAACAAAATAGATGGAACCAAGAGAAAAAAAAAACATTTTCGATAAATACGTGGATAAGTTTTCTTTTTGGTTTGTAATTGACAATTTTTTCTCTGTAAAGTCAAATACAAAACACAAAATCAAATAAATATTTTCAACACCATGACGCTTTAAACTTTAAAAGAACCAACTTAAATTTGGAATTATCTTGCAATGTGATGTTGAGGTCAATCTTGTGATATTATTACTGTTTGCTATACTGTAGTTTCACGATTTATTTATTCCTATTTAACTTTTCTAAGACCAAAACGAGAAAAACTTGTTTAGTGGGTACGAAAGGAAGTAATATTAGTCCACAAGAGCAAAATATTAAAATAAATCTCTTTAATCATATTAAAAACGCAAATATGGATTTAAACTCATTATGTTCGTCGAACAAGTTATTAGAAGGGAACACCAACGTGGTTTAAGTCGCTTGAATATTAAACTAAATTAAATTTTTTCCAGAATGCCGTATATGGAGTGCATCGTTTTGGAGTCGCTACGTATGTTTGCTGCGAGAGCATTTTCGGTGCCACATAGGGCCGTTAAAGATACTTACCTCGGGGGTTATTTCATTCCCAAAGTAAGTGAACCACAACACAATTATTTACTGCAAAATGGCAATATGCAAGTCCATATAGCTATTAGATAATATAGTGACTCTGAGAATGGGAATTATATTTTCGTAGAGAAGAGAATGATCTTTCGCACATGCCTCTAAATTTTAAACACTATTCTTCTCTTCGTGCGATTTTCTTTCTAACCAGCAATGTACACTTACCTCGTTTTTCCCGAATATTTAACGAGACCTGGGCATATTTTCAGAAAATACGCAGTGAAGATGCTGAAAAGCTAAAAGCTATTCAACTGATGAACCGTCAGCCGCCATTTTAGTTGTTGGTTTTATTATTTCAAAACCGCGCAACATTTTACCTTTAATTCAACCAGTTTAATTGACAATGCAGATTATTAAATGGGTATATGAATCGATACATTATGTCAATAGAGGGGATGGTAATTAATAAGAATTTCAGTCGTCATTTGAGATGATCAGCTGTGTGTCCACTCTTTCAATGTTTGTCATTTGATGACACTATATTCCGGGATATCATCCGTTCGCTTGTTGAACTCCGACTGGAATCCTGCAGACGTTTCGCCAAAATCTCACTTGGCATCTTCAATGTTCGCGCTCCGAAAACACTTCGAACACTGGAATATAGTGTCATCACATCTTTCCATCCGTGAATCAATACGTGAAAAAAAAAAAAAAAAAAATATATATATATATATATATATATATATATATATATATATATATATATATATATATATATATATATATATATATATATATATATATATATATATATATATATATATATATATATATATATATATATATATATATATATATATATATATATATATATATATATATATATATATATATATATATATATATATATATATATTCTCACGTATTGATTCACGGATGGAAAAATGTGATGACACTATATTCCGGGATATCATCCGTTCGCTCGTTGAACTCCGACTGGAATCCTGCATCCGACTGGAATCCTGCAAATCTTGCATCCGACTGGAATCCTGCAGACGTTTCGCCAAAATCTCACTTGGCATCTTCAATGCTCGCGCTCCGAGTGTTCGAAGTGTTATATATATATATATATATATATATATATATATATATATATATATATATATATATATATATATATATATATATATATATATATATAATTAATTAAATCCTAGTAGAAAACTGATTTCTTTCAATATTGGGATTGCAACAATAAGCAATATTCGTTTAGTTTCTCTAGTGCTTTGAGCACAGCAGTTTGTTTTCAGAAATGATTTTAAAAGTTTATTCCTATGATATTTCCCTACAAATTAACAGGCATATCTTGAATCTTAATCTTAATATTCATTGTTGTGTCGTTGTTTAAATACACCGAATATTTTTCTCTCCAGTGTACTCTTTTTGTAATACCATCATCAGGAAGCTTGGAATGTACTAGCCTCCTATAGTAGTTTCTGTCGGAAGCAATTTTTGTAATAAAAAATATTTACACATGCAGTCGATAACGTAACGTTCCTGCTGCAATCGATTAGTATAAAGCTGGCATAAAAAATGACCTACCTAGTTATTAATTGAATTTTTTTGTGTCTGGCAACTGGTTTTTGAGCTTGATGTTGTTTGTAGGATGTTCTGGTAACTGCCAACTTGCACGGGTGTATGATGTCCGCCGAGGCTGGTTTTAAAAACCCGGACCAGTTTATACCAGAAAGATTTCTAAAAGATGGTGCCGTCTCTGTGCCGGAGAATTTCTATCCATTTGGACTTGGAAAGAGGCGGTAAGGGTAACCTACAATTCTAATTTTTCGCTTTGTGCGGGTCCAACGAGGTTGAAAAAAACAAAACACTTATTGTGTAGTCCAGCAATCATTCTTTATCTTCGCCGTTGGCATCGATAATTAACTCAGTCCACAAATTTTATGATCTTTAGATAAGATTTGTGAGGCCTTATATACTGCTGGACTATTTTCAAAAATGGAAATCTCATTTTATCCAATACCACAGATTTTTTTAAAGTTTTTTTTTTTAATTTCATGTTTTTCTTTATACAGAAAGTAAAGTGACTTTTTGCAGGAGTGTTGATTTGAGTTTTTCAATTAACAAATGAAATCTAATTTTTACAGAAAACGTATGTCAAGTTTACAATAAATACGTCACACTAAATATCGATGTGTTGAAGTTTAAGAGGAAAATGAATTAAAATTACTGAATTAGTGACATATGTTCATATGAAATTTTTTACTTAAAATTGATCCAGTAATACGTCCTTAACCTTTAACACTCTGTAAGTACATACACAGTTTTGAGAAGAACTAATATATCAAAACATATTAAAACTTTTCAAAATTTATTTTTTGACGTAACAAATGGTTTGGTTTGGTTGTGTTTGGTTTGCCTTCTTGCATAATAAAATTATACAATATAAAAAATCTTTGCATAGAGATGGCGATAGCGGATAGAATGAACTTTCATATACAGTAACCTTTATTAAAAAATGTATGTATGAAGGGAAACGTAGCTACATCTGTTAACAAATTGTATCTTAAGTTTTGGTGCTTTAGTGCATAAGGATGTTTATAAGCATTCTTAAAAAATATAATATAACTGGTGAGCTTTTGCGCTTCAACTTAGGATACAATTTTTCAGTCAGATGAATTAACTTCGCTGTTTCCTTTCCTTTACCTAAATTCCGAGTAAGCATTAAACAAGTCTGAGTCAGTTTGTCATAGCATGACTTCACTTTATAATTTGCATTCGTACTGTTTATCTGAACTCGATAGCTTTCTATACCTAGGCCGAAGAGTTGTTTTATTAGGTGATAGGTACAATTGCTGACTATCAATAGTGCTTTACGAATCAATACAGATGAAATGAACAATTTTCACTTTGTCTCTGTGTAATCAAAAAAGTAACACGATTTATAATCCAAAATTGGTTCCAACGCTCTAGATATAACAAAGTGACCAATTGCTTTTCAACGGATTATCCAAGGGTGGTCATTAACATACAATGCAACAAGATTATTATTAATTAAGGTAATTATTAATTATTGATTATTAATTATTAATTAATAATAATAATCTTGTTGCATTGTATGTTAATGACCACCCTTGCATAATCCGTTTAAAAACAATTGGTCACTTTTTTATATCTATGAACAGACCATACCTGTCCGTATCGTGATTTGATCCTCTGCTTATCGTTCATGATGAAATAAAAAGTCTTTCGCATTCCATTTTTCCAGTTGCATGGGCGAATATCTAGCGAGGGCAAACATATTTCTCTTTGCTACCAGTCTTCTCCAGAAATTCGAGTTTCATGTGGTTCCAAGATTCCCTCCCGATATGAAAATTGTGGATGGAGTGACGCCAGCGCCTCTGCATTATCAGGCGACGATAGTTTTTCGACAAAATGATTGAAGCGTGCTTTTGTCGTCAGCTATCAGGGATTATTCACGCATTGACTGATTAACATCGCCAAATAATTATTATTGAACTTAGCGATAAAAATGTAGGCTAATCTTGCTAAAAAATATGTCTCGAATTTTTGTGGTAAACAATTGTTAATTTTAAACATAAAATACTATAATTCAAATAGTTTAAAATTTTATACTTTTATTTTGATAACCATTTAGAGTGTTCAGAAAACTACGGACAATTTACTTGCAAGAATACAAAGAAACTGATAGATTCTATAAAAGTTTATGCCCAAATATAATAAAACAATGTTCTCACCGGTAAATAAAATAATCGCGGTGGTTGCATAGACGTCCGCTGTAGTTAAGCTTCTTTTCGAAAAAAATATTGAAAATCGGAATTTTCCCAATTCCCAAATGACAGTTTTCTATCTTCACTTTTTCTTGATCATTGTAATTCGTAATAAAACACTACTTCCTGTTTGAGATGCTTTCGTGTACAACAGATATGAAGTACTAATTATAAGATTATCTTTATCTTTTTATAAAGACTCTAAAAATGTACAAAAATACGGAATATTTATATTTAAAATTTCAATGCTGGCACTAGCAGTAGTAATTTTATATATATTTTTATTGTAAAATTGGAAATAAAAGTGTTAGGAAGGAAATACTCAAATGAAAGAATTTGTTTTATTTATTTAATTTCTTAGTCCCTTTCTGATACGTTAATTTTGGTAGCTTCAGGGCATTATGCATCAAAATACTTTTGGTGATTTTAAAGTTAGATCCTCATACAAAAGGCAAATTGCACTTTTTTTTATTTGCTAGAAATGTTTATTAGTATATTTCAAACACATCTGTCAAATATTTTTGAAATACAGTAGCTCAGAATATATTTTTTTAAGTTTGAATTGACCCGGAGTCGAAAATCGACTAAATCGACTGTGACGTCACCATGCGCTATTGTCATGCGATCAAGGTTTAACGTATATAACATCCGTACCATAGAAGTCATCGATAAAAGAGTTTAGATTATCCTTCGATATTTAATTTTTTCATATTTTTCAAGAAAAATGATTATCAAGTAGTGTTCGGCAGGTCAATAAAAAAGAATTTATGATGTTTCGCATCAAATTTACAATTCATGCGAAGCCTTGTTCCATCGAACCCGCTGTGTTATGGTATTTTTCACAATCTAAGAAAGTGCCTTTACTACCTAGACCCATATAAAATTCGGTAAGTCCTAAAGGTCGTAAACTTAGGTCTAACTAATGGCAGTGTATTGGGAAGAATACCCGAACGTATTATCGTTTGGTATGAAAATATAACATAATATGATTTTTTTAGTATTGGAACAATTTTTCCAGTGTTTAAAGGACACATTTTTCACTTCCGTTTTTATCAGGTTATGAACACGCACATTAGACTTTACTTTATGTTATGTCAACTCGATCGCATTAAAAATAAAAAAAAACGACTTATCCATCTGAGAAATTATAACTTTTTACAATTGCTTAATACAACTTTCGTCTAAACGTTCACATAAAAAAAAATTATTTCAGTTTTTCTATTAGTGGAACCTTACTCACTTGGCGACCATGATCTATCACAATGCAGCTATTTGGTCATATATTCGGCACTAGTTTATTGTGAAACCAATCTTCAAAAATATTCGCTGCTTTATCGCAATGATAGTCAAGACTGGAATCCGAAATATATTTGGCTGCTAAAAACAGACATTCTGGTATCCACTGTTATTAGATGGAGCTTTCTTGATGATACACTCTTACCTACTCTGTAGATTATCGTTCCATCTAGATAGATTATCCTTCGGATTACCGATCTAGCTGTAATTATATTTTCAAGCCATTCTGTTCTGAATCTGTGTAGGCCCTGCCGAATTAAAATGGCGTGGGGTAAACCTCAAAAGAATTATGTTCTACAGAATAAAAGAATTCCATGAAGAATATAAAGGATTTTAGTAAAAATTTCAAGGAATTCCTGCGAATTATGGGGAAATTACTTTTTTACTCCTTGGAAAATCCCAAACGTTGTAGTGGAACAATTAAGTGTTCTTTTTTTTTTAGTGCTGTTCAAAATTTTTAAACTGTATTCTCAGGGCTACGCGTTAAGACTGACATCTCCTTCAATCTTTATCTTTTATTGCCTCCTTCCATTAGCTTTAGGAAGACACTTTTTGTCTTTTTAAAAGACACTAATGAAAATTTTAATAGTTCGACCCTGTTATTTCTGAAGTCATTAAATGTTTTTTATTGCACCTTATACAGAGGACAGGTTACTTTCTTAGATTGTGAAATGTACTATACCCATACAGGGACTACTAAGTAAATTTTAACAATATTGACTTCTACAGTAAAAGAATAGCGACAACGTCGCGTGCGCGTTTTATTCTCGGACACTGGCAAATGGTTCTTCTCTGTATTCATTCGACTTTAGTCGGACGACGGTTGCGTTTGGGAGTGGCATCGTTGCTGCCACTTCGTTCAATGCATCGCGCGTCGTTGTGTGCGACCCTTTTAATCGAATTTATCTTCATCTATGAATATATCGCGATACGAAACCGTATATTATCACTTCATCGAGGGAATTGCGGCACAACGATAACATTCGTTGGCCAGTTTTAAACTCGCATGTGACGCCGCGCGAGACATGTCCGTCGTGAATTTTACCTCGCTCCCGCTAAGGAAAAGGAATTGCATTTTATTGCTGGCGTTTTCGTTCTTTATTCCGTTTTGCGCATTCGTCTTGTTTTCCATGCCAGGTTGGTTATTTGACGGGTTGGGAAAAGATTGTTTTGGGTCTAGACCGACCGGGAGTAAGTATCCACATGTATCGCAGTGTTGCCCGATTGTCAGATTTTTAATCTTTGATATCGCGGTTCTAATATGTGAAACGTTACATTTTGATTGGACTTTTATTAATTTATTTTAAATTTGGTCAAAAACGTTAAATTCTAATGTTTACAAAATTTCTAACGCTCTCAACGGGATCATTTGCAGAAGAAAATCTGACTGAAACCTCTTCATCAGGACTAAAACATCTTTCGCTACTCCACAAGTCTTATAGCGATTATGCATATTCCTTACCGTGGCTACTGCATCTGCAAGTACAACAACTGCAACAACACAACAACAAAAATTCCAAATAACTTAACAAAAACTGGGCTTGTTGTTGAAGAAACGACTATTAATTGTTGGGTACATTTTTGCAAAACATCATTAATCATTCAATGAGGGAGGTGTGACGTCAAAAAATGTCAATAGCATAGTGGCAAAAATCCACCAAAAACGTTTCCAAATAATCGGAAACATCGGAAGTGGCTCCCCATAATTGTTAACGAAGCTGACTTTAAATTTATTAAACTTGAACTTACTTCAGATTAGCATATTTTACAATCATTTTTGGAGAACCTAAGTCATTTTAATTATTTTTTTTACACTACTTTGTCTTTCCATGACGTGCTAATGTGGTCCGTTGTTAAAACATTATTTTTCTGTTCGAAACTGAAGGTTCTCTTAAACATGTACGTAAAAACACGCGATTGATGGAAAATTTTTATTGATAACAGTTGATGTGCTGCATAAATACTGCAAAAGTTAAGCAGATTGAAACATGGTTTCTAAATAATAACATATTAATAGATAACCAAAAGAACTTAAATACTATTAAATATAACATAGAAACCAATTTGTGGCTAAATTAAAATATTTTACTTGACTCGGATTCTAATTTGATTTCACGTTGCTAGTATTTAATCGGAGAGTAATGAAGCCGGTTGTGCAATTTAGAATGGACCCTAGTAACAAAAAAAATAGATGGTGTTTACGAGAATCACCAGTGTAACTTGGAGGTGGGAATGTATAGTTAAATACAATGCCTAAAAGGTTTTTATTCTTTTAAGATTTCATTTCCTTTAATCAGGATTTTTAGGATTCGAGCGTATGTGTATCCAACTTACCTGCACCATTATTTAATTTTTTACGTATTTTGCGATTCGTAATATGAAACTTATAAACAATCAAGGAAAACCAACTTTTCGTTGCTTTGCAACTCGGATCGTGTCGTTTTGTATTTGATAACAGTGTGGATTTCTTTAAAAGTATACTTGAATAGTTTCTTTAAATACGTTTACTCCAGAGAAGTAGTAGTAGTAGTGTAGTAGTAGTAGTGTAGTATTAGTAGTAGTAGTAGTAGTAGTAGTAGTAGTAGTAGTAGTAGTAGTAGTAGTAGTAATAGTAGTAGTAGTGCTAGTGGAGCACGTCACGTTTTTTCAAAAATGAATGATCACTGCAACTACAAAAATCTAGAATCTATTAACTGCATTTTCCTGTGCTTACCAGAGTACGATTTACCAGGATCATCCTTTCTGATTTTTAGAAACTGTAAAATATCGGTTCAAAGTTTAAACTGCCAAAAACCGATCTATTGCATTCAAGTTTCTAAAAAAAAACAATTAAATATCTTCACAATTAGCGTTATCCCCGGCCTCATGTTATTAGTCAGACTTTTTGTTTCGGGCCCGGCGATTAGCGGTTGAAATTACGCCATCTGAGATTAGCACTTTGAAGATAACCATTTTATTAGCCTTATAATCTGTTGATAAATCTTACTCATGTCAATTCGTATTGCACGTGCCCACAAAAAATGATATTCCAATTGAACCTGATGTTCGAAAATATCGAACAGAATTCCACACAAATGAAAATGGTATTTTTAACAAAATTCTTAGAAAAAATATATTTATTTTCGAAATTTATATATAACGAACGATTGTATATGGTGAGAAATTTTGTATAAATCTGATTAACAATAAATTTGGGAATGGGAATTAATGTACTTTGTTACTAAAGTCTTGACAAACTTGCTCCGGGTCTAATGATCTGTATCTACCTCCTTAGCACTAATGCAATAAACACAATATCGACGAACATTGAATTTAACTAGAATTGTTGAAAAATGTCCTTGAATATAATATGTAGTTTAGTTATTTATACATCAAGTGATTTGTAAAAATAATTAGACCCGAAATAATTTACACGTACGAGGCTGTTCCAATCTGGTAAAGTATACGTCTTGATCGGATAAAGTTAAATAACGAAAAATCAAGGATGATCGCATAAGAACAATGTCTAAAATTCCTTTTAGATATGGGAAGAATACATTATTATATCGATGTTTATATTTACATTTTTTGTGTTAGAAAAAAACCGTAAGGGTAAAAAAATGTGACACCGATAGAATTAAATTTACCTCCCATTAACGACTCAAATAAATTTGGAGAAAAATGCCAACTCTGTATATGGGGAGATTATGTTCCTGCGTTTCATGCAATAATAATTTATTGACGATCATTTCCGTTATTACTTCACCTAGAAAGCAAACTTGGACAGCGATGCCAACTCGTAGATATTTAGTTGGAACTAGGGAATGAGATAACGTTTCCCGTAGTAGCAATCCTAAAATAATCATTTTCAGTTATTCGCGCATTTATTAATAAAAATATGCAGTACCATAACAGTCTTAAACAATGATAAATAAAACATAAAAAAAGTAAAGAGAGTTTGTTTAAATGTAACTAACCACTTAACACTAACGTCATACACAAATTAAAACCACTATAAAATTAACAAGACAAGGAGGGACACCCTCTGCCCAGTTTGTTTTTTGTATCCTCATTTAGAACTACGACTTTTAAGTGTAATTATTCCTCACTGGACTGATGCATGTGTGTTTAAAGTTGTAGTGTTCTATTTGCACCCCTATCAGAGTTTCCAGGTTTGTCCTAATCATGTCTCATAGCATGTCGGTGATGGTTTCCTTCTTTCTTCTGTCAATTTATTGTATATATCGATTAAAGTTTCACGGTGTCATACAAGCATTTCATGGGGGATCGTAACATGTACAGCCATATATACGCTTTTATGAAACATCTTGTACAATTGTGAATAGTTTTAAAATGTTTGTCTCTTGATTTTATGGAAAACTTATTAAAACAACTTTTCAAAATTGTCATGAAAAAGATAAGATAAGATATGATACGCTGCCAAAAATATATTATCTTTACTTACTTTACTCACTTATTCTATTTTGGTCTTCAAACCAATTTCATTAAGTTTTTTGACCACTGATGCCTTTTTCTACGTAATATAATAACAAGAGAATTTGTTATGGGAAAGACATTCAATTTAAAAAAATGCGCGTTATAACAAACCAGCGTTAACCGAGGCACCTAATAAGAGTACAAAATATTCTCGAGCAAAATGTTTAAATTGGTATGTAAAAAAATCTTTTTGGCAATTTTTTTAAACCAAAATGCTTGTAATTTTGTTACAAATTATGGATTAATTATAGAAGGTGCATGTAATACAATCACTTGTGGAACCAATTTAGCCATGATTTGTCAATAATTATCCAGTTCTGCTTTGACAATTTACCAAACAAAATCACAATTAATTACACGAAGCCGTAGATCTGACTTAAACCGGCTACACACGATCCGGCAGGCCTGTCAGTTCGAACTGCACAGTCCACCTGAAGACCAGTCGCCTGAACGTGTTCCAGTTCCGGTCGAATTGTCAGTTAAGACTTTTCAGTTCGACCGGAACATGTACACGAGTCGGCAGGCCTGTCAGTTCTAACTGAACAGTCCGCCTGAAGACCAGTCGTCTGGACGTGTTCCAGTTCCGGTCGAACTGTCAGTTAAGACTGTTCAGTTCAACCGGAACATATACACGATTCGGCAGGCCTGTTGGAAGGACTCTTCATTTCGAACTGCCTGATCGTATGTAGCGGCTTTAGTATCTGGTCGGTGCGCTGCAGCCTGTATATGTTTGCCGTCACCATATATTTTGGAGGGCTCCCCTTTTTGTCTTGCCGAAAAATAAAAACATCTAATGCTTTTACGAAAAGTTTAGGCGAATCTAAATCTGGCAACTTTTTGATGAAATATTATATGCCGTTTTACGAAAACCCCATCTGAGCCCAACGACAAATATGTAATTGTTTTCTAGATGTCGGCTCGGAACAGATGGTTATACAAAACTTAGCCGAGCTTCAAGTGAAATTTCAGTACCTCGATTCTATATATCGGGCCCGACAGGCGGACTTGCAGCAGTTCATTCATCAATGCGATTTGGATTTGGCTATGAACTACGGCGGTTCTAACCACACTATCACTAGCGTCACGTCGGACTTGAAGCCCGAAATACGGCAGCTTTTGAAGAACATGTCCGGTATGAACGCTGCGCAGGGACTGAATCAGACCAGCTCCATAAAGTTACCTAGTTCGTATGATTTCATGCCGCATCTGTTGGACCATTCTTCCAGTCTCAGGTTATTGCTAATTGCTTTTCTTTCGTTAAAAGGACCATAGCAAGAATAACAAAGTGATGTTTCATTTGTTCGACGTGCGCTTGTTTTTTCAAGAAATTCTTAACCCCTATAAAGTTAAGTACATTAACGATACGCTGTATTATAAAGAAATATTCTAAATCATTCACGAAATATTTTTAAAGTATAATGTAATTTTACAAAGTTTGTTCATATTGATTTTGTCAATACTTTAGTAACAAGTTTTTCCTTTTACAATATGGTCATCATGTACATTACAAGTCAATATATTTAAGATTAAATGTTTTATGTAATTAATTGTCTGTAAAATAAAGCGAAGGTTCTTTATAGTCTTTTGAACAATATACTCTACATGCTTGTCAAAAAAGCCCCAAATCCAATAAAATACTCTACCAGAGTCTGAATTACCCATAAAGTATAGATGTCTGCTTTTAGGTTGGCATATGTGATGTCTAAAGGGCGAACAGGGGTGTCCATGGTGTTGGGCATTCCGACAGTCAAAAGAGATAAGCAGACGTATTTGATAGATACCTTAAACAGTCTCATCAACGGGATAACCCCTGAAGAGGCCAGCGATTCACTTATCGTTGTTTTCATTGCTGAGGTAGAAATATTTGTTACGAATTTTATGTTTTCAAAAACCCTTGACCCTTAATGAAACGACCAGTTAATTAATGGAACGTTATTTATTAAAAGCTGAATTGCAATTTTTAGACTGATTTGGAGTACATTATTCAAGTAGCCAAAGAATTGGAATTAAGGTAAGTTTTTGATAATTTTGGTTTATGCATGGTGGTCCGGATTAAATGCGAAAGAAAACAAACCTAGATAAAAAATTATGGTGGTGCTAAATTTTAATTCTCGAATTGTTATTTGGGATTTGAGAGATTTTGGGGATGGGGAGTAACATTAACTACTATACTTTGTGTGATATGACTTCGCTGTTTTATGCTACAACTAGTTTTTTACAGAGTTCAATCATGTAATTTAAACGTTCTAAAATAGCGGGAATTAGAGTTCTCCGATATATGTACCGTTTTTACAACCTTTTGTGGTATGTTGTAAAACGGAAGGGACCATTCTTGTCAGCACGTCTACCACAAGCCAGGTTCCGTATTTAAGATGTTAGCCGACAACAACTGTTCCGTGTCACTGTTGTAGTATTTTAAGAATAGGATTTAAAACTAAGACTAGTAATCATCGAGGAATCTCACCTATGAAACTACACAAATCCGTCCGATTTGTGCATTTGTATGCACAAAGTATCGAAGAAAGTAATTGTGGAATTGCGAGTCAATTTATTGAGAGTTGCAAAGAGAAACCCAATCGAGGTAAGCTTGCTGTTAGATCTTCATAAAAATTTCCAAAGTTAAAAACCGAATAATGTCATAAAAACGGTATATAGTTTGGAGAACTCTACCTAATCATTTCTACGACTTCAATCTAGGTATAGTTTTTGGCGCATTCATTGCGGATCACCTTGTATAGGGTGTCTCTAAAAGGTCAGTAGAGTTCGACGCATTAGAAAATAGGACAGTATAGATCTAATCGTATACATAATTTATCATAGGCAAAATGTCGATTGGCTTAATTTTTATTTTAAAAATAAGGCCACAAATACTCTTATCTGCCGGACTCTAAAAGCGTTTCATCAGGGGCAGCTTAAAATCAGTAGATTTTACTAACTGACTAACAAATACTAGCAAGACTAACTAACACTAAACTAAAGACTTTCTTCCCTTAGTCTAAAAATTGAGAATAAGAACGGAACAACATTACAAGAAATTGCGCTTTTACACATTATCTCAACAATTTTGTAATTGAAAAAGACGGCAATGGGGATTGCTTTATATAGTCATTTGATGATCATACAACGTTTTCTTTAAATAATAACAAAATAAGCTTATATAAATTTGTCAAAAATTTATTGATCAGATTTTACCAAAATAGAGATCATTTAGTTCAGTTCAATAATTTTCATTACATTTTATTTCTATAATCATATATTTACATATTTTAATTACCGTAATAACTGGATGAGTTAATTAAGTAGATGCAACACAAGAATTTTCCATTTTAGAAGATGTTTATTACACTTCCTAATATTCTTGGTACAGTTTTCTGTCATTAGTATTAACGTGTAGTATGATAAATAAATCAATCTCTATTACTACCCGCCTTATTCTAAATAAAATTTGCCATTTTCTTTTGCATAGATCCAGTTCATTGGTTCGAGGTGTGCGAATGTTACAACCTGAACCTTAGTTAATACCAACTTTTAGGCTAAGATAAGTTTCGTTAAATCGGTTTATTTTGGGCTGAGCCTGCTTTGGTGAATCGATACGCCTTTCAGAGACATCCAGTTGATTTGCTTATCACTAGGTTTCCTGCATCCGTAGAATCAGGTTTATTAGAAGTAATAGCACCATCAGCTTCGTACTATCCGGATTTAGATAAATTAAGGATTACTTTAGGCGACCCTCCCGAAAGGGTACGGTGGAGGTCCAAACAAAATTTAGATTACGCTTTCCTAATGGCCTATTCTCAACCAAAAGGTACTGTACCGACTTTTCTAGATTGATTTTGCGAATTGCTTAGCATCGTATCCTTCGTAGGTACATTTTATGTTCAATTAGAAGACGACATATTGGCGAAAGAATCCTACGTGTCGGAGATGAAAAAATTCGCATTCGACAGAACAAGTCGAAAAGAAAATTGGTTCGTTTTGGATTTTTGTCAGTTGGGATTTATCGGTACGGGATACGTCGGATCGAGTTGAACTTAATTATATCAGTTATTTTTTCAGGTAAAATGTTCAAAAGCGCGGAGCTTCCTTGGTTGATCCAATTCTTTCAAATGTTCTACAACGACAAGCCAGTCGATTGGCTCTTGGATAATTTGATTTATACCAAGCTTTGCAACTGGGAAAAAAATTATGTAAGTAGGAAAGTGCTAGGCGCTTTATACTCAGCTCTGTTGTTTCATATAATTACTATTACCAATCATTCTCCTTCATTTTTGATTTCGTTCCTACATATTTTTTTTTTGTTTAACAATATACTGAAAACTTCAAAAAAATTATTAGGGAGCGCATTCAAATATCAATACAAACAGTTTTTTTTAAGTTACTATTGTATTTATAACATTTATTAATTTATTTTATTATAAATTATTATTTAATAATTATTATAATTATTATTATTCTTTAAGTTAATGTCGTCCGAGTGATTCCTTCGCTTCCTCCGTTTATGTGCGCTGTACTTCTTGTAGTATTTGGAATGCTCAACATTATACCATGTGTCCAAAAATTATCGGGTCTCCATGTAAAATTTCAAAGTTCAAAGACCCCTTCCCGTTGCCAGTGAGTTGGAGTGGCCCCCGTGTTTGTTATTATTGAACAGTTTTTTATTAAATATTTAAAGTCGTTTTTTGATATTCCACCTGTTCGTGCAAAGATTTCTATACTGATTAGTTTCATTTGATACATTTAAAATAAAATATTTCTCCGCGAAAAACAAACGGCCATATCACTTTCATGAGCCCCTTCTCGCGCGGCTACAGCAGCGCCATCACACAGGAGCATCTGTCGGCCATATATTCTCGAATAATTCGCACGAGTCCGGTACCGCTGTCCGTGACCCGTTAATTGCCCGGAAAATATCAAAAAGCGAAACACCTAGGGACCGCGAGATCACCAGAGGAGCCATTAGCAGAAGGTAGAGTGAACTCTTGTTCTAATATGTGCCGCGTTCTTCTACTTAGGCTGAGAAACTGAGCTATAACCCGAACGTTAACGCAAATTTGTCGCCAAAATACTGTCCGCTACCAGTTTATTTTATATCGATTCAGCGTTACAAATTTTTCAATTTGCACCAACACAACCGTTTTCATAGTTTTTGGACACGTGGTATATAAAACAATCTAGTTTGGAGACTGAATGACAGGAATCTTTTCTGAATTGCATTTGAACCAGTAATATTGGTTATTGGATATACTATTATTATTATTATTATTATTATTATCATTAATATTATTATTATTATTATTATTATTATTATTATTATTATTATTATTATTATTATTATTATTGTTATTATTGTTATTTCTTACTATTTTAGGACAGTTGCAAGCGCGAAAAGGCGAAGGTGTGGATTCATTACAAGCCGTCGTTGTTTCAACACATTGGCACGCATTCGTCCTTGAAAGGAAAAGTGCAGAAACTTAAGGTGAGAGCAAAGGCGTTTACTCTTGGTTTCAATCCTGTCTAAATAAATATACGTATTTCGTAGGATAAACAGTTCGGAAAAGTAGCGCTGTTTTTCCCGCACAACAACCCCGAAGCGGAGGTAATATCGGGAATTAAGCATTATAAACAGTATTCTTTAAAAAGGGCTTATCTAGGGGAGACGTTCTTCTGGGGATTGCTGCCCCAAATCGGAGACCAATTAATTTTTAAATTCTCCACCCCTATAGCCGTTAAAAAGTGAGGTGGCAGAATCAAAAAAGCACCAGGTATTAAAGCGTATTTGTAGGTTTCTTTTTAAAAGCGGCAACGTGGAGCACCCATCAGACAAATTCTACAACACGACTGTCGAAGTGCTTCCCGTTGAGATCCCTACAGCTTTAATGGCCACCATTTCATCTAATCTGACGGGGGATGGTTACGTAATTGTAGGTGAGTTCAAAAAATGTTATTTCAGAGTTTGAAAAGTTATAAAGTGTGTCCCATTTTTGAACGTTTTATATATAAGTATCTTAGATTCTAATTCGGTTATGTGTGAACTTATCGAAAAGGTGAAAACTGGTCGAGATAGGATTTTTTTACGTAGGATCCAGTGGCGTAGTCAGTTTTTTTCAGAAACGAAATTTTGCTGCATAAACTAAACTTTTGCTTTTTCAATTTAACACCCTATATGTATTTTAATAATTTCATTAGTCTTGTTATTAGCTTATGTAATCTGAAATGTCTACCTGAAATCCGTTAAATAAAATGTTACATTGATTTCGTTTTCGCCAGATTAATCAAATTTACCACCATTTTATTACTCTGCTCGTAAGTTTATTTTATTAACTAAACAAATAAGTGCTTCCTGTTTTCTGTACAACTTACATTTTCTGTGCGAATTTTCGGTGTCCAATATCACCTCATTTTATGGGTCAAATGAGATATCGATATTTTAAAAACAGGTTGTTTTTTTAAGTCATTCAATAACAATAATTCAAATTATTTTAACGAGTTATGTTAACGATCCTCACTCCAGAGGCTTTCAAACAATCATAAATTTAAATTTGCGGGGTTTGGACATTTTCACGTTTTACTGGTATGCTATCAATTTAATTCAAATTTTGAAGTAACACGATTTTTTTATTCTAATAAGTATTCGCATTCTTAAATAATAATTGTAAATTACTAAGATTTAAAAACTTTGTATGTACTGATATCAAGAAAAATGAATTTTACTATGAAATACTTTTAGTTGAAAGGTTTAGTTAGCTTACAAGGTTTTAACAAATTAAAAATGAACGACGCATTTTTATCAAAATGTATACTCAATATGGATGAGAAGTAAGAAGGAAGTCTCCAGTTGGATGTGAACGCAATACTTTTCTAGGATTATACCTAACCTAACTGGTTACTTATTTATATTTTTATGACATATATCGTGTCTTAAAAGTCGTATTTGCATATTATGCAACAAAAGCTTGTTAAACCCGCGGAGCGCAGCTGAACAAGTGCTCAATAAATTTTGAGAAAATATTGCCGTAAAAATTGTAATTTCTAACTGAAATTTTCCCAATTGACGAACGGTCAGTCCAAGGTTGGTTATTGTAAAGTTAAAGTGAGGAAGTATTTTTTATTGTTGCTCCCTAATTTATTGCAGTAGGTTTGATTTGATGTCGTGGTACTTATCGGTTGTTTGGCACCGTTTAGTTCCAATAACTCTTAAATCTTTCAGAATGGATTGGTGCTACTGTCGCTGCTTTTGGGGATTTTGCTGATTTTGCAAAAAGTGTTGTGTGGGATTTAGACACCCTTATATTTAGTAAAATTCGACTTTTTTGAAACACGGTAAAAAATATAAAATGCCGAAAAGCATTTCGGAGGTAGTAAGCATTATCGATATCGAACACAGTACGTTTTCTAGCTTCAGCACGGGATTCTGAAGGATAAATGTATATAAAATGGTCGCTATTGATACGCTAGTCAACAAGAGAGCCACGACTGTCACCAAAGCTGAAAAAACAATAATAAACAACTATTTGATTGAAGTGGTTCCAGGTGCTCACCTCTTCGCTTTTCTCTCCATTTGTAAAATATAATCAGCTTGAAAAACTCCGAAAAAAGCCTGGCGAAGCATATTACTCCGTCCTTTTCGATATTAGGGGTCACCTTAAATTCACTATTAAACTTTGCGATCACCATAATGAAATCTGCAGACGCAAATACTGGGTAGTAGAATGCGTTGATGTATAATAGACATTCAAACATTAATTCCGCGTCTACATTCATCTGAAAAAAGTCTTCCAATTAGTCAAATTCAGTAGAAAACTTACCTCGTTCGTTCATTTGCGGTTGTTTCTGGATTCGCTGATGGATGTGCGGTGTATCCATAACGAAAAGGGCTACAGGGGTTGTTTTTTTTTGCATCAGAATATGCAGATTAGATTTAATTTTAGTACTTAGGGATATTAATAGAAATCATAATAAATTAGCCTCTCATCAGTCACCTGTAATTTTTACCTTCGAACTAATTTCTGATCAAATCATAAATACAATTTTCAATATCTTGGAATAAGTATGGGGAAAGAAGCAGGAGAGGCAATTTCCACTTCCCCATGTTTGGATGCGCCGTCATAAAAGCAGCGATGGTAAATTTTTTTACTTTAAGACATTTGAGAATGCAAAGGATTGAATTAAATGCTAGGTCAATATCTCGAGAACTTATTTGATTTTGAACTTATATTTTGAAAAATAATTCAGTTGCTTGCGAAACAGTGCAGAAACGACCATGAATAATCTCAGGTTTTATTTTTAATTAGCCGCAAGGTGAAAAATAACTTAATCAAAATGTAATAACAAAAAAAGTAATTAAAAAATCAATCAACCGCCGCATATTAATTAATTATAACTTAGGTGGTTAATATTTAGAGCATTCATTGAATTTTTAACCTCAATAATCGTAATGCCAATACTTGGTGAAACAGAATTACATGGTAAAGAGAGAAAAAAAATGGAAAATATTTCCATGGCGAGCTGCCTTTTACATAACAAAATAAAAAACAAAAACGTCCAGACGTCTCTAAAATAAACCTTGTATGCGTTCCTAGATTTTTAAAATTCGTGTTCAAAATTTTATCATTTTGGACGTCGAAGAGGAGAAAACCAAGCCAAATTTAGAAAAATGCCTAGAAATGTTTACGTAGCGTATTGTTTTAAAAACTGGTTAAATTATACTTGCAATAAACATTACATCTTTATTCCTACCTGAATCTTATCCGATACTATTCCTGTCCTTGATGCTAAAATTAAATCCAGTCTGTGTAAAGCACTCCTTAAAGAAATTAAGATTTTTTTTGCTAGTTTTTGAGATTAGAATTTTCTTTTAATTTTTGAAATTTATATACGGTGGTTCAAGGTGCAATGTAGATTAGACATTTATGAAAACGAGAAGTAGTATCGTTCTCATTTTTTTTATTATATCTTTAATAGCTTTAATTATTTTCTTTATTTTTTCTAAGAAGTTGCTATTTTTTCGAAGAAGACGCAACGTCGCTTCGCTGAAAATCGATGGATTATAATCGCTTCTCTAAACCACCAAACTTTTAGAACGACCCTACATTTTGGTTTTCCATAAACGTCTAACCTACAGTCCTGCCATGAATCACCGTGTATCTTTCTGCTTAATATTCATCCGAAAACTTCTACATATGGTAGAGGACCAATGCAAAAATACTGAGTTTACAGCCACAACTCCGCCATCCTTTATCTTTAGGTATATCTTATCAACTCTGTCGAATGGTGTCAATATATTTGTTATCTGACTTTTTGTCTTTGACTCACGATCAATAATTTCCATTTTGCAAAACGTGTATCAAAATATATTCTGCATTTTTTTTTCATCTTATTTTTTGCATTTAATAATATAATGTTAATTAATAAAAAAAAATAAAAAAATAAACTAATATTAATCTAATCAGGAGCCAAAATTTTAACAGCAATTGCATCAAGTGAAAAAGTTGAAATCTGGACGGAAAAGATAAAAACAATATTTTCAGAACTAGCCACCTTTTTTGAAAATGTTATTTTCTGGATACTAGATACAAAATTGGGATGTTTAATAGCGTTCAAACACTTTTCTATTTATCGAGTGACTTACTGTGGGTTAAAATCGTTACCCTCTCTTGCTTCTGATTGATTACTGGTGATTGTTGACAACATTCGAAACGTTCATTAGGAGTAAAACAATGACAGCGTTTTAAAATTGTCTTCAACGTGTTCAATGTATGCAGCTTTATTAACTAACTACGATAATTATCACAGTCCTATTAGTATTTTTAGAAATTGTCATGTACCCACTTTTCAGCTTCTAAATCTTTGGCATCATGCCTTTTTTACGTGGGTATTTGGGTCGGACAGGGTCGAGTTTAACGATTATTTGAAAGCTTTGGAGGAAATATTTATTTAGTTTTTGTTTGTAGGGGACTTTGATGGTTCTGGTATCGCTAGAGGGTCTGTTGACAACAGCTTAGGGAAAATACAATCCATAAGGTTGTATGTACATTCTGATAGTGATAATTGGGCTATTTTAAGTGAGGTTAGTATATTTATAAAAAAAAACAATTTGAATTTGTAGTTTATGAAGGAAGTTACGGTAATTTGATATTTCTTAATACCTATAACTTTTTCCTTTTTAGATTGATATTCAAGAAGACTCCGCGCCTAGTTGATGGATGAAGGAGAATTACAGGGATCAGATTTTGTTTAATATTGTAAAAAGCAGTTTGTTTGTTATGTACATATGTGCTTAAAACACGTTAATAAACGAATGTAATTCCAAGAATGAGTTTGACTATATTTGAGTATCCCGAGAAAGTTATTGGACGAAATTTAAAAAAAGTTTGACGTCATTGCTCTTCTGTTCTGGTTTTGAAAAATGTATTCTGCAGTTTCATTTACTTGTTCCATGGTTAGAATTTAACCCAATAATCAAGGATCCATGACATAGTGTATGTGTGTGTGACAAGTGTATGATCTGTGACCCATGAGCAGTATGAACTTAACCAACTTCGGCAAACGACAAATAAGTCTAACGTTATGTGATTTTATAAAATAAATAATTAATCATTTAATCATTTATTTTTTGAAATGGCATATCGACTCTTTAATAGTGGCAGGAAATTGGAAAATTTAGTATGGAACACTATAACCCGCTATAATAGACATATATTGCCAAAGGTAGTATTGCACCACACTATTTTTTCTATAAAATTGCACTTATGGTTGTAGAGTAACACTTTATTCAAACAACTTATACTAAAGGAGTGGCGGTTGTTTTGTCAGAAGCCGCCGAAAGGGTTTGAAAAGTATTTTAAAGAAGGCAAGTCAGTTCCCAAAAATGCTAAAGGTGAAGGTAAAGAAGCTGAAAGCAAAGAAAGCAAAGCAGAAAAAGAATTACCACCTAGCAGGCCACCACCCACTTCTAAACCTCAAGATCAGTGGTCTTTTGGTGTTTTTGGTGGTTCAGGCAGCAGGTATATCTAGTTTGAGATAACCATCCTGCTTTGTTTAACAGATTTAATGAGGCAACTCTCCCTAATTCTTGTTCATCCAAATCTATATAAACAGAAGCAGTTTTAATGTGTCTGTTTTAAATTTTAGAAGTGGTGGTGGAAAACCATTTAGTGACAATGACCAAAATAAGTGGTATTTACTAGGAGCTGCAGCAACAGTAGCTTTTCTAGCAACTGTGACTATGTGGGAGATGGGTTATAAGGAAATTGGCTGGAAAGAATTTGTTTATAAGTTTGTTGTTTATGAAACAAATTAATATTTCTCTAAGTTGAACTATTTCAGTTATTTGGCCCGTGGAGCTGTTGAAAAATTGGAAGTTGTAAATAAGAAATGGGTAAGAGTTCGTTTGACACCTGGTACTACCGCTGATGGAGCAGTAAGTTTTCTCCAAATATCGCTCGGCATAACTGAAGCAGTAATATTTTCAGAATGTTATTTGGTTTAACATAGGCAGTGTCGACTCATTCGAACGTAACCTAGAAAATGCGCAAATGGAAATGAATGTGGAGCCTCCAAATTTTGTGCCTGTTATTTATAAGACTGAACTCGAAGCAGCCAGTTTGTCAGGAGTACTGCCCACGTTGCTGGTCATTGGCTTTCTTTTTTACATGATGAGGAGATCTGCAGAAATGATGGGCGGCCGCAAGGGCAAAAGGGGTGGTCTGTTTGGTGGAGTAATGGAAAGTACTGCTAAATTGATTAATTCAAATGAAATTGGGGTTAAATTTAAGTAAGTTTGATAGTTTTTGAAGTGGGTGTACTGTTAGTCTGTGGGAGTAGATGTGATTCCTGGAAACAGATATTAAATTTTTTTTTGAAGGGATGTAGCTGGATGTGAGGAGGCAAAAATTGAAATAATGGAATTTGTAAACTTTTTGAAGAATCCTCAACAGTATATTGAGTTAGGGGCCAAAATTCCTAAAGGGGCCATGCTAACTGGTACGATTTACCCTCTCACTGACACATCTTTTTTGTAATACTTTTTTGGGTTTTAGGTCCACCAGGTACAGGTAAAACTCTACTGGCCAAGGCAACTGCGGGAGAAGCAAATGTGCCCTTTATAACTGTCTCTGGTTCTGAATTTCTAGAAATGTTTGTTGGAGTAGGGCCGTCTCGCGTTCGTGATTTATTTGCAATGGCGCGAAAGCATGCGCCCTGTATTTTATTCATAGATGAGGTACATCTGGTTTATTTTCGTGATTTTACTTTCCTATATAACTTCCATTTATAGATTGACGCTGTGGGTAGAAAACGAGGTGGTCGAAGTTTTGGCGGCCATTCTGAACAAGAGAACACACTAAATCAATTATTGGTGGAAATGGACGGTTTTAATACCACCACAAATGTCGTTGTCCTTGCCGCAACCAACAGAATTGACATACTGGACAAAGCTCTTTTACGACCTGGTCGATTCGACAGGCAAATTTTTGTCCCTGCCCCTGACATTAAAGGCAGAGCGAGCATATTCAAGGTGCATTTGGCCCCGCTCAAAACTAGTCTTGATAAGATTGATCTGGCCAGAAAAATGGCGGCACTTACCCCAGGCTTTACCGGCGCCGATATTGCCAATGTTTGTAACGAGGCTGCGTTAATAGCAGCGAGGGATCTTAACGAGATGATCATCATGAAACATTTCGAGCAAGCTATTGAAAGGGTTGTGGCCGGCATGGAGAAGAAGACTAATGTTTTGTCTCCTGAAGAGAAAAGGACAGTGGCATACCATGAAGCTGGGCATGCTGTGGCCGGTTGGTTTCTGGAGTTTGCTGATCCTCTCTTAAAGGTAGGTCAGAAAGTTTTAAGTGTAAAATTGTAAAAATACTGCAAATATGGGGGAAGGAAAATTAAATATTTATTTATAAAATACAAAACTGTTTCAAAAAGGTCCTTGTTGGTCAGTATCACCATCACCAAATTTTTTAAATTGTTTACACAAAGTCGCAGGTAAGAACAACATAAAAAAACTAAAGTAACTCAACAAATTAAAACAAAATTAATGAAATACATGGTAAACCCAGTTTAAAATAATATGAACTTTTGACTACTTGAAAGGAAGTGAAATAGTCAAAATGAAAATAGTAATCAAATCCCAACTTTTTTCCCCTTTTTTTCGGTATAAATTGTAATTGAAGCTAGTGAAGACCAAAAAATTATTTTAATTTTTTTCTCAATAAGGGTCGCAGACAAAAAGAAGTTACCCAACAAGTTCAAAATTGATTATCTTCATTTATTTGGAAGTTAGTTGCTATCAATTGATTTTTGGCAAATAAAAATAGCCAACTTCTCTAATAAAAAAAACATATTTTTTTCCAGGTATCGATAATACCCAGAGGTAAAGGTTTGGGATATGCTCAGTATCTGCCAAAAGATCAATATTTATACTCGAAAGAGCAGTTGTTTGATCGCATGTGTATGACCCTTGGAGGTAGAGTTTCTGAGGAATTGTTCTTCGGTAGAATAACGACGGGGGCACAAGACGATCTTAAGAAAGTTACCCAAAGTGCGTATGCTCAGGTCGTCCACTATGGTATGAATGACAAAGTGGGTAATGTTAGTTTTGACATGCCCCGTGAAGGTGAAATGATGATTGAAAAACCTTATTCTGAAGAGACAGCCCAGTTGATCGACATAGAGGTAACCTAAGAACTCAGATTTGAATTTTTGAATTTTTTAGTATTTGTAGGTTAGGAAATTAATCGAATCCGCACATGAAAGAACGAGGACACTTCTGACAGAACGCAAGGATCAAGTGGCGAAAGTTGCAGAAAGACTTTTAAAGCAGGAAATTATAAGTCGGGATGATATGATTGAGCTTTTAGGCAAGAGACCGTTCCCAGAGAAATCGACATACGAAGAGTTTGTTGAAGGAACGGGATCGTTTGAGGAAGATACCACTTTGCCGGAAGGGCTGAAGGAGTGGAACAAAGAGAAAAATAAAGACGTGCCCGACGCAAAGGCACCCGTTTAGTTAACAATTCCTAGACTGCGACTTCTAAGTATTTTTGTTAATAACTGTAAAATCAAAATAAACATATGTTTTGTTCAGTGAAAGTGTTATTTTACAAGGTCAAAGGTTATATAAGAATATGAGGTAAGTTTAATAGTAATAGTTTGTTTAATAGACTCGACTAGATTATTAATTTAGAAATTTGGGCTTGGCCCTACCCCCAAAATTACAAAAAAGTATGTTTCATAATAAGATGGTCCTTAAAGAAAAAGTGTATATCAATGTAGATCCACAAATGCTTTATATTTGATTTGATATACAGGGTGTGGAAAATATAAAAAAATGAGTTTTCGTCATTTTCATGCTTAGTGTCATTTGGGGCTTGTGTAGCCCATGACCAGGCAAACGCAGAGGTTCGAATGAAATAACTGATATTTGGAGACTGAAAACGCCACCGCCCAGAACGTAAATCACTTAGATTAAATGAAATACGTCGAGAAGTCACAGAGTACATATTTTGTCAAACATATACATGGTCACAGACCAGTGAACCATGAACGGTTCATCATTCATATTGACAGGTAGATGCCCACAAAGCATAGAAATAATTTTTTTACTCCTGTCTGTAAAATACCTAATTACACCCCGAACTATCATGCGGGAAGCGTCACTTTATCACGTCAGTTTCGTTTCGCACGGATCCGAGCCACTTCGGACATTTCCGCGATTTTACTGCACGAGTTTGGGAGCAATCGGATGTTTTCGGAGATATTTCCCACGTTTTGAATTTTGGCGTTTGTCAATTCTGATGGCCATGTCAGTGAAAGTATTCGTGTTGTTTTGCGAAAATGTACTCAAAAATAACGGTCGTAGAAAAAGTATAGTATGCAACACGTTTGGTAAACTTTTTAAATCACTTGTTTATTAATGTTAATGTTATGTAATGTTATGTTTGCGATGTGTTTACCTTCTTATCCGCATCTGAAAATATTTTAGTTTTGAGAAACATAGGTTTCATATATCTATATTTTATTAAAAAAAATAAATACAAAACTCATGAAACTCTCATCGGTAAGATCTTTTTTATGAAGAGTAGGTACTATCGCGCGCAAAAAAAAACTAGAACAAATATGACTTTTCAGTTTGACAGTAAAGGCCTATTTTCACGCAATATTTTTTGTCAACCTAAAAATTTTCCTAGTTTTTTTTTCTCGTGATGGTAACTACTATCACCACGAAAACAAGCTTTAAAAAATAGGAAAAACGTTTTCATGAATTAACCAAACAACCATTTTAATGTGAAAATTGTACTTTATGCAGGTGATTAATAAAATTAATACTTTGTTTCTGGAGGCTGATTCTTGCATGCATTTTAAGAAAAAAATATACTATAAAAATATAGTAACTATATAATTAAAAATATAATTTTGTTCTCTATCATTGCTTACTTGAATCTAAAATTAGTTTAGTTTTGTATGCCTAAATTTAACTGCTCAAAAAACATGAAGAAAAAGTGGATTGTAAAAATATATGTAATCTATATAGGTTACAAAAAAGTCAGTTTTATCTTAATTCGGTCCAGCAATCACTCCTTAAAAAAAGTATCAACTAAGCAATCGCCATAACATATATTTTATTAATTTATATTTCTTATACTTAATTTATATTACATTTACGTCCTATTTATTATTAAAAAACATAATACCTACTTACCAAGTATTAATTTGGCCAATTTTAATTTTGAAAATTTCTCCTTTTTCTTCATGCCCAACCAATTAAATTTCATTACAAGTTCATTTGAAATCAGCGGGGCCAGAGTCCTCTTTGGCATCCGGTGGGGTACACCAAGGGCCCGTACGGCCCTGTATTTTTTATAGTGTGTGTTGTGGATCTACGCCGTTTTTTGGGGTCTGTCAAATGTGCTTTATTTGCGGACGATGCCAGTTTTACCTTATATGGTCCGAATTGGAATGACCTGCACAATATAATTGGGGAACTAGAGAGCAATGCAAACAATTGGTTTAAAAAAAAATATTTGAAATTGAATACGGACAAAACTCAAAAAATATTCTTTTCGCTAGATAAATACAACAACGGCTAACGGCAGTCTGCTAAATTATTTGGCATTACACTTGATAGTAGACTTGACTGGAAAGGTCATATTTTATCTCTTAAGCGAAAACTATCTTCCAGCTTATTCGTCCTTAGAGAAATAAGGGAGAGCCTAGATTAAAATGCGCTAGTGACAGTGCATTATGCTTTATTTCATTCCCAAATATCATATGGCACAAAATTATGCGGAAACTCTGACAATGCTGTTCAAATATTCAGGATACAGAAAAGGACTATAAGAATTCTTGCTGGGGCTAAGCACAATGAACACTGTACTCCATATTTTAAAAAATATAAGATAACGACACTGCCCTATATATTTTCCATAATCTTTTAGAAATTCACAAACATACTAATGTATTTGAGTTCCAAAGCACAGATTTGTTACATCATACAAAAATTCTTTAAACATTAACGTGAACAATATGCTGCAAATAGGTACAGATATATGGCTTCTGAGGTGTTTAAAACAAATATTAAAGTGCTTATTAAAAATTGTTTCTATAGTATGGACGAATATTCCATAAAAATAAAAAAACTAAATCATAACACACTATATTGCCCTTTCTGTACGATTTTCATACTCCGTGTCAGTGCTGTTGACCTTCACATTTGTTATTGTTCACCAATGTGTTATTTATAAAATACGTTCTTTTTTTACAGCTTTATACTTTTTACATTTCGTTTTTGAATTTTACCATATCTTGAGAGACTGCAATTGTATTATTATTGTACAATATGTGGTTAATAAATTCTTATTCTATTCTATTGATGATCTCATTGGTAAGTTCAATTGTATCTGCTGACGATTTAAAAGCTATTGCATGATTAACTAGGATTGCTTGTTGTTTCAGGATAACATTAATGTCATATCAGAATGGTGTCTGGTTAATCGATTAGGTTTAATTGTTTCTAAGGGTAACGTACTTACTTACTGTGGAAAGCTGAACATAAATGTATTTAATTACGTAATAAATGGAACTGTATTGAATCGATTAACTGAAGTTAAAGACTTGGAGATTGCCTTCAATTTCAGACTTATTGAGCAATTAGTATTATCGGTGTCTAAAGCGTTGGGTTTTGTAATAAGAACAATACTTCAACTATTAGAACTCTGTACATCTAAATTAGAATAAAGGTCATTGTTGTGCCGTCCAATATATCAATCTCATATTGGTAACTTGGAGAGATAGTTACTATTAGGCAGGTTCGGCGAATTATCTCTGGCGGTTAGGAGGGACATTAATTCTTTAAAATGGGCTTTTGCATGGTACAGTGAACTCTGAGTGGCTTTTAAGCAAAGTACAAATTTAACGTCTCCAGAATTGAAGCCAGATTTACCTACGCCTAGAACATATGTTTGATATCAGTCGCCAATTATTTTGTTTATGTGTGGTACCTACGAATCTTCGGTATTATTTGACATCTGTTTGTTAAATGAGGTTAAATATCAAAGATAGTAGTTCGTATTCAGCGGACTTATTTTTTGCACTAATTATTATGGTTTCTGGAAATTTCACGCAGGACGTTCCACTAAAAATATGAGTCGCACTTTGTGAATGGCATTTTCGTTGACTCATAAAATGAGGTGATATGGGTATCTCCAAAAATAATTCAACAAGTGCCTTTTCAAAAATAACAGCATACCTTAACTAAATAATCTTTGGGTTAATTTTCAACTTTAAGTTTAATAAAAAATAGAATTTTTCCGAAAATATTTGCCGTTTTTTTATCACTTTTTCGTCACCCACCTCTACTTGTGTTAAAATTTCCACGGGACCCTTAGAACTGTAATTCCCCGTTGGCCTCAGGTGAAAACGAGAATTTAATATTCATAGAAAAAACTCCCCCCCTGGTCTGTTTACGACGCAATTTAAAAATTTACCCTTATTTATTGCGCAGCTCGATTATCATAAATTTTATAAGGTTGCTATGTGGGGTATGGGAAAAAGTAAAAAACGGTAACAAGCAAACACTTTATGTTCAAAGTATCTACCATTACAATATCAAAAAATATTACTTCTAAAACCGCTACGCAAATATATGTATCACTTTGGTAAGTTAACTATTACAAAAAAACGGTAAGTACAAAAGGATCCTATTCAGCTATTCGTTGTTGATGTTATCCTTATTTTTTAATTTGGGATTCTATTTGTAGGGCAACCGTCTAGTTGAGTTAACAGATATTAACTGCGATTGCACAGCAGTGAGATTATGATGACAAATTTCTTAGGGAAAAATATATAATCATGCTGATGTTCAATATCTACACGTATTTATCTATGACTAGAATTGCAACTTATATTGTGTGTATGGCGAGAATACTAAAATACATATTCTATTTTAAATGACTAGAATATTAAATTTGTCAAAATTTAGAAAAATCTACAACGCCGAGTAATATTTCCCAAGTACGTATTACGCGGGATATTCAGAATAGTTTTGTATTAATACGAATGTTGGTTCCACGTAATTAATTCTGAACCCTGTTTTATTACCGCTTCGTTGCAAATTTATGTCTTTCTAAGGCTATAAAAGGTTAAAACTTTCTTTCACTTCAGTACTTCTTGTATTGCTTTTGTGTATAACATTTAGTAAAGTCGGTCAACTTTCAACAAATTTTGTTTGTTCCGACTTCTCAAATTAAAGTTTTTGGTAATATACCACAAATACACGTTATACAAATTTGATTTGAGCAAATGTACAAAGGAAACAAAAAAGGAACTCAATTTATAATTTATAAATACTTAATCTTTACATTTTGATATATTATTAAGTAAAAAAATATCTTTCCGGCCTTAATTATAAAGAAAAATTTCAATGTTATGACCACGACATGAAATGAATGTACCAGTTCAGACATACGGTTTCAATAATATCTAATATCGCTTTTTAATCGACAGTAATTGTTTGCGTTTCCGCATTAATGGTGTTCTTCCTGTATGTCCGAAGGTTCTTATTGTCCCACATCGTGCAGGTAGATTCTAGGTGCTTGTTCAAATAAGATTTTAATGCGAATGTCTTGTCACAGTTTTGACACCTGAATTGCTTTTCGGTTGAATGAGTTTGCATATGTGCCCTTAAGTTCGACCTGCAAATAAGAGGAAAGTCGTTACCTAAAATCGAATTCCAGTCCGAATTTCTTAATCAACATGAACATCGTTGTAATTCGCCCACTGGTTGGTGGATTTACCTTCCGAGTTACCATTAAGGGCAAACCAAAGCTTGATGATAAGCAATTATATGTAGATACGCGTCAGATCCCTAATTTTCTATATTAAAGAATAAGCTCCATGTTTCAATGATATAATTTAGAGCTATATGGTAACAAGACCAATTTAACTAACCTAATTGCAAATTATATCATTGTATAGTATTGTAACACCATAGATTACAAATATTAATTGTTATTATGAAGATATATAAATAAATGTATAGCCAAATTTTAACTACTGTAGGTAAAAAATGACGGAACCCATTGTGTGCACTGCAAAAACGGGTGGAAAAATTAAAATATAGCAAAACAATGATACAAGGTGTTATTGAAATAACATCACCCAATTTAATAATTTAATCCATGGCTCGATTTGCAAATTGCAAAAATATTCGTTATGTAACGGTTGCAGTCAGCTTCAAAAAATGCTTGTCGCTTCATTGAATCTTTGAACAAAATAACGATATAAATAAAAACACAGTAATGATTGTAGGCAAGGTACTTTGTACTCCAGTTTGAAAAAAATAAACTAGTTTTATGCTGTCCATGTTATTAAAATCATGTGAATTTTTGATGATTAAACCTAACATATTGCTTGGGTCCACAAATGACAATTTTCCATGAAATGTCACTTCTAAATCAGTAAATTCATGTTCACACGATAGTAGACGTAATCAAAATGAAAATCTTTTTAGAGAGAATGAAACTACAAAGTATTTGGAGCAATTGAGAGTTCAACAGTTGCTACGACGCGAAGTGTAATATGTAGTTTATAAATATTATTTAGGTCATTACCGTGGAGCAAAAATAAAACCTCAATGCCTTTGAGCATGCTATTTATGAATACTACAAGAAATTGAAGCATTGAAGGTACGACCATAGCACCTTATATATTAAGGGACATTTTGACATCGACTATACACCACAAAATCGTGTATAATATTAACAAAGATTAAGTATTTTACAGTACTGCAGACCTTCGCGGGACTGTGGTACAACCCATACCAACAGATTTTTATTCTGCATTAAGTAGGTCTTGCCTGGGATGGACCGTAACGAATATTTGTAGAAATTTTTATTTGAAAAGTAAATGGACCTTTTTGAATTTGATTAAGCATTGATGCTACAGGCTATTTTTGAATAAGTAGGAGCGTTTATTTTAACATCAGGTGATAAGTATGGTTCTTAAGGGTTTAATCTAAATTGCAATATTTTCGTGTATATTACGGAGCTATTTAACTGTGATCCTACAGTAAGTGCGTATTTATGTACCTGATTCTCGAGCTTTGACCCTGCGAGGCCGTTTTCACTGGATAGTTCAAAGGGTAAGAGTAAGCACCTTTACTCTATTCATCTTATAGGTAAGTTTAAAAATAATAATTTTTGTCTTGTGTGTCTGTCGATTCTTCTTCCTTATATAATTCTTCGATTTGTAACCAACAACAGTCTTTTTTAAGACTATAGATTGTATTCGCGGAAGATAAAGGTACGTCATACAGACAAATATTTATTAGGATTAAACATTTTTTGAAGGTTCCTATTTTTTAACACTTTAAAATGTGGAGACCGTAGAATGAAGCAGATGTTCCTCAGTTAGAAGACGAATTGGAAAATAATGCAGAATTTGAAGACGATTTGGAGGTGGTAGTCGAACTTAATGACAATTTAGAAGACGAACTACCTCAGAAAATAAAAAAACGGATCCATTTGTCTTCGGATGCTAAACAAATTGTTTTAAATTGTTTACAATTTTATAAGAAATTTGGAAGGGGAAGTAGGAATGGTAATAAAAACAAGTGACGCGACCAAAGTTCCGAAGTCAACTGTAAGAAGAATTGTTGCAAATGTCAAGATAGTCAAGAGGAAAGTGAGAGCAGATTCTAGTACTTCGCGAGTTTTTAAAGAGCAACACGCACGCATATAATCTACGACGTTTCTAAAGAAGAATTGCATAAAAGTACTGACAGACGTAAACAAACATTCGTTGTGCATACTTTTTTGAAAAAAATGGATTTTCAGTTCCAAACAATTAATAAACGTCAAGCGCTAAGAAGGAATAACTGCACTGCATCAAAATTTTGTGATAGTGCCAAAAACGTAATTCGGCTAAATAGCTAAAATATCAGTACAAAGCAGGTCTAACTGTGAAAAACGAGTAATAAAAGAAGAAAATATTTATCGAGAACAATTAGTGGCGGAGTTGATCATTGAACTGGGTGACGACAGTAGCGACAGTGACGATTTTTTGAATGATTAATACTTTTTTATTATTATATCAGTTATTTTATATTTTAATAATGATGCTATGCAGAAATGTAATGAAATAGAACGTAATAAATTGTTACTTTGTACTATTGTACTATTGTACTTTGTACTATGAAAAAAAATTGAAAACATATCCCGTTTTTAAGTGTAAGTAGATAAATTGCGAGGACGGTCCTGGAACGGGTAAGGGTCTGCTCGGCGGTTTTGGAGTAATAAACAGTAGGCAAAGTTAATCACGGGGTCGGTTGTAAAAGTACTATATTTCTGGTCAAAGTATACCTATCAGCAAAAGCTTTCCCGCAATGTGCGCATCCGAATGGTTTCTCGCCGGTGTGCGATCGCAAATGGCCCTGAAGAAGCCAAGGCCTCGAAAACTGTTTGCCGCAAATACCGCACTGGTGGGCCAGTTTGTGCGTCAACAGGTGCATCGCTAAAGCGGGCATGCTGACGTAGGCTTTCCCGCAGGTCATGCAGCGTTTGGCCGACTGGGAGTCCAAACTTCTGGAACAAACGGTTGCCTTGTAAGTAGAAACCAAATTCCATCGAATGCTACAGCGATAATACCTATGCGTCTGCTTGTGTCTGGATAGATTGCTAGATGTCGCGTAGGCTTTGCCGCAATCGGAGCAGATGTAACGATTGTTTTTCGGCTCACCTTCCGATGATGAACTGTCCCCATCGTCTTCGATTTCTTCCTCCACCACTTTATAAAATTTCTAAAATAATACTTTAGATAAGCAGCCATTGGGATTTTTGATTGGCACCCTATCTATTCATTTGCACGAGAGCGTAATAAAAGTTATGAAGACTCCGACAACAAAATGCGGTCCTCACTGATGCCAGAAAGCCATTTGGTAACGGGCATTTGTGTTTTTCCTTAAAAAATGGGTTAATGATTCATTGATTTAGTTTAATATAATTAAAAAAAATATGCAAAAAGTGGACAACTGAAATATGAGAGACATTTTTTATAATGCTTGATGAAGACAATGTATAATATATCTTACAATTTTCACTAAAATCATTGTCCACCACCTTCAACGCTAAGTATCTTAGTGCACATCAATCAAAAATAAATAACTTTTTTTTAAGATAATGGGTAAAAAAATACATCTAATAGAGTTTTGTTGTCCATGATTCTAGGAAGAAAAACAGTTATTTTAAATTGTCACAAAAATATTGAGTTGATGTCGTCAACATTTGGGTTTTTATCTCATCTACGAATTCAATTTTGCGCACACATTATCCAATCATCGTTTTATTATACTCTCTCTTTCTCTGGTATTAATGGTAGAGTTAATTGGACAAAGTAAAACGAAAGTAAATGAGCATTATACTAGACAATCCGAATGAATACGACTTTAGCCAAAGTGCCTACCGTTTTCACAGAACTACCGGAAGTGGTACTTGTGGTACTAGATCCGCTATTGCTTAAGCTTAAGTCGGCATACCGACCACTGTTTTCACTACCCGTTGGTCTTCCTCCTTTTACCAGTTTTTTGTTTTTTCTTTTTCGCCTGTCGGGAATAACGATCGGTGCCATCTTGGTCGACACGGAGTTTGACGACTGAGAGGCACCCGCCACACTTCGGTTTTGCCCGATAAAAGTGTCCGGTTCCGGCGAAAGCGGAAGTATAATGATATCTTGCTCGTGAGGGACTTCGGAAATGATTTGGACGCTTGATTGTTGAGTTATTGTGGTGCAAAACTAAAAAGCACAATCCGAAAGCCTGCGAAAATCAGCTTCCTAGCTTTTTAATTTACCTGCAGGTTTTCGGCATCCGAAGAACACTCGGATGTCGGGGGAGTGGGGAGAGTTGCCGGTACCTGGACCACATAGACAATGGGCGGGGCGTAGGATGGCGTCACTACTAGCTGGGCAGCGGAGGTGGTTTCACTCACAGCGCTAATCGTGGGTTTTGTCGGACTAGCGACCGTGGTTTTCGCCTTGGTTGCGTCTTGCGGATTTTTTGAGGCCGTTGCTTGGGTTTCTTTGCGACTAGAGTCTGGCGACAGTGGACCATAACAGTGGCTGGGAGACGATGGATCCTCCTCTGTTGGTATCTGAAGTTTAAAAGTTTCACGGCAAATATTTTACGAGCTCCTGGCGTTACCGTGTGGTGAATCATAACTACGCTTGGAGCTGGCAACGGAGGTAAGCTCTGAGAGAGGGATAGCAGGTCGTGCGCGGCTTCCGTTTCTTCGACGCTTCTCGTGTGATTTTTTTGGTTAGAATCATCGTTTTTAAGCTCCAATGTAGTATTGTTTGTGGTAGAGCGCTCATCGACGTCAACTAGAATAATATGCAGATTTTGTTTAGGTACTTGGAGTAGATGAATGCGAGTTCTGTCAATGTCAGCGATACTCGGATCTTGGAGCAATGTGATACGCTGTGATATGAGTTTTTTGTTGAAATTAAGCATTTTTAGTTCTGTCGTGAAAGTTAATTTTTATCCAAAAAATTCCATATCATATACATTTCATTTCAAAAAATCTCATTGAAGTTCACGGATAATCTACTGTTTTTGATAGAGAATGATATTAGTTTTCCTTGAGTTGGGGATTCGTGGACACTTCAAATGTCTCCAACATTAATATTTTTGATATGATAGAATTCCAAATAATATAGTACAGTTTCAGAGCGCTTTTTTGTTATAAAATAGGCTATGTTTTGATGCTATAATTGACTATTACTAATGTTTTGCTTTGCCGTTCGGGATAAAATTCTAGAAATTTTCAAAAAAATCCAAATAATTTAAAAAACATTTTTACTATTAATTTGATTTTTGATCTACTCGATCATAATTATTTGTTATTGAGGTTTTAACATCCAAGAACTTTGAACTGAGGTGGCTTTCACTTGATGAAAACCCATTTATCAAAATAAATAAGAACTAAAAGTTCAGATTTTCACTAAATATATATTTTTATATGGTACATCTCTAAAGAAGGTTTGATTATGGGAAACTCACTTAGTCTTTTCTTAGCTGAGATTTTTATGGATAATTTGGAAAATATCATACTAGAACATCCTTTAAGTAAAAGTTTTCTATGGTGGTATAGATACGTGGATGATGCTTGCTTTGTTGGAACGGACAGACAATTGAATTCTTTTTTAAATTACATTAACTCATTATATATTCGTATAAAATTCACTATCGAGATTGAACAAGATAACTCTATTGATTCTTTGGACTTAACTATTACGAAAACGCAAAACAAATTAGATTTTTCCATTTACCATAAATCTTCACACACGGGCACAGTCATACATAACAGCTCAAATCACTCTTATACAAATGGCTGCATTTAACTCTTTTATACACAGACTTCTTAATACGCCACTCTCAACAGAAAATTACAACAAAGAACTTAATATCAATAAACCAATTGCACTGAACAACGGCTACAATCCGTCCGTTATAGATAAATTTATAAATAAAAAACAAATCCAGAAACAGTAAACTCTATTTATCTGAAACCTAATACAGAACACGAACAATTTAAAACAATTACATACATAGGAGAACCTAGTGAAAAAGTTTCAAAACGTTTGTCAAAATGTGGTTTAGAAATAGCTTTCAGGACTAACAACACAATAGGAAAATTTTTAAAAAACAATAAGGTGTCTACAGGTTGACTTGCAGTTCTTGTCCTAAAATTTATATTGGACAAACAGGCAGATCCTTCAAGAAACGCATTAACGAACATAAAAGAGCCTTTAAATACAATAGTCTAGATTCTAATTATGCTACACACTTAAGCACAGAAAAATACATTTTTGACGACAATTTTCATATTTTATATACAGCCACAAAAAGGAAAAATTTTTAATTAATTGGAAGCCATGTTGTCGAAACAATTGTTATGTAATATATATATATATATATATATATATATATATATATATATATATATATATATATATATATATATATATATATATATATATATATATATATATATATATAATATAATTTCGTGAAAATCTGAACTTTTAGTTCTTATTTATTTTCCAAGAACTTTAATATATTTAAAAATAACTATGCTCAAAAATTGTTAGATATTGATTATTTGGGAGATTTGAGCCTATGTTGTGATGCTATAAAACTAAACTAAAGAGCAAACTTTCCTAAATAAAATTGAACTTTTAATTGCTAATAAAAACATACATACAAATTACTATAGATAAAACTTTGTACAAAATTATTGAAAAATTACTTCATAGAGTCTTTTGGTAATCCATAGGCTTTATTTATTAAACTTTTTATTATTTCTTCATTAATTCGACTTATTTGCATATTCATTCCACAAAATTCCAAATTCCAAAAATCGATTTGATTCCACTATGTCATACACCAAATGCCTTTTGAAAATTGCAGTTGCAGAGATAATTTTTATATGAAATTCGACTTTTAATTAATCCCATTAGCGGGTTAATCAGCACTTGCCAACTTTCCAGCACTGCATATAACGTTTCTTGATGAGAGAGAAACGAAAATTTCAAAGTCGCATATCAAATTGATGCGAAAACAGTAAAATTTTACCTTCACAATATTCATAAGCAAAAATGAATCAACAATAAAGCAAGTTGTACGTTTTAAAAATTAAATTTCCGAGACCGGGAACTTATGCAGTCTTAGGATTAATTTTCTCATTGCTTTTACGACTGAGAATTAATTCGTATTTGTTTGTAAATTGTTTATACATTAAATAATGTTATTTGCGGATTTAAGCATCAGTGATCATGTTCGTTAGTTAATGGGCGAGCGAAAATATTTTATAAACTTATGAAGAAAAAAACCGCGGTTTTCAAACAGTACTGTCATGTACACAACTGTTCAACTTAATAACTTTTTATAGACGATTCCCCTATATTCTTCTCGCAATTTAAAAATTTTGTCTCAATAAAGTTTTATTGTAATGTGCGACAATAAAATTTGCAACGAAATTCTTACACAATAAACAGTTTTATTGCTGAAAATATGGTTCTCCCTCTTGTATTAAAAATTTTATACTTGCGTTTTGTGGGCCAACAAATTTGATAATTTGTTATACAGCACTGTTTACATAGTTCTTATAGTCAACCAGTATATCATCAACAGATATTTGTGCTGATCATAAAAAAAAGAAAGCTATTCACTATTTTTGGATTGTTGCCCTATCCCAATGACTTTATTTCGCCTGTCTTTACGAAGGGTGGTAAACATCGCGCCGCTGCGGACTTTTATACGAGGGATCCTCAAGACGTAGTCACCGTGGGCTATGCATGTATCTAACTATTTACAACTATTGCGTAGTATTAAACTAAAAATACTACTAGAACTAAAATAAATGTCTGTCAGATATTTATTAACTTAAGATACTAATTTGTATACATAAATATAAAGAAAACTTTTAAATAAAATCTGACATTCATCCCTGCCCTCACTATTTTGCAGTTAATTCTGAATTAAGGATATAATAGGTTAAAATAAAGGAGTTTATATTCTGTAACACACTTTGGCTCTTTCTTTGTTGGTCTTTTCACGTGCAATTTTTTTATTTGTTTGTTTTTTATAATATTTTTGTGTTCATAATTTTTAAAAATATTTAGGTACATTGCTATTGGTATTGGTAAATAAATTTTTAACTCTATTCTAACAAAATATTTCTTGATCCGATTTAGTTTTTAAAAATTGTTAACTTGGTTTGACGTATATTTGTAAGTATTACTTAGGAATAACAAATAAATCAGTATTTTGGTATTCTTAACCTATTGTTTTGGTGATCACAAAATTTAAAAGGGAAAATTTCAAATTTTTCTCTTTTTCAAATTCGCGGATATTTTAACCCTTTTTGAAAGCTAACACTTCTGATAATATACGCAGTGTGCTGTTTTTCGACCAAAAAATGTTGAGAAAATGCTAGAAAAAATGTTAAATATAATTTCTCTTATTTTCTCAGTAAATCAATTTGTATGCTGTATGTATGATGTAAATGATTTAGTTAAACGTTTATATAAATGAGCAAGATAAAGATAAGAATCCTGACTACTACCCGTTTTGAGATCATTTTGTTTAATATAAAATTTGGCTTACCTTTTATAATTCCGGTACTATTTCAGTTTAAATTAGGGTTGGGCACCGTACCATCAAAATATTATATAAAAGCGCTTTTTAATGAGAAAATGGCAAAATAAAACGGCTTTGTTTAAAACTTTTCTACAGAAAAAAAGTACATATGTAATGAAAAAAAATATAACATATAAATATGAATAGACCATTGTGTATCAACGGGCCAACCGCCCAATATAAAATGAGATTCACATAAACAAAATAGTAAAAAACAAAATAAAATAAAAATAAAACAGAATGAAATAGATAAAGACCCAACCCTGGTATGACAACCATTGGTTTTCCAAAATATTCATATTAATATAGGAGTGGACGTAGCAGTAAGAACACATATAGAAGTAGCGAGGCATCAAAACATTGTTATACGATACTATTCAGAAGTCAAACAACAGAATACTGACAGTCTTTTAGTTCTTTTTTAAATATTTTTGCACTTTGGAAGCTGTCAAGTTGGTCCGAAAGTCGATTTGCTAGTGCGGCTGATATTGTAAGAAAAGAACTCTACCCATAGCTAGTACGATGGAACTCCACCTGGAAAGAGTGGTTTATACTGGTCTGGTGGAGGGGGGGGGACGCGAAGCACAATCTTACATAACAGCTCAGGGCCATGAGAATTTGAGTGCAGTAGATTATAAAAAATGGTGAGATCCTTATGCATGCGACGAATCTGGCGAGATGTAAGATTTCCAATTCCGAGTAATCGACGTTCTCAAGTCCTTGGTGCTCTTTAAACGCTATATACCGCAGGAACCTATGCGGCACTCTTTCTATGGCCTGTGGACGTTATACGAAGATGACCGCATACAGGAACAATAATCCAGGTATGGACGCACGAGGGAGCAGAGCAGTAATCTGGGAGACGGAATATTCCGGAAGTTCACTGTACAACGCTTAATAAAGCTCAAAATCTGAAGTGATTTAGACACAATAGATGAATCATGGTGTGTGTAAGTCACTTTAATATCAAGTAAGACTCCAAGATCCCTCATTACGGAGACCGCAATAATCGTGACCATTTTGGTTTCTTCGCCGGTTGAAGTTTATTAGTTGGCATTTATTAATATTCAGTTCATTCATTCATTTTCGACTGTCATATAGAATTTAGGTCGTCAGCAAATAATAACAAAAATGCATGATGAAAACATGAGGCAATATCATTCACATAGACATTGAAGAGTCGGGGTCCCAGGTGTGATACTTGCGGAACACCAGAAGGCACTTTAGTTTCTGTGGATTTTAAGCTCTGGACGCGCACAATCTGCACTGTTTCAGTAAAGTACGATGTTAACCATTCCAAAAATTTTCCATGAATTCCAATGTTTCGCAATTTTTTTATTGAGATTTGATGATTTACTCTATCAAACGCCTTTGAGAAGTCTCTTCCAATGATTCCATCAGAAAATCTGTAAATGTAAAGAAGTTTAGCTCAGTGGAGCGATGGAAAATGAAAAATACAAATTATTGGTCGACCTATAATTGTTGGATAGGCGTAATGAAGCTTGATTTCCAGTAAGTTGGAAAAGTTCCCGTTTTTAAAGATTGGTTAAAGAGAATATAAAGTTGTCTAGAAAGTATGAAACTGTAGTGCTTAATAAGATATGGTAGGAGGCCATCGGGACCGCGTCCTTTGTTTTTTTCTAGAGTCCCATAAACAGATGAAATCGAAATGTTCAAGTTTGAAAGGCTGACGTTTCCAGAAGGCAGTGCATCTTCAGAGACACAATCCTTGTGACTATACATGTTAGAAAAATAGTCTGCAAATAAATTGATAATATCCTCACCCACAGAACAGGTCACGTCTCCAAAGTGCACAACCGATTGGATAAAGTTCCTTTCATTTTTACTATTCACAAACTTCCAAACATTTTTAACGTTTTCTCTTAAGGACGGATCAGTCATTATATTCCTGGTAACACTGCACTTTTTTCCAATTAGCTTTTAGGTCTGAAAATCTCTTATATTCTGCATATGTCCCGGTCCGAAGATATAGTTTATGTGATTTCTTCTTGTATCTTTAAGCTCTGGAGAAAACCAAACTGGAAACTTCTTAACCTCTTTAATGGGACGTAAATATCGATAGCTAAATAAACTATATCGTAGAAGACGTTGACCATATCCTCAAGCGTTTTGTTAGTAAATTACTTGTCCCATTCGAACTGCGACAAAAACTCAGTCACTGCACCCAAGCCCATTGATTTAGAATCTTTCTAAAGGCCATCACCCTTCAGACCAGAACTGTTGAAATGTACTGAATTACATTTCAAGGAAAAGGGGAGTGGTGGATGATGAAAATCTGTTGGCTGTAGGGCACTATCCGCCTCAACTATTAAAATTCCGCCACCCTGTGCGAACACTAGGTCCAGAAGGTTGTCGTTAACGTTCCTCAGTGTGTTTATCTGGAAAAGGTTGTTGTTGGAGCATAGGTAAGATAGTAGATCAGTGGATTCGATCTCGCTCTGCGTGCTTCGCGCCAGAGGGATTGCAACTTTTTCCACTAACTGTTGGGGAGGTTGAAATCGTCTAGGACCAACAACTTATGACTGGGGTATTCTTCAGTCTTTCCAGGTTCTCTCCAAATTCTGCATATTTCTCAAAGGAACACTTTGGTGGCAAGTTTTTGCTATTTATTATGATCTCATGTTCAATGCTTTTCGAAGCTGATAAAACTTTACTTGAAATAGTCTTACAGACCGCTATTAGAAGTCCACGTCCCTCCTCAAAGAAACTAGTTTCTGCAGATCTATCCTTACGGTGTATATTGTAGTTAAACATGTGTAGTTCTGCACTTTAGTTAGCCACATTTCATTGAAGACAAAATTGTCATATTTGGATTAAGACACATTCTCAAAGAGAAGCTGAAGCTTATTGCGCAGTTCCCTAACATTTTGGAAGTATATAAGCAAGGACGAGGGATTTGCCAATCTGAGATGAGAAGGCCTGTTTAGTTTTAGAAATAGATTAGGTTCTCCATTTCGCTGTCTTTCCTGCAACTCGTTCTTTAGTGCGTTCACTTCCGAGCCCTGATCAGGTGTAAGGTCGGCCTCTAGGAATGTTTTGCGGCTTGTGTCCATATTTTTTTACTCCTCAGCACTCTGTGAACTATTTCAGGTGAGTCTAGAGTCAGGCACAATGACTGGTGACCGCTTTTATTACGCTTTCCTATTCTCACTGCACAAGCAACATTAATTGGGGAGCCAGTGAGATCTGGCGATATGATTTTTGCTCTAGACAAAGTTTACTATATTGTTATTTTTCTTTATTCTAAACATATTATATTTCATTTGAAAAAAAGTTTGTAATCCTAGTTTACATCGAGTTTACTGTTTTGGAAAGCTCTATATACATGTGTCTGGAAACTTTACCGTATATGCGAAAGCGGTACACCGTATATACCTTTCGGTTATTATTCGCATTTACCATTTGTCTTTCCATCCGTCATGCTCACGATCTCCAATTAAGTCAACCCCTTTCATCGCCGTCTGCTCGATGCCCCGGCCCAATATAAACAGAAATTTAAACCAAACAATCGGAAATTTCATTTCGCAAACAGGAAACAAACCCCGCGTCTCAGCTCCGCCAGATCGGGTACTCCAATCAATTATTGTTTTACATGGATTCGGCCTAGGTTTAACACGGATATATCGGAGTTATTGTTCGAATTATTGATTTCATATCCGAATTAATAACTTCACTTCGGCCATGCCCCACCGCCCAAATCCGAAAACTCATTGGCATAGAAAACCCCGACGCGATTAAGGGATTATACTTTCATTATTTCCGCGATTTTACTTCTCCCGTTATCCGAAGGATTCGTGCCAGCCGTTCGAAATTGTTTCTGCTTTGTGTGTTTCGCTTCATTTCATTTCGTTTTTAACGAGTTTCCGAATTTTTTTTTGTAGAAATCTACTTAATGAACGGAACACGCGAAGTTAGCACCTAGGGTGGGACCCATTGACGACAAACTAGAACAATCCGCAGCATTTATACTGTGCCTTTAGCGCAACTAACCAAATTTGAACAAATCTAGTTACGACTTATGTATGCGTTGTACAGCTGCGAAAGGTGAAAGAAGATAGAACGCTGGGTATTTATTGCTCAGAATAAATTCGTAATGGACGCAGAACAATGTTACTTAAAATTCCGATTTTATTGATTACTATTTCGTTGTATACTGCGTGTTTTTATGGGTATACCTGTTTAGTTTGTGTCATATTGAGGAGAAATGAACTAAAAATCTAAAACAAAAAGAAATTGAAAGTGAACTCAGAGTATAGTCAAACAAAATTTCTTTTCCAATAATTAGGATTTAGTTTCCAATAATTCAGATCATTTTTTAGCTTCATTATGTCTGTATCTAGATATTATATGCTCATTAACTCGGTATTTACTTTTGCAATTTCTTTAGTTTACATCGGAAAAGAGGAGATGGAAAACTTTGTTAAAATCACAGGCGCCATTATAATTTATTTCGTTATTTTATTATTTTCAGTTATGGTGGAGTCAACCACTAACAGAAGTTTCACTTTTTGATTTGATAATATATTATTTGTTGCAGTTTTGTTGTGCACTTTGTTGCGTTTTACATTTTTTATGTATTATTTAAAGTGATGTTAATTAAAAAAAGAAACCTAAATTAGGTAGCCTGGTTCACTGGTGGTTTTAAATATTCTGCTGTAAGTCCTTGTTTGTTTTTGAGAGATGTTTATTTGTACTTTGTTTCTGAGGTCTAACAAATCCAAAGAAGTTTTGGTTTAAGCCCAACCAATAAAGTGTTAATAATTTTTTTTTGGTGATATTTATTTAAGCAGCAAAATGATATTGATATTGTAGATACTTTTCAACATAATTCTTACATTTATCTTCTCTTCCACCGGATGTTTCCAGGCTGTTTCTGGAAATTTTCAGACATTTTACTCTGCCAGCACATTATAAATCAAGTATATACACAGTGTTTCATTTCTGTAGAGAAGTTCTAGCAACACCATTAGTAGGTTTAAGTCAGTACATTATTTAATTTTCTAATTTTATTAATTTAAGTTGCTAATTTTGAAATAATGTTTATGAATCTTAAAAAAATTTTCATTTATTTTAGACGGCATCATCCAGACTGCCTTTTTAGTTGTTTATTATATAGGTATGCAGTAAACTTCCTTTATTTAAAGAAGATTTTGAAATTTGATACTGAGAATTGTTTGAATTTGACTGGATGCATTTTCGTTTTAAAGAAATTTGCATTTTTTTTAAATCAATTTCGTAATTTGCGAATAATTCAAATATAAAATTATATACAGAGTCTGCTCTATAGAAAACCAAATAAAGATTTTCTTTTGTTAATTTTTAAAATTTTTAAAGAAAGCAACCATAGACATATGCAATGGTCAAAGTGTAACGTTCAAGTTTAGTGATCTTTTATTGTAAAAGTGTGCGCACTCTCTCTCTCTCTCTCTCGACCACTATGGATCGCACTGTACTTACTCGGCCTTGTGGTCAGTGACGTATAACACAGTGGTGCCACGCACCCCTCAGTGGGACTATCAGGAGCTGCAGAGCAGTTTTGCTGCCAGATTTCTTCTCTTACGACGGCTTGGCATTTGCTGCCTGTTTTCTTCACCATGTAGCAGCGTGGCATATTGAAACGTTCGTTTCACCTGAAAAAGCAGCGTTTTTGTTAGTTTTAAAAAAAAACTGATGTGTCGCTGCCAGACTGACAAGCTCTGCATATTTGAATTCGATAATTTGCGATTCTAAGAATTTATTACAGCTATCAACGGTATCCCACTGAACTAGATCTTTGTTTCCAAATGGAAAGAAGTTGAGAAGATATATGTTTATACAGAAATTATTTAGAATATTATTTATGTTTCCGCATTTCCATTCAATAACCCAGTAACTACAACTTAGTGAGAGAGCATGTGTGGGTTCCTCTTTTTGGTCTAGGGTATATTCTTAATAGTAAGTAATAATCTTAAATTTGCAATTTTAATTTGCCCCTTTATAACTTTATGCACTTAAGATAGCCAGTTCCTATTTAAGGAATTGTAGAGGAACTCTTCCTCAAAAAAATGGATATCCTGCATATGTAAGGAATGATCCTGTAATATTTTTATAAGGTTCACCTCTATCTAACTTTGTTAGAAATAGACAAACCTGCCAAATTTAGTAGATTTGCTTTTGTTAAATACCATTATTCAATTTCATTATAATGCATTGAGATGCCACTGTGTTGTGGTGGTCTCAACTAAATATTCTTAACATTTCTCTATTGTATTCATATATAATATATAATGGCTCCATCCTTTATCTAGGTTCGACTCTCTGATCATACTCCGCACGTTCAACAGTGACACCTCAGTATGTTTCGTTTGGTTACACCCAGCAGGTTGAAGAGCATTTTTTACTGACATAACAAGTGTGTGCTGTTTCCGTCTCATTTTTAAATAATTGTCATGTCGTGTTTTCATCCAGTTCCACTCATAGGCTTACACGTTTACGTGCCTTGAAGAGCCGTCGCGGACTATTTCGACGGCGCTTTCATTACTTTTTTGACCTTCATGGCCTGGTATCCGCAACAGAGTCACCTTATTCTCAATTAATATATTATTTAATGCCTTGTGGCAATCGGAAACTAACTTGTGAATGTGATTTTGGCGAGATTGCATAGTTTTTGTTGCCGAGTAGCTGTCGTTCTCGATCGGAATTTCTTTATCACTATTGTTATTCCTCTTTATTTTTTGATATGTATGACATTAAGTGCACTAAGAAAAAAAATTAATAATAAATAACGAAATTACACAATTCCTATAGCGATATGCTGGAACAATTATAAAAAGTTATGAATGTTCTTCTACGTTAAGTTAGTAACAATTTTTTTGTTATCTATCGAAATTAAAACAAGTGTTAACTTAAATGCTTTTAGCATAAGGTCTTCAATTTTATGTGGGATCTAGATCCACATGGTATACACAAATTGTGTGGGTATTCTTATATGCTAGAGGACACTATACATTTCGTTATATATCCTTTTGCTCGAATGACTGCTCGCATAAGAACAATACAATGAATTACGCTTTTCATCAATAGAGCCCTCCAGAAATTTGTTAAATGAAATGTTGGTACACATATTTAATTCTAATCAAAATGCACGATTCAGAGGAAAAGAAAGCGAAAAAGTGTTTGTCAGCTAATTTAACTTAATTATTCGGAATCTCGATTGAGCCCTGGTCTGGGACGGACACATTCAATCCATAAGAACTGGCGACATAACGTGACATTTCTCACGACAGCACTTGCAGTCGCTGGTTCTAATAATTAGGCTTTAAGGTTAAAATTTTGCAATAAGCAGATGACGTCTTTCTTGATAATATTAGTTCCCTAGGAATTTTTAATGCTAAACATACGAGTTGTCACAATTTGTTTTGATTTTGTGATCGAAACAATGAAATGAGACCACTTTTAATAAACAGATATTACCCAACCAGAAGTACATTAAAGACGCTGTTTTGGATTTAGTATATTAAACGTGAATGCATGAAATTTTATCTTAATTGCTTTGATACTGAAATTACAAAATGCAACATTAATTAATATTAATTATTATTGGTTTATGTTACAATTATGCGTCGAGCAAGTTCAGCTTTTTAAACATAATCTGCAATCTAAGAATAAAGTGAAGTTTGCTGTATTAAATATGCTTCACTGTCCGTCTGTTCGGAGACTTAGCATAACAACAACTTTAAGTTGGTTAAGTTAGGAAAAACAACTATTAAAGTATGGATGGAAAGAGAAAAAATGGTCTACTGCCGGCTTAAGAGGCATCTGAATCTCACTGGAGAAAAACGCTAAATGCAGATTTTGTCAAGAAGATTAGGAAACAACCGCACATGTGTTCTGCCAATGTGAAGGCCATTTCAGAGTGCCCATCTTGTGGAGTGGACTCTAATTAGAGAGACTAACTTATATAAAAGTCTATAGCTATGGAAACGACCGATGACCAATTGCTAACTCTCACAATTCTTGATTCTCAAACCTATTAGTTTACGTTCTTACAGAATGCCCGCTTGGGTATAGCAGTTCATATTGGGACGATACGAAATCATCCGTTATCTATTTGCAAACCCAGCTACTAGTAGTCCTAAGATTCTTAAAAGTGGCAAAGGACGTTTTTTTTTTCAAACTCATGAATGATTATGAATAATTATGAATAATTTAACAACAGTAAACGGTTTAATTCAACCCTTCACCTACGGTTAAAATCCGACTTGATTAAATCGGTTAATCCCACAAATAATACGAATTTCCCGAAGCTCACGTTTTCGTTTTCTGGCGTTGCGGACCTGGTTCCGTTTTGCCTTATCGATCCTCTTTGGGAAGCTGGAAAATTAAGCAGGTGGTTGGATAGCAACAAGTTGTACTGTCGCGAATACCAGTTGGCAGTGACCAACAGGTAAACAACCTGCTAACTCGTCCATATGCATTCGAAAACGACGAATATGCGGTAAATTTTTCCATTGCGAGATACGTTCGGCACTTACCCGCGCGTCTATCGACCTGATCCGATCGCATTTGGGTGTCCAACCTGACGGCGATCCGACCTCGATATCCGGCACCTCACCTCACGGTAACATTGCCCGAAATTTATTAGCGTGGACGCGCAACAACATTAGCCTAAAGAAATTGTTGTCGTTGGGATAATGTCAAACCACTCCCAAAACTGAATATTTTCAACGCGAAATAGAGGGAGCAGAAGGGTGAATGCGGAGCGCTTGCGTCGGAGGGGGAACGCAAAATCGATAGGGAAACGCACTTGTTACCGTGTGCCGTATGCAGCTGAATTATACCGGGCGATCTGATTTTTTAACGGAGGGTAGATATTATCAAACAATCAATCAGCTATCGGTAAAAACTTATAATATTGGACGGGATGGCGTGAATGCAAATATGTACCGGGTGGTCCGTCTGTTATGGGATCGCACTTTAACTCGGAACCTGTAAAAAATGTTATACATTTAAAGGGTTATATTGTTGGATATACAGAATGTTTGTCATCAAGTTTACAAATAACAAGCCTACCTTTAATTGGAGCACCTTGTATATTTTTGAATTGCTTTGAACTTTCTAGATATATTCTAGATTAGTAATAATAATAGTAATAATATAGTTCATTATTCCAAACTACCAATTATACATATCAGAGTAAATATAACAATATTCCCCTACGCAGCTTCCTTCAAAGTGAATGTGAGGAAAACAACAACTAAGAATAAAAAATTGACGTTCAGAAGAGACACCAAAATGGAATTAGGGCGAAAGGAAAGAAACGAGAAGTCCTAAGGAACATTAGTGTCTTAAATTATGTTTCATTCGTTTTTTAAATGTATTAATGGAAAGAGTAAAGTCATTTATTTTATATTTATGATTTCCAAAGCTGTGTGGTAGGAAAAATACTTTTTAAAAAGTCTTTTTTGAGCTTATGTAAAGTTAACAAGTCAACACCTGACTTGTTAGTTTTTCATAAAGCACATTGTAATTTAATTATCTTATAAAAGATCTATGGAAAACTTTCTGTCTCTGTTTAACCTCATATATTAGCCGTACACAACAACTTTGAAGTTTCTGTAAAGTTTTAATACCAATAAAATCCAAAAATGTCTTCTTAATGATAAGACCAAAATTTTTATGAGTTTTTAAGAGGTATAATATTCCCAATTCTAAGTTTTATACATTCGATTAGCTCGTCTCGAAAATTATCATTACAGAATAACATGACAACATGCTTAGATAGATTGGTTAGAAGAAAATACTCCTCACAAATATTTAGAAGGTTTTCTAAGTCACAATTTAACGGGTTATTAAAGGATTAACTTGAGAGAGGATAAATAAGGTATAAGAAAAGAGAAACTAGAAGTCCTAAGAATAGAAGGGAAAAGAAAGAAGAATTTACGTTTCATTTGTTTTTTAAATGTATTAATGGATAGAGTTAAGTCATTTATTTATTTTATATTTATGATTTCCAAAGCTGTGCGGTACTAAAAATACTTAAAAAAAACTCTTTTTTGAGCTTAGGTAAAGTTAACAAATAACATGTCAACGGGTATTTGTGTTATGAACATCCTTACGATTTGTTAGTTTATAATTATTATTATCTTAACTAGTAATTAACTATTAAAAATTTGAAGGTACACTTCTTCTGGATTTCTCCTGTGTCGAGTATCGAGTCTGTCTTGCTGACGTTTCGCCAAATATGCGCTGACTTCTTCAGGGCACTTCAGACTGCCGATTGCCCTCTATACACGTCAAATACTTTCTGGTAGTGGGGACGTGGGTTTAACTTCTTTACGGATGACCGAGTCCCAAATGGACGAGACATAGAAACTTGCCATGTTGTTTATGTTATTAGAACGAGATAGGACAAAGTGCTAGATTATAAAGTCGCCTATTTGAAAAAGTTGTGATTTTTTAAATGTTAACAATAAAAAGTTTTTATTCCAAGGGGATGACGGGGATGACTACAAAATAAATAATCTTTTAAACTTTGAATATAATAAAATGAGGTTTCTTCGTTGTTATCTAACTACATAAATTATTGTTAAGAAGTTTCACAATATCAAGAACATGGGATATAATTGCCACCTTATTTTCCTCTCCACGATGCAGCGATCTTTAAGCTTTTCACTGACCATCGATGCAGAACCTGTGAAAAAAATGTCAGATGTCACAAAACACAAATAAATTGAACGAGTAAATTGGGGAACAAGAAATGAAAAAAAAGTACAATATACAAGGATTATGTAAGTCAGCTAAGCTAAAATAACAAAAATTGATAGTATTGATCTAATTCACTCTGGTGTATAATACGCTGTAATTATTCATAGAAGTGGAACGACTTTTATGTGTTGAGGCTGCAAAGTTTACATTTGCTTTTTATGCTGATTTTTGAAACTCTGTAATTGATTTTTTTTTGCATTTTGTGGTATTATGTCCTTAATCGATAGCCGCAAAAATATATCATCAGATGAACTATTTGATAGCTCAGATAATGAGGGAATTATCATATAGAAGACGCAGATAAAAAATGTAGGAATAATAAAAAAAATTAAATTATCTATAAGCATAAAGTTCTTCAATTTTTTTCATTCGTTACAAAATAGTTACCAATATGAAAAAACTCCTGGTGGGGCATTAAAACATACACCAATGGCCTGAAAAATCTCCAAAATTTCTTTACTGATTTTAGTTTGATCAGATTTTTGAGTTGTATTTTGAGGCAGAAATTTGTTCACAATATATAAATGGCTTTGGGGGCGCCATTCGTTAAGCCTATCCTGTAGAAACTTTGAAAATATAAATTTCAGGCGATTATACGCAGTGAAGAAAGCAACAAAACAAAAGACGGAGAGGAAACTGGCAACAAAATGAAGAACAAATTGGGCATTTAAGTATTTTAGGGCCGTTGTACAGACGAGAAGTTTTAACGAGACTATAAGAAACGTTTATTAATTTTCGAACGATTTATCATCATTATAAACAAATACTCTCATTAAGTGGAGCGCTGTCTAACTTCCGTGGAAGCATTAAAACTTACTCGCCGTAACAGTAAAGTTCAATTTTTCATCTAGCTGAAGTGTTGCGCTTGGAATAATGTTTCCTTAGGTGGGGCGATTTGCCCTCATTTAGCGAGGGTTGTTATCTTTTTGAAAATTTTCTATATAATAAATAGAATGGATAGTACACTGCATACGCTGGAAAGGGAATTTTAAATTTGATAATAATCATTTTCGACATTCTAATCTTAAAGCCACGGTCTTGTATATATAAGGGTTCAAGTTTTTCCAAAAATTTTGCACGGATGAAGCAAGCCGTTCCGGCCTCTACTTACTGAGTGTTCATGAATGTTCACTTGCAAAAAGCGAATTCTGATAAAATTGAGCTAATACATATTTAAGTCAGTCATGTTTCATGAATTTAGCTGTTTGTTAAAAATGTTAAATATTGCTTGCAAGTTGCAGAACTCTTAATTTGACACTGCTAAATCTTTGCTAAAATATTGTTATTTATAAAGAGTAAATACAGTAAATTGGCGTTCCATAAATACTCATTTTATGACGCAGATTTCTTGATATTTTGAGTAAATTTATTATATTCAACCGTTCCTACTTTACCAAATTATTTCTTTCTCTATCTAGTTATCAAACTTACCTTACTTAGTTACTGCTTAATCCACGTCTCGTCCAAATAAAAGTTTTTTTTTGCTCTATTCTGTACCCCTTTAAAATTCTCAAGCATTTTTCTCGCCAGAAAAAAGGAGAACAAAGCCTATTTATTCATATCTGGTTTACAATAGGGATCAAGATTAATTTTATTGCACCAACCTTAATTAAGTGGACCTTGACCACTATCATTTTTTCAGTAAAAATCTCGAATTCAACCCTTGTTCCCTTCCTAATTATTATCAGAATAAGAAACTCGGTAAACGTTTCTTGGCTGCCATTTCAGACAATAGAGATATCTTCCATTTATTTTTTGAAAACTATGAAATATGTTTATAAAAATTTCGCATAAAGAAGGTGGTTTAGCAAGAACCCATTTCTAGGCCAGCAGTTTGTGTAAAAAATTAAAGAAATGTAGTTGGTAAAAGATGAACTAGCCAATCGATGACAACTCTCGGCAATAAATCAATGCACTCAGAGGGTGTTCATTTGGAAATAAATTTATTGAAAATACTCCACTGAATTTAAAAAAAGAAATTGTACCTTAGCATGGGTTTCTTCAAAATAAACTATAATTTTGTGAAGTGACGAGTACTTTGCGAATGCCGTGGTAATTGTGCTACTTAAAGAGCAACGAAAATAGACACGAACGGGTGAAATATTGAGATATGGGATAGCAGAGCACTTATGGTTGAATCAACACAACATAAAATGGCCACAGGAAGCTCCACTGGTTAAAGTGTAACTTTTAACAAATAGCTTTTTAGCAATCTTGGAATAGTCACTGCAGCGAAACAATGCATCGCCATCTTTGATCTTAACTGACACTATTGTCGGTTATTACACTGAGAGAAAGTTAATAAAATGTTTAGCCTACGTTGAAAAAGTATTTGCATACGCCATTGTTTTTGTGAAATAAATAATTTCTACACCATCCGGGGCTGAAAATAGTAAATCATATTTCACTTTACCTTAGTTATTCTTAACAACTGCCAAGGACAAGGACAAGTTTTCAAAAAAATAAAGTAAAACACGAATAAACGAAAGTAAATTAGATATAGTACTAAATAAAAATAAAAATTACACATGAAACTCTTAAATTTTTCTATGCTTTATTTTCCCTTAGTTCTCTATTTGCCTATTTTTTTACAATAAAAAATTGTCAGTCCAATGAATAATTTTATAAAATCGGACAAAGCAATATTATTACATCTATGCATTTCATACTATTGCAAAACAAATGTGATATTTCGGACATTGCAGAAATTTCACAAAACTTTCAGACACTAATTTATAAATTGTTCACTTGGCGCTCTTAACCCTTCATAACTATTTATACTATAATCATAACTTTTCAATTGTGTGAGTTACTATAAAGGACGAACAGGAGCAGAAGCTGCAAATAAAAACTATGTCTATTTCTATGCTGGTAGGCCCTAAAAAATGCATAAATCTACAACTAGGAATGAATTTCATATTCAAAAATGTGCATTTTCCTAATTTTTAATATACCATACTTGTTAATTATTTATATACTATAAGCGTGAAAGTG